AGTCTGGTGTCCTAACTCTAAATTTAAATCTAATTCTGACGTAATTTTAACTCTAGTCTTCCTAGAAGTTAGCGTAATTCCCGCAGAACACGGGGAGTTCGCATCCCTACTTCTTGTTATTTTCCTAAACCCGGGTACTTTTCTTAGAAATGTTTGTTTTATTTGCGCTTTTGATACATTTCTTTTTGGTCTGCTGCAATTTCTGTTGCATAAATCTGCGTAGAATGGCACTACCGAGAAGGACAAGGGGGACTGGAATGGACATTTCTGGCTTATTAGCCGTCGCCGGCCAGTCATACCCAACGACGAGGTGTGGAGCACTTGGGGCTCGATCCCGCAACCTGTTGGTCGGAAGTCCAACGCCCCTAACCACTGACCCACAGGCTCGAGAGAGAGGGCCCTGAGGCATAATGGAACGAGTGAGTTCCGCGACACGGTCGGTGAGCTCCCCTCTACCATTACTCTGTGTCCTCATGCCCTGAAAACAGCGAACAGATGCGCCTCCTATAGACTTCGAGGCTTTTCCTGCTCAGATTTTCAGAATCACTCTACAGCACTAGTGGCATTTAGTCGTCAGCGTTAACTTTTATTTCCAAAGAACTGTTGACTGACAGTTTCACGGTTTTACCTTGTTTACAGTTGGGGATGTTGGGAACTTGGTAAGCCAGAGATTCTAGTACCGGGTGATTTCTCTGCCAGAAGCTTCGCTTCTTCCGAGATGGGTCATGGTGAGGGAACGACGACTCATGAGAGGTAGACTGCTTTTGTGGTCGCGAGAAAGTTCACTTCCCCACCGTCAGTAAATGTTTTGATTTCCCCAGACTTTCATTCAGCGGAATTTCGGATGCTAAGCGTCCTGCAACGGGAATGGTAATCCATTCACCCTCCCCCGCCCTCAGAGGCACCAGTGATGACGTGCCAGAGCACGAGGTCACACTGAAAACGAAAGTCGATTTCACTCCCTCCAATTATTCGGGCATTTTTCGCACCCAGGGCATGGTAAGGACACTAGGTTTGAGGTCGACAGAGGATCGCCATCATAGACTGACACCGCACCATAAGGGAGTTGAACCGGACCGACAGTGGAAACAAAGACTTTATTTCCCTGACTTCCCAAACTCGTGGTTTAATCCATAATCTCAGAGAGTAAAAAACAGAAGAAGGCAGTGGGACGTGTAGGTCGCGGCATAGCAGTCGCAGTGGTAGCATTCTCCCGCCCCACTCCGCGACTGCAAACGGATAACCCCCGATCAACGATGAACCAGCGCGACCGTCAGCACCGGTAGATATTCTGCCGTAAGAACGACCAGTGAGCACCCCTCCACCATTGTATATTCCAGATCAAAACCGACAGGACAACGGACCCGTGACCCAATGCTTAGAGGCGTTGAACTTCTAACTAACAGGTCGCAAGTTCCACTTTCAAGTTATGACGTACAACGGAGCAACACTGACAGCCTTTGCGGTGACAAATGGGGCAAGCAAAGAAGACGTCATCGCCTCAACAATCTACAGTCACATGTTATCCACAAAGCTAAGGAAAGCCCACCCAAGCCGGGTATCGATATACACTACGGGGTTAAGGGAAATTATTCAATGTTGATCTTTTGCAGGCGATCAGAAAAAACGTTTAGGGCCTAGACAAGCAACCTCTTCCTCACCACGGTCTGCGTACTGAACACCACAGCCAAAACAGAGATTCCGCGAACTCTAAATCTTCTGGGTATGACTGGCTGACGACGGCTAATATGCCAGAAATTGCTAAGCCAGTTTTCCCTGTTTTTTGTCGGAAATGTTACTCTGCCTATATTACACCTTGCTGTGCGGTTGCTGGCGGAACTCCAGAGAGAGAGTCCATAAGGCACAACAGGACGAGTGAGTTTCGTAGCGCGATCGGTGAGCGTCCTTCCACCGCTGTGTATACCCGATAGCAACCGACAGGACAAAGAGCCCTTGGTCCAGTGGTTTGAGGCGTTGAACTTCTAACTAAGAGGTCGCGTGATCGAGCCCTAGGTGTTCCACGCTTCAGGATTGGGTGTGACCGGCTGGCAATGGCTAATAAGCTAGAAATGCCCACTCCAGTCTCCCTTGCCTTGGTCGGTAATGCTATTCTTCTACGGGAGACGGCTATTGGGATTCGTTGATAAGGTGGCCAAGGTGACGTCATGCGTACACTGTGAAACGTGATTCATACTAGCCAAATGAATTCGGAAATGATTCCACAGGACCGACAGACATGATAAGCATTCAATAAGGCAAAATTCAAGGTCAAACGAAAGTAGTAGGCCAAAGCCAAAATCTGGAACAAGACGTCAATGCCTAACTTCTGTCAACATTTGCCCCTTGTCAACATGTTTTTTAGGTTCCGGATTCTGTTTGCTGGACCCTTTTAGACTCAAGGCAATGTCACCGGACGACGCGAGTTTAATCACATTTGGGTCAAGTTACCCGCCCAACCTACTGCAACGTCTGGAATCCACCAAATCTGACACAGTAGGTTGACTGCCCAAGCAGGATTTCCTAAGTAATTCACCTAGAATCCACCAGATGACTACCAAGCTGGCGTAATTCATCGATATTTTGGCTGATTTTGAATAATTCATATTGACCTAACTGGTGGATTGCAGACGTTGCAGTAGGTTGGGCGGGTAACTTGACCCAAATGTGATTAAACTCGCGTCGTCCGGCGGGGCCTCGTAGCCCTGATGGCTAGAGCGTTGGCTGCGCTAAAGCCTTCCCCTTACTGCGTGGGTTCGAATCCCACCGAGGCGCCGAGTTTTTCACAGTTGGGTCAATACGAAGTCCGAGATGTTCTCTTCTGTCGGGAAATATGGGACTTGCCTTTATGGGCGACAAACTGCAGTTCGTCAAAGATTTGATTGACACTATGTATCATGCTTAATGATTGGTCGTGCAGTCCCTATTCGCCGATCTTCGAGGTGCCATGGTCCGTTTGGATGGTTAGCGGGATAGTCGCGGTCCCTTTGCCCGTTCCCTCTCTTCCTGTAAATGACTAGCCTATACAGACAAAGGTTTAACTCTGCATAGGCCAGGGGTGAATTTTTGCATTTATGGATTGATCCTTAGGCTGGTAACTATGGTCTCGCACGACTTTCGTCGCCAGCGGTGATGTAGATCCCGTAGAATTTAGGTTTGTTACTGAGTCCTGTCAAGTGAACGACGGCTTGGTAGTGGACAGTATTCTAACTGCTCAGTCGTCCATCTTCAGACCGATATTTACGTCCATGTGAACTAGTTGCAATGGTAGAGGAGCGCTCCCCGATCGTTCTTGCGGACCTCACTCGTCCTGTTGTGCCTTACGGGCTCTCTCTTGAGACCCGCAGCGGCTGCTGGCGAAGCTCGAGAGAGAGAGAGAGAGTTCCAAGACACAACGCTACGAGTGAGTTCCGCAACGCGATTGGTGAGCGCCCCCTACCAGTGTTGATATACCCGGTCTCAACCGACAGGACAACGAGGCAGTGGCTAAATAGCTGGGACGTTGGATTTCTAACCAATAGGTCGTGAGTTTCAGCCTCGGGGGTTGGGTACAGCCGGCTGGCAATTGCTAATAAACAAGAACTGACCATTCCATTCTCCCTTATCTTTGTCAGTAATCTTATTCTGGCCTAGTTGCCTCGTTTGCATCTGCACCAGAGTATTGACCTGTCTTGCCGGACATCGGGTCCTTCCTCCAAGCTCGGCTGATTTTCGTATCTGAAACTTAAGGTAAAAAAGTCCTGTTCTTGTCTTCGAGTCGAACTGCAGTGACTGACCGTTCTCACAAAATGTTGGCCGAAATTATGAAACGCGTTTTCGACTAGGAAGGTTGTGATATTAATTATCATGCTGCATAATCCTATAATATTTCGGACTCACCAGGATGTCGGCGTTCAAATGAACTTCTTTTCGACTTCCTGAAGAAACCGTATTTGTTAAAAAACCACTACTTGCATAGCCTGCCCTTTTGCATTGAAATTCGATGGTCGTATGAATTTAAATATATTTTATAGGAAACATGCACAAAAATATGCTTCCTTTTACTCGGTGTGTAGAAAATTATGTTGCCTCTCCACTTCATACCCGACGAAAGTTTCCCAATGCCCGAACACTTTCAGCCATACTAGCCTTTGCATTAGTTTTTAACGATTTCAGTCTACAAGGTGCATGCATTCCGTTTAAGGAAAATCACATATTCCCCTATGGTATTAAGAAGATACCATATGGAGTTCGTAAAATTCTGCAATAAATGCGGACTATGTTGCAAATTACATGAGGAGCATTAGTAAACACGCAGGTACGATGATGTATGAATGGACATTGCGCGGTCTTAAAAATGTTATGATGAGAAACCTTTTCAACACCTAAATATGCCTTTTCTTCGGGTATAAAGTGTAAAGACAGCGCGATTTTCTACCAAACGACTAAAAGAAAGCACACTTTTGTGCATGTTTCCTACAAAATGTAGGTGAACTTGTAACACCACTAAAATTCAATGCAAAAAATGCATGCTATTTAACTAGTCATTTCTACCGAGTGCGGTTTCTACAGGAGGTCGAAAAGAACTGGATCCACTAACCGACATCCTAGAAATTCCGAAATACTATAGGATTATACCGCATGATAATCAATATTACAACGCCGCCTAAGTAATCCTTCCTAGTCGGAGACTGTATTTCATCTGTGTCAGGAAAAAACCGCCGAATCAGCTAGCTTTAGTCTCAAAACTTGTCGGAATGAAAGGACTTCTTGTTTCCGATATTAGAAAAGTGGTTTACAAGGCAGAATATCCTGCCGGAGTGAGGGAAACTGTACGGAAAAATAAGTTAGACCGATGTCATCACTGACAGCTGATGCTTTTAAGAGTGACATGCAAAATAATTCCCAAACCGCGTAAATAAATTGCCATAAGTTTCCCTCGAAAAGAAGCCCCCGATCTGGTTTTCACCAGCATTTTCATTTGCAACACGAAGCTGGGAGTCAGCAGGAGGTACAGGGGGCTGATGGAGGAAAGGAAGAAGATGCAGGGAGACGACGACGACGCCGACGACGACGACGACGACGACGACGACGACGACGACGACGACGACGACGACGACGACGACGGTGACAGCGACGACGACGGTGACAGCGACGTTGGCAATGAGCGTGGTGGACTAAGAGTTTTAGGAAAAGGACAAGGAAAATGGTAAGGAGGAGAACAAAAATGGGCAGAACCAGGAAGAGGAAGACAAGGCAAGGCGAGGACGAGAACAAGGCAAGAAGGTAAAGACATGGAGGACTAGGAATAAGACATGGACGACGAGGAAGTCGAGGGAACCTGGACGCGGCAAATCATTGTTAGGGGAATGAAGGAAGGACAGCGGGGATAATGAGGACGCGGACGGAATTAATAAAAAGAAGAGGAGGAGGAGGAGGAGGAGGAGGGGGGGGAACATGGCCATGATGCCGAAAAGGGAGAACATGACATGAAGGATGGCGAAGGCTGTAAGGAAGAGCGATTATACCATTGAGGCCATAACCAAGCTACATTTCATATGGCATTTCCTGACCGTGTAATGAACTTTCTCATCTCAGTTGATCTCTGGATGTGCTTCTACACGAGAAGAAAGTGATGGCCCAGCAAATAGCACCGCCGATGATATTCACGGTTTCGGCTATCCGTTTTAATTTTTATATCAATTGGTAAGTCGTTCGAGCAGACATTATCTTAAATATGCGTTACGGTGAGTCCTTTTTGGGGAGTTGTCTGCGGTCGGAGGGAGATCAGGCTTCAGAACTTTGCACTCCTTCCTAGGATATCCTCCAAGCTTATCCGCGCTAGCATTGCAAATATCGGTTGCCTTAAGTGGACGTAGAGTACAACCAGAGTACAACCAGTCAACCAGTGCCTGCGCAAACGAGACGAGCGACAAAATCGCGCCGACCCCAAATTCTGGCGAGCGATCCCGTACATCAAGTAGAGTACAACGTTGTATATGCGATTCACTCTCGCCCTCTCTTTCCTCACCCCTAACTTGATCCTTGACGCAACCACCAAGTCCTTGCATCTAAATTGTCTGCTTTTCCGTCCTACGATTAGACTCTTCATGCGTCCATGGTTCAGCTGTGTCCACAGCTTCTTGCTTGTTTTAAATGCATCTATCTGCTTGTAGTCTACAGTCCAGCGCCCTGCTTCGTCAAGATGGTTCGCCTTCCCCATGAGAGGTTCCAGACGTACCAACCAAACGACCTGATGTATTGGGACACACGAGAGTTCGACGGTGTCCACCATGTGCCCCACAGCAGGGTGGGGCAGGGATGGTGACACGCGCGGGGTTTATAGTGCTAGTAGACTTGCGCCGCATCTACCACACTCCCCCACCTGGGTCCAGCGTCAAAGCGGAGTCAAGAAGACCGGAGACGGGGGAGGACGCAGGTGGATGGCAAGGTCGAGCCCGCGCCTTGACGTTCCACTCCACACCTCCTGGTCCACACAACAAATAACCGCGTTTTTGACCAACAACAACAGAGATCGGATGGTGGCGCGGCCGAATGCGCACCTAGGTGTGTCGCCAACGCCTAGCTCGGATTCTACACAGTGCGAGTGCCATAAAAGCCACATCTAGAAGAGGCATTGCAGCCTGAATCTCAGACCACCAGTCGACCACTCCATTTAAACCCAAAACACTGGGCAGACTACGCGGTCCATGTTATCTGGTCAGTTGGCAGCCTTCCAAGCCACAGCTTTTAAGGCACCTTGATAGCTTCAAGCGCGTCAGATTGTTTATAGTGAGGAGAAAATCCGCTGTGCCGTCGACCTGACTCTCCCCTTCCATGCCCGCAGCCCAGCCACTGTCCGAGCCGGTCAGCTGACTGCAGCGGGGAATGAGCGTGGTGGCTTACAGTAGTCTAGTGACCTAGTCTGCGCGCGCCAAATGCACGACCTGGCCCCCCAAACACACACACAAACCAGGATTTCACACAACGGGGGTTGGGCGGCGTATCGCACATGCGTGAGAGTGCCGTGTAATGAGCTGTTTCAGCCCGGTCCCCAGCCCACCAGTCCGCCACTTCGCACAAACACACACACACACTCACACACGACATTTCGACCGTCGGTTTCGACGATGTCCACCGTGTGCCCCACCATGTGCAGCAGCGGTGGGAGCAGGGACGGTGACTTGCGCAGGGGTTTATAGTGCCAGTAGACTTGCGCTACATCTACCTACACCCTCTCCTCCTCCCCCGCCTGAGCCCGGTGTTAATACAGAGTCAAGAAGACCGGAGACGAGGGAGGCCGCAGGTAGATGGCTCGGCCGGATCCTCACCTTGGTGTTCCACCACACCCCCTGGTCCAAACAACAAATGACCAGGATTTCAACCAACACAAAAGAGGTTTGGAGGCCGGCACGGCCGAAGCCTCATCTAGGCGTGCCGCCAACGCCTGGCTCGGATCCCGCACTGTGGTGGGAGTGCCATAAAGGCCACATTAAAAGGAGCCATTGCAGCCTGACTCTCAGACCGCCACCAGTCAAGGCGGAGGTCCAAGTTACCCCGTCAGTTGACAACCTTCCAAGCCACGGATTCTAGCGCATCATGGTAGCTGCAAGCGCGTCAGATTGTTTATGGTGAGGGAATGCACTGACTAGTCCACCTCACCCTCTATTCCCGTCCCCAGGCCCCGGCCACTGTCGGAGTCGGTCATTTGTATGGTGCTGAGAATGAGCCCAGTGGCCGACATCGTCTGCGCGTGCTATTTACATGACCTGCCCCCCCCCCCCAAACACCCAATGAGAGTTAGGCTGCATGCATCTCACATGGGTGAGACTGCCTGAGGTCCTGCTAGGAATGAGCCATTGCAGCCTGACTCTCAGTCCATGAGTCCGCCACTAAGGTTGACTGAGTGGACCAATTTGAAGCGCCATTTGACAACCTTCTAAACTACGGTACTTAGCGCGCCGTGATCATCTCAGGCTTGGATCCCGCATGCAGCAGTCACGACTGTCTCTGATGATGGGTTTCAGTGAGGGTCCGAAACGTCCGGCCAATAAACTTTTTGGCCTATGCTACGCCACGCCTTAGCTAACCATTGCCCTCACAGCCTGGTTTGTGCTAGCATCTCCCATACACCTGGTTCCCTGCCGGTAGATGCGCTTGCGCTCCCAGTGGGTACACAGGTGTTGAGCATGGCTGTCCAGTCATCACCCTCGTCTTTCTGACCCCTGTTGGGATGTTGTTTTTGGTGAAACATCCTGATCGAGTGTATGTTGTGGACCAGGGGGTGCGAAGTGGTACGCCTAGGTGGGGGTCCAGCCGTGACAGCCAACTGCGCCCTCTTCCGCCTTCGCTCTTCTTGACTGTGTCTTGACAGCAGACCCAGCTGGAGATGAGGCGAGAGTGGGATAGGCGCTGTGCAGGTCAATTGACTAATTCACCTGCAAAAGGAGGAGAGTCATTTAATGTGATTGTGATATATTGTCAGCTTACTAATTTGTATTTGAGAAGGTACGAAAGTTTCCCTGACATTCGGAGAGGGATTGTAGAAAATTATTCAAAACCACAACGTATCTCGGTGACCAAGAAGCCCGACGAGTCGTGTAACAAATAAATTGAAAGAACGATAATACGGCCTGCTACTGATGCGCCGTGCTCAATCCGCTTCTGATCCTTCGCTACTTGTGCCTCCGAGACCCCCACGTTGGTAGAAAATTATAGGGTAAATAATTAACACACCTACTCAGACACGGACTAATTACGTGGACGCTGTCTACTGCCTTCCATATCGAGGCAAGGCTACCTAAGTTTTACGTACCAAGTAGGCGAACATTTGCCGAATATGTTAAACTCGCATGTTTTCCGACACAGTCTTGCGCTACTTAGGCTGTTAAAAGTAGACATAACATTCCTCTATGCTCATTGACATAACGGGTGTTATAACCCCTTGGCTACAAAAATCACAAAACTTCTCGCTTGAACAGTGCTCGCCTCAACACGGGATATGAGTGATCGTATGAAAGAAACCACGCATCACTGATCAGTCCTCAGGTTTACCTAGACGTGATAATACTCGTCAGTCCTTTTGAGGATCAGTGAGTCAGGAATAAATTACTAAACTTAGAAACCTTCGAACTCGATTGATTTGAGGGCACGATAACTCCGTAAAACTTATTTAAAACTGGAGCGCCTTAGGCACCGGTTCAAACAAAAGTGCAACCGAAAGCCTAGACACGCATTTCACTGACTGACTGGCCGACCTGTGGTCTGCGACCTCGCAATTCTTATCTGCGGCATATTTTACCAACTTCGCCATTTTAGCTGCTTCTAAAGTGCTGTGGCTAAAATTTAGCGTTGCAGAATTATCGGATAACCCAGTACGAACTCCAAGTAGGTAAAGAAGTCGCTGAGTCTTCCAGTCTCTAAAGAGACACGAACAGGGTGCTTACAAATTTTAAAAATTGTCGGTTTTGAGATCCTAACTGAAAACCCTTCATTCTGAAAGATTATGTTTCCAGCTGTCTGTCACCAAGTCAAGTTGAGCACGTGCCAAATGGTTGGGCTTTTGACGGTGTCGCTGTCATTGCCCAAGACTGGCAGGAAATAATGGACAAAAATGAACTGTCATTCTCTTCAATGCATTAATTTGTTCGAATTTTCCTGGTGGATTTCTGAGAAACTGTCACTTGTCTCGTGAAGTTTTATTTTTGATGGCCCCTCTGTGACCTCAGTGGCTGACGCGAGAACTTAAAAAGGAGATCAACAAAAAGGAAGTTTGTGGAAGGAGTTTCGCGAAAACAACAACAATGCAGCGTTTACAAAATATAAAGTTCAAAGAAATAAGGTTGAAAGCCTGATTTTCAGGAGCCGACGGGATTTCGAGAGTAGTTTGTTCCGCAAAGCCGTTAAAAATCCGAAATTGCTCTACAGCTATTAGCGGAAGAGCACCCGTAACAGGAATCCCATCCCTGTCGTGAGGAATGATGACGGTTTGGAGATATCGGACAGTACAAATAAATCTGAGCATTTTTCTCAGCTTTCCAATCCGTTTTCACAAGAGAAGCAGACGTTATGCCATCTAGTTCTGGGAACATGGGAGATCCCAGTATTAAAAATATTGTGTTTCGAGAAGAAGCGATTTTGGAAGAGTTGCGAAAATTCCCATAGCAGTAATCAGATTTTGGAAGAACTAAAAAGCTCGAAGGAATGTAAATCTCTCTGTCCGAGCGAGATCCCAGCAAAGTTGCTCTTTGAGCTTGTCCGACAGCGGGCCAAACCACTATCCTTTGTGCGCCAGAAATCGTTTGATGCTGGAATCCTTCCCACAGACTGGAAAATTACCCACATTACACCCCTTTACAAAAGCGGTAGTCGTGCTCTTGCAACGAACTACATACCCGTCAGCCGGACATCAATCTGCTGCAAGCTGATGGAGAAAATCATCAAAAAGGAGTTGATGACTTATCTGGAAAGTCACAATCTCTTGTCCAATGCACAACATGCTTTCCGTAGGGGAAGATCATGTGTCACGAAGTTGCTATATACAATGCAAAGTTGGACAAAAGCACTGGACGCAAAACACACTGTGCATGCGGCCTATATTGATTTCCAGAAGGCCCTCGACAGTGTTCCGCGCCAGCGTCTCCTGTACAAGTTGTGAATAATGGGCATCGGCGGCAAACTTCTAAAATGGATCGACAATTTCCTCGTCGGCCGTTCCCAAGTTGTCTGCGTAGAACAACAGCAATCAAGGCGCACATTCATAGACAGTGGAGTTCGACACGGCTCGGTGCTCGGACCAACCATCTTTCTCTTGCTCATCAATGATTGTATAGATGGGTTGGACTGTGATAGTGCCATGTTTGCAGATGACATAAAAATCTTGAAAGTCGTCCAGAATGCTGTCGATGAGACCAACTTCCAAGAAAATCTTTGTCGATTAGACGAGTGGTCCCTCAGATGGCTCATATCCTTCAATTTGAATAAATGTACCCTAGTGCGCCTCGGAAATCAGACTCCTAGTACGCGGCAATACCATCTGAATGGAATACCACTTCGAGATTCAGAAACGCAGAAGGATTTCAGAGTCTGGGTTACAGACAGCCCAAAGCCTTCTACACAATTTTGTAATGCAGCTATACGCTATCAAGCTGGCGTTCGCAGTTTTCGATGAGGACTGCTTCTCCAAAGTCTTCGGCACGCTTGTGAGGCCGCATCTCAAATACGCAATTCAGGCCTGGAGACCATGGACGCAGCAGGTTACAATCTGCTCGAAAGTGTGCAGAGACAGGCGACAAAATTAATAAGAGGTCAAGGTGCACTGCCATACGAGATCCGCCTAACTAACCTTAATCTCTATCCTCTGAGTTTTAGGCAGTTGCGCGGAGACTTGATACAAACTTTCCGTACCGTACGTGGCTTGGACTGCACCCTCCGGTGCGACGACTTTTTCCAACTCGCCACTACAACTAACCTCCGGGGACATCCCTTCAAACTACGTATACCCCAGGGTAGATTGAATGTGAGAAAGTATTTCTTCTCCAACCGTTTCGCGGAACCGTGGAATAATCTGCTCGAGCTGATTGTTATGTCTCAATCTGTGGACACATTTAAATGTCGGCTTGATAGACATATGCTGCAGCAATAAGCGGACTATGTGACTTTTTAGTCATGAGACCAGTGACCTATGTGAATCAATGTCTGCATTCACTTAAATGCTGTAGTTTCTTTACATTTTTACTTATTTTATCGATTTTTTATGTACAAGTAGGGAGTTCAAGGGTGTAAGTCTATTTCCCTCAAACACACAGACTGACTGATATCTAAAGCATAAACACTGTGTTAAGTGCATTTTAGAGGGGATGGTATACAACTGTCCTGCTAGGGAGGACAGGAGGACGTGGGTACTGACTACTTTGTTCGATTATTTTGAAACATTTTGATGTGAAATTTATGCATTTCGCACTAACGGCTCAGAGCACTGAGGGAAGAGGAGTCGAGGTGCTCAGCTCGGGTCTCTCCTGACGGCAGTATCGGAATTCGAACATTGTTCCGCTGGCGCAACCATCGTCTCTCGAAACGTTTGTCGGTTTTTGCCCTCGGAGGGGAGTTGCGTCACTGGGACTTACAGTAGTTGGGCTAACCCATGAAATGTAAACCGAAATTCCGAAATGCGTTTTCGTTTCGAAAAGACTCATTAAATAGGGCTGTAAAACCAAGCATCCTGCAGCATAATTCCATAAAAATTCAATTACCTCAGGGTACCGGCCTCCGAACTAATTTCTTTTCGGCTGCATGCAAAAACTCTACCCCGTAAAAATGACCACTTATGTAGCATGAAATTTTCTCATTGATTTTCGATGCCCCTAAAGGCCGAGTTATATTTCATGGAAAGCATTCATAAAAATGTTCATTATTTTGCTCATTCGGTAGATAGTTACGTCTTCCTCTAATTTTATACTCGAAAGAGTGATATAATCCGGTTTTCAAAAACTTTTCCAATTCCCGAATAATTTTGAACGTACTCTTCCGTCACCCTTGGATTCAAGATTTCCGAACTACCAGTCGTACATTTTCCGCGTACGGAAAAGCACACATTTCTCTACGATAATAAAGAGGGACCATCTACAGTTCACAACATTAAGCAGTGGATTTGATCCAATTTGTTAAATATACAAGCCACATTGGTAAACGCAGAGATGTGACTATTTAACAACGGCCATTTCACGACATTTAAAAGTCCCACAATTAGAAACTTTTTTGAAACCGAATGATGTCACTCCTTCGAGTCCAAAACTAGAAAAAGACGTAAGTTTCTACCGAACTTACAAAAAAACGAATATTTTTATGCATGCTTTGCATGAAATATAACTAGACTTTTAAGGGCATCGAAAATCAATGAGACAAATTCATGCTAATTAAGTGGTCATTTTTACAGAGTATGGTTTCTGCATGCAGCCGGAAGGAAGTTCACTCGAAAGCCGACATCCCCCGGGTAACTGAAATATTATATAATTATGTTGCAGTCTGACGAGTTTTACAACCCTACTTAATTAATATTTTCGAAACCAAAACTCATTTCGGAATTTCGATTGACATTTCATGAGTTAGCCCACCTACTATATTTGACAACAGAGAACACAGTATAAAGGGGATGGCCGAAGGGCTTTTCGATGCATGCAACAAAGCCCTGATAAATCGGATTTAAAGCGGGAATTGGCGACATCAAAGAATGCGATTGGATCACAGGTGTACCTCCAGGTGCCTGTTTATAGTCCATCCAATGAGATTACACATCGATGGCGAGTGACAAACACATTACCTCCGTATTTATGCTATTGTGCGTCCTCTCCTGGAAGCGTTAAGAATCCACGCGTATACAATCTGTAGTCATTCATGCGTAGGTCTGTGTAGTTACAAACCAGCGCCAGCTGCCATTCAGAAAATTTCATGCAGAACAGGAAGAATTTCTGTCGAGTGGGCTAGACCTAGCAACCAACAGACCGCTATCTACTTTTCTTAGCACACCGGGAACAGAGATTGGCCGTATTAAAGTGGCACTTTAGTGCATTCAACTATCCCCTTGCCATGACGAATTTTGCATGACAATCATTGCCCCGGTCAGGGCTTTCGGATTCGTCCGTAGCCGCATCCTATAAAGCGGCTACGGCTACAAGCACGATCAATCTAGTAAACTTAGGCCGGTACCATCCTGGCTTTGCCATCTAACACGAATTTTCTATGCAAAATTTAACGCTATATACAGTAGGTGGGTTAATTCATGAAATGTTAACCGAAATTCCGAAATACTTCTTCGTTTTGAAAATATTAACTAAATAGGGATGTTAAACTAAGCATCGTGTAGGAAAATTCCATAATAATTCAGTTGCCTCTGGGTACCAGCCGTCGAACTAACTTCTTTTCGACTGCACGCAAAAACTATTCGCCGTAAACAAATGACCACTTAAGTAATATGAAATTTTGTCGGTAATTTTAGCTGCCCTTAAAAATTCAATAACATTTCACGGAAGACATGCATAAAAATATTTCTTTTTTACTCATTCTGAATAAAATGACGTCTTCTTCCGATTTTATGCTCGAAGGAAGGACATAATTCGGTTTTAGAAAAAACTTTCCTAACCCCCGAATAATTTTGAACCCTGACATGCCGTTACACTCGCATTCAGGGTTCCCAAATCACAAGCCGTATATTTTCGGCGTAGGTAAAACCACATGATTTTCTACGTTATTATGAGGACAGTATATGGGGTTCATAAAATTTAGCATTTTACCGAAAACATGCATAATAATATGCATTCTTTCGCTCATTCAGTAGCAAATTACCCCTTCTTCCAATCTTATATTCGAAGGAAGGGTATTATTCGGTTTTCAAAAACTTTTCTAATTCCCGAATAATTTTGAACCCGAACTGCCGTGACACCTGCATTCAGGGTTTCCATTTAGGATATTTAATCTCAACCTTTGTAAAACCCTTACTGTCTAAAATTGTTGAGCAAATAGTGACAGCATCCAAGTCGCACTTATTTTACTTTGAACCTTCATTGATCCTGCTGGCCTTTCCCAAAATTGGCGAACTCTTCGTGAATTGCATTGACTTTTGTAGTAAATTCTTTTAGGTTTCATTCTGAGAACGCTTAAAGTCCCCCAATTCTAAGTCAAAAATTGTTAAAGAACAAAAGCAATAAGGATGTACAGCTGGCGAAATCAACTGTCTCATGACGTTGCTTGTTAGAACAACATTCTCAGCAGTCAAATTGACGCCTGGGATGTCTCTCCGCGGGCCAGCTGAAATAGGAGAGTTGATTACAATATCCTCAGACTTGTCTGGTTCAACAGGCCTACAGACAAGATGGGAGCCGGTTAATACGACAGATATGTGCTTTGATGGGAAGATTCCCTAGTCTAGCCAAACTGTCTCAGTCCTCGCACCGACAAGCAGGTCGAAAGGACGCCGTCGACTGAGGGCGTCTGGTATCGGGGATAAAATGCAGTTTAGTACCTGTGTCAGCACCTGAAGGGTGGATCTGCATATCACGAGGAGGACTTCTGAGAAATGAACCGAGATCTCTCTCTTAGGTCCGTCGATTGTTTTCTGCTCCCAATCATGGAGACTGTCGCATGTCAGTTAAGACAGGGCAGTCAATGGAACCTCTTTGATCCATATTTGCTCGGCAATATTCAAGAACGAACTCACCAACTCATTGTTATGAGCAGTAACTGCTCAGAGTTGTTCATCTGAATTTTTTTATTTTAATCTCTATAGCTAATTGTTCGATGGTCAACATTCGCGTCGTTAATTGTTGCAATTTCATCACGTGCGTTGGATATTGGTGTGATGATCGCTCGACCATCTGACCCACCGACCCGGGAGTTGGGAGAAGTGTTCACTTGTGCGTTCTCCGCGTGGCTAATTACTCCGCCTAGACAAATTCCCAGCACTGAGTATGGAAGGGGAAGGTCATTGCACTTATTACTGGACTTGGGGCCAGCAAACCATGACTCAAACAGCTCCCGACTTACGCGGTTGTCACCTCTTGCGAGAAGTTCGACCTCATCGAATTTGAATGTGTGGCCGGGCCTCGTCGAATGAGCCGCAACTCGAGAGCTGGCGTCATTTCTCAGCACCACTGCAGCATGTTCGGCCATTCTCGTTCGGAGCTGTCTTCCGGATTCTCCGACGTAGTTACTTTGTCCGCAACTGGACCAGATCCGATAAACGACTCCAGACGTTTCTAGCCGTGGCAGTGGGTCTTTCGGTTTCATTACTTGACGCCTGACGGTTGCCTGTGGTCTATGTGCACCTCCAACCGCAAGTGGTGCGAGAAGGCGGTCGACAGCTTCCAAACGCTCTTGACATACGGAAGCGCCCGAAAAAAATTGGTGCCCGTGCGGTTAGGCTTTTCGTCCCTTTTGCGTATGCACCGGTTGACAAAGTTGCGCGGGTAGCCATTGGCTTTGAAGTCCCGTCGGAGTTATTGTAGTTCGGCAATCTTGTCTTCCGGCTCACGGCAGTGCGTTTCGACACACCGATAGAGCGTCCTTACACAACTGCGTTTGTGGCTGATTGGGTGGCTGTTGTTGAAGTTCAGTACTTGCATCGTACTTGTCTTATTAATCGGTAGAGTTATTTCAAGTCAGGCGCAGCTCTGAAATCAGCAAGAAGAAAGACAAATCGTTGCGTCGCTAAGTTCGCCAAAGATTTTGCCTAGCGTGGGCAAGATAAAGTGCGCCATCTCGTCAGAAATTAACTGATGGACTTAAAATGTTGAGAATCTAATTAATAGCCCGAGCCAAAAGATATTTCAGTGGCACTCTCACAGTAACCGCAAAAGGGCCGCGCCTTACTCAAAATCCTCCAGCTGGCCGCCAATGGCATGCAGGTGCTCCGCAGTGGCGTATATTTGAAAAACCATGTTACCGATCTCCGGAATTGGACCCGTACCGGAAATTTAAAAAGGCATTTTCAAAGTGCATTTGCATATCTCTGACTGGTCATTGGCTGGTTTTAACTACTACGCGGTTAATGCAGTTCAAATATTCAAATCGAGTTTGGGACCAAATTTAAACGATTGTAATCAAAAAAGATAATTTCAAGATCAGCATCAAAAATGCAATTAGAGACAGATGGTCAGATTTAGTATGGGGAACTCTGGGTTGATTCAATGATGATGTATATTAAGAATCATGTGACAACATAAATTCTGCAAAATATGTGTCTACTGACAACATCTAATGCCCAGTCTGTTAAGTCTTGGGTTGACTTGAAATGACCTACTGTTTACAAGAGATGAGATCCGAGTTTCTGATAGTGCGGACTGTTTTCTCTCATAAATATTTACCAGTGTGGAGGGAATGGCCACAGAAATGCCGGCAGACTGATGCAGAACTGATTATCTCTGGCTACCATCTGCGACCAATTTACATTACTAATGCCGGAACTCTTCAGCAACTTCGCATCAAAATTCAATTTTTCGCAATTCGGATAAACAAATGGAGCGAAAAGAACCACCACCGTTCTTTTTAACAGAAAGATGAAAGGAAAGTCTGCATCCCGGCTGTTTATAGTCCTTGCTTAGAAAAATAGCCAGTAAACTAGTATAGCTTGATAAATATCTAATTTTCGTTGCCGTTGAATTTCGCAAGTACATTTACTTTGTCGTAGCCTTCAAGCCCAAGTGGTATCCCTTTTCAGTCAGTCATACCTGGTGGAAAACTTGCACCTAGGATGGACTTGCTTCCCTGTGACTTGATTCACGGGCACTCATAGCTCAAATATCTGTATGTTTTGGCAATCACGAGCCTAATGAATGGGGAACAGTTCACAGATACCAGCCTATAGCTTACAGTTAATTTAGCTCAACCTCTGACCGTTTAACAGAGTACGTAGTATACCTCGTAAAGATCCCATTTCGCGTGTCTGCAATTCCCTCATGCCTGTCTCGGAAACTCCAAGGACCGTCTGCGACTGTCTCTGACGATAGATTCGAGTGAGAATCCGAAACGTCAGGCCAGCATAGTGCTTGTTCCAACGATTGCATCTTACTCTGCAGAATCGTAGCAGTCGCCCGACTCACTCAACTCCCAATCGGCAAGATGCCTTTTCTGACTTATATGCATTTTTTCAAATGACATTGACCTTAAATACCCGCACCGACATTTAAATGAGACCTGAACTGAAAGTGGATTGGGACTGGTCAGCAAGACTTCTTGTTTGAAGGCCTCCCTAGAGAATGTTTAGCGAGTTCTGGGGGTGGTATTCAAAATAGAATCGGTTCGTTCTCTTGTTCGCGGAAAGACAACCCTACCTATGAGGCACCAAAATTAAGTGTGCCATCTAGTCCTTATTATGAATCAAATGGTCTGACCTAGAGGCTGATTAGTCATCCCGCGCATAAGTGGTTTCTTTGGTGCAGCTTTAAAATTGTTCCTGGTTCTAGGTAGTATGACTACGCAGAGGAAAACACGCCTGCGTTGCAATCCAGAAAGGCCGCCCATTGTGATATTCTATTCAGTACCTTGTCTCATGCAACTGTTTAGAAATGACATTATCTACTCCCTGGTGTCTGCATCGCTGGCTTGTCGTATTCTTTCAGTCCTAAGAGGGAATTTTAGCTTTGCCCACCTAAACTTTTCAGATAGCAAGGTTGAGCAGTCAGCATCGCCCTGCAAGATACAAATACTCACGAAGTCTACCAATTTGTAGAAAGCAAGAGTGGTGATGATGACTGTGGGGGGAGGGGGAGGAGGAGGAGGAGGAGGAGGAGGAGGAGGATCAGACGTCTTTGTAAGGCATTACCCTTAGTAGGAGTGCCAGCAGTATTGATTAAACACTAATAACAGTAATAATGACGACAGTTGTAATGGTAATAGCAATAATGATGGGAGAAGTAGTAGCATTAGTAGTGGTGGTGGTGGCGGCGGTGGTGGTGGCGGCATCGGTAGTAATAGCATTAGTAGTAGTAGTAGTAGTAGTAGTAGTAGTAGTAGTAGTAGTAATGGTAATAGGCCCAATAATGACAGCGATGATGATGATGATGATGGTGGTGGTGGTGGTGGTGATGATGATGATGATGATGATGATGATGATGATGATGATGATGATGATGATGATGATGATGATGATGATGATGATGATGATGATGATGATGATGATGATGATGATGATGATGATGATGATGATGATGGTGATGGTGATGATGGTGATGACGAAGACGACGACGATGACGACGACGACGACGAGACAGAGGAGGATCAGGCATCTGTGAAGAAGATGGCGTCACTGACGAGGAAAATGATGGAGACACCTTATACTGCATGCAAATAAAAGTAGGCCCAGTGATCCTTGTTTTTTGTCTTACAATCTGAAGTCGAGTATTCGTAGTCTGCGAGAAAGCTACCATTATTACGTCATCAAATCCGGCTTTCGGGCTCTTGAAACTTTGTCGCTTTTTCCTACTATTTAATCGTGAAAGAAATTTTTGTCCCTCGACGAAGAATTTACATAAAGTCTACTTAAAGTCCGTCCAATCTGGTATGTGACGCTGAGGCGTTTTGAACTAGGAGAAGACGTCATGTGGTTTCTGGTGTTTTCGTGATTCCTCTATGTGAAGAATAGATAGTACAGGAATCACACACGTAAAACGCTCGATGTTTTCCGAAGCATCTCCAACTTCCATTTTCATATGGCTATGGATGTGTTGCGTACTTTAGAGCTGGTTCATCAAAAATAAGCATGTTAGAATACGCTACTGTGTGAGCGGTTTTCCATGATCCAGCCTTGTAATTTCTTCACAGAATCAAGATGCCATCGCGCACAAGCTTTGTCCTTTTCCGTCTCTGACTTCGGATGCCCCTTGTACAATCATGTCCTTATGACCTAATCTTTTCCTGCCTCGAACGATAATATACGTTGATTGTGACAATTTGCGGGCCCCTGTCTTCTCCCTTCTTCCTGACAGAACACATTCCTAGTCGTACATCTGGTGGTACAGAAGGTTTTCTCCGCTTTACTTGCCCTGTGAGCAGTCGGATATTCTTTTGGGAAAACTGTTTCCGTTAAATTGTTCAAGCTGCTTTCACCGCTTACCTGACTTGGCACGATACAGTCCTACCTGTAACCTGGCTTATTTTAAAAGAGTCGTGGTGGCGGAGGTAGTATCGGAATGTCTGGACCTGTTACTAATCATGCCCTAACTCACAGAGAATATGAAAGACTGAGGTTCGGGTATTTATCCGACTCCTGGGTCGCTGGCATCCACGTTTCGATCTGCACCAAGCCAATGTTTTGGTTGAATTTGAAAAAGACCGCAGTGTACAGATATCAAAATTTGAGGGTGGGCTAACTTTTCTTAACATTTTATGTCGCAGCTCCAAAAACTCCATCAATCACATGGTTCTTTTTAATAAGCAAAGTTTTGTCACCGCGAAATTCTGCCAGCAATAAATGGTAGACCGGAATGGCCATCTCCAGTTTATCTGTCGTCACAAAGCATTTTCACATCCACCACAAGCCAGAAAGACTTTCAATGCCGTTCCTCCAGTGTTTTCTTCGTTGGCTTATCGAATTTAACTTGCTTTGCCACCACGCAACATATCGACCGTCGTTGCCGACGATGTCCACCGTGTGCTTCGCAGCGAAGTAGAGCAGGCATGGTGGCTTGCGCGTGAATTAGTTTATAGTTAATGTGGACTTGCGCTGTGTCTACTTCACCGTCTCCTGCTCCACCTTAGCCTGATGTTAGGACAGTGTCAAACATATCGAAGATGGGAGCGAGCGCAGGTGGCCGTAGCGACCATGGCCGCCCCTGGGTGCGCTGCCACTGTCTTCTCCTCTCCCACCAGGACCCGGTATCAAGACAGATTTAAGAAGACCGATGGCGGGGGAGGGCGCAAGTGGATGGTGCTGTCGAGTCCGCTCCTCGGTGCTGCGCTTCGCACCCCCCGATTCACACAGCAAGTGACCAGAATGTTAACCAACAGAAGGGGCGGACGTGGTCGGGGCCTCGGCTAAGCAGACCGTCACATCCGGCTCGGATCCCACGAAGTGAGAGTGCCATAAAGGCCTTATTGAGAAGGAGCCATTTCAGTCTGACTCTAAGACTACCAGCCGGCCACTCCACACAACACTGGGCCAACTACGAGGTCCAAGTTATTCCGTCAGTTGGCAACCCTCCAAACCACGGCTTTTAGCACACCGTAATAGCTTCGAGCACGTCAGATTGTTCATAGTGAGGAAAAAAATGCGCTGAGTCGTCGACATCACTCTCTACTCTCACTTGCAGGCCCTAGCCGCCGTCTGAGTCTTGTCTGCGAGTGCCACACGCTCGACCTGGCCCTTTTAACACTAGCACCAGATAGGTAAGGTGACACTGACAGAGACAACGGAGACCGGAATGGCCATTTCTGTCATCAGCACTCGGCGCATGGCGTTCACTCACATGAACAGACAAAACAAAAGCAGCATCAGCTGCACTATCGAGGGGGTGATCGAAAAGTTTTTCCTGTTTTTAAAAGAGGTTAAGTGGATGAAATCGAACTACGCGTCAGTGTAAGGCGACCTCTATTTGCACCCAGAAGTGCAACAAGTCCCGTCAAACGTCGGTTACGCTGTCCTGGTCCCAAGTAAAGTAAACTGAAGTGGGATACTGAAATCGGTAGAGAAAAAATTGGCGCTAAATGCGCCTGCGATCCCCTTGGTTATACAGGTGGTAGGCATGGCTGTCCAGTCATCATCCTCGTCCTCCTGGCCCCTGTTAGAGTGAAAAAAACTCCTGTTCATGTGTATGTTGTGGATGTTGTGGAGGTGCGTATTAAGTTATCTTGTTATTGCGTGGTCTCTGAGGAGCACCATTTGGGTCTGAAACATACCGTGTGGTTCAGTCAGTTGGCCTCAGTGTTAGATCCGACATCCCCACTTATAACTTGCAACACACGAATGGCCCTCACACACTTTTCTCCTGATAACATCGGAATTTGAACGGAAGTGATTTTTAGAACCTAGCCTGATCAAATACAAGGGAATCCCGTGTTTAATTTAAACTTGTCAAGGAGGAACTCGCTGGTGACTCTGAGTGCTGCTTCCTAAAACGTGCCACACAGTAGATGCGTCGGACCAACACGGAGCTAGCTGGGAGTCCGGCTGGCATCATTGGGACTGAAAGCGTATGCTATGTCCTTATCAGCGAACCATGGCCCTCATAGCCTGGTATGCGCTGGCAATTCCCTGAGACCTGGTTCCCTGCCGCTAAATGCGCTTGCGTTCCCGCTGGTTACACAGGTGGTGGGCATGGCTGTCCAGGCATCCTCGTCCTTCTGACCCCTGTTGGGGGTGTTGTTGGTGAAAAATCCTGGTCGAGTGTATGTTGTGGACCAGGGGGTGTGGTGGCACGCCTAGGTGCGGGTCCGGGCGTGCCAGCCACCTGCGCCCTCCCCTGCCTCCAGTCTTCTTGATTCTGTCTTGACACTGGGTCCAGGTGAGGAGGGGGAAGGAGGGGGTGTGGTAGGTGCCGTGCAAGTCTGCTATCACTATAAACTAACTCACGCACAAGTCATCGCCCCTGCTCTCACCTTGATGTGGTGGACATTGTCGGAATCGGCGGTCAAACTGTCGGAAATGCCATAAAAACCTTCTTTGCAGTAACTGAGAAAAAATGAAAGCGTAATACATGGTAAGCAGTACCTGGTGTTGCGGGTGAAGAGCCACCGCTTCCGCCAGCACCTAATTTCAGAGCGGACCAGCGCCCGGCGCCCTTGGCTGACTGGTCTCGCCTCGCGGTCGGAGGTGCTGTACTGCCGATGAGGTGGGCACCCGTGGAGGGAGCGCCGGGGCCCAGACGTTTTGCTACGGAGACACTGCACGTACCGGTGGTGGGCTTGAGCGAGTCCCCGAAGCCTGACTCCTGATCGGCGACCATGCGTGTGGCGCCCCCATCAACACAATCCTCCTCCTCCTCCTCCTGCTTCGGCACCAGGGTCAGTCGAGGAATTGCACTGCTTCCGAGATCCCACTTAGTCGCTGGTGGTACGCAGATCTCACCAAGAGAATCGAGGAAAGCGATCGACACAGCCTCACCCTCCAGTCGGAACAAGGAACCTGAACGAAAGATAGGGGATGAAGTCGCCTCGTTAGAATAATGATTTGTAGGTCATGTACACAGGAGACGGAAGACTGTTCTACTTTAGATAAGAGTAATATCCTAATTGTAGACCTATAATGCTCAATGGGAGCGCCCGGTAGAACTGGGCCGAAGCGTCGACAAACAGGATGTTTTCTCAAAGGCCATTCTATGTGAAGTAAGCTCCTTCAGGTACTCCCTGCCGACAACGAATGGGAAGACAGGAAAGTTTTAGAGTGAGAATAGCCCTGCTAGAAAGATGAATGTTAGGAGCGTATACTATTTCAGAGGCACCTCCTCATCCAACTTATTTGATGTTAGTAGGGCAACGGATCGGTGGCTCAATGATGGAGCGCTCAACTACGTAACGATAAGTGACCAAGGGATCTCGGTTCGAATTTCAAGTTATCCATATGTTAAGTTGGGCGTGGTTGGCTGACGATGGCTAGGAAGAAAAGAAACGGCAATCCCGGTTCCCCGTCTTTGTCAGTAGTCATTCCTGCACATACTACTGACCGTTACATGACAGTTCGCGACACGGGCTCTTCATTGAGCCTCAGGGTGCGATGGAGTAAGCACATCTCGTAACCTGACCGATGATGCCCCCTCCTTAATTAGGATTTTCAGTAGTACCAACCACTTCCCCACATCTAGTTTCGGTCGAATAACACAACATTCTGTGTGCCCCATTGGAAAACCCGATCTGAATTCAATCGAGCAGACACTTGTGGCCAGGTAGAAGGACGGGTCAGAGAGCTTCCACAAAAGGAAACAAGGGTTGATCCTCAAAGATGGCAAGCCAGTCACTCACCTCCGACACTGCAGGTGGAGGCAGCGTCGTCGGAGGGGTCGACAGTCAGGGTGAAGAAGACGCCGCGACTTGTTCCAACCCAGAGGTGCGCGGTGGAAGTGGTGTCTAAAGGCACAAAAGAGGGGAGGGGATGCCTGGACGTGATCACACTCTAGGGGAAAAAGTGGGGAAAGTAGCCGAAGCCGAAATGGAAAAGCCAACCTGATGTATGACAGATTTGCCGTGGGATTGATGAAAGCCTAGAATCTCCGCAAAAGACCTAGTTGATGGAACAGGCGGAGCAGCAATGCCACAAACCTGACAGCAAACCTAATCGTAACCTCAAAAGTAAGCCTAATCCTTAACGGAATTATAAAAATAACGTTAATGCTAGACTCAACACCAAACCTAAGCCTAAACTTACCACAAACCCCAGCCCTAACCGTAAGCCTAACCTTAACCCTGACCGAAATCCTAACCCTAACCTTGATCCCGACCCAAACCCTAGCCATAAACCTAACCGTAACCCTACCCTAACACTGGCCCTAGCCCCAATCTCAACATTAACCGTAAACCTAAACTGCAATTCAAACCCTAACTCTAACCAGAACCCTTAAATTTAACACAAACCCTAAACTCAATTCTCAGCCTGACACTAACCAAAACCCTAATACAAACCCAACCTCTAAACCGAAACATCAGGTTGCCCTTTTCCGTTTTAGCTTTGGCTACTTTCCCACTAACGTTTTAAGCATCCTCCTTCGGCCTTCTTTACTTGCAATGCCCACATTGCACCTACACTTTGGACTAGGGCAGCGTAGCCAACCCCTACCCACGTTGTATGCAGTGATCTGGGCTCACACAGGCCCCTCTTATCGACTTGTCTGGGAAATACGGCAACACACACCTGCCCAACACCTAAATTAGTAATTCCTCACAACCGTCCTGGAGGCTTGTTCGCCTTCATTGCTCACTTAACATAACCACTTTTAGAGTCCCGTGTTTTTGACATAACTTCGAACAGTAAATGGTGGTCAGTAACCGATTTTTCCTGAAGAAGTTGTTTTCAGCCGAGCATTGTCCCAGAACAAGCAAGAGAGTGAGATAGAGAGAGGGAGAGATTGAGTCGACCGTGTCCTAAGCTCATTAGCAGTTTCGCTTGACGTAAACAGGAGTAAGTTCCTAAGCGCGCTGACGACTAATCAACGAATACTAGGTGAAGACTTCGAGGTGTGAACTAACAGGTAGCGGCGAGAACCACCCCAACAGAAGTGTTGACGGGGTCGGGCTACGTAGGCCGAGTACCATCGACTGTGCCGTGATCGTGGTGTTTGCTGAAATCAGCTGCTCACGTATATCGGTGAATTCATCAATGAGGGAAGGGAGGGAGGTGTTCTGAATAAAAGTCCGCGTCTCCATGGTTTAAGTTGCAACTTCATTATGCCTTAGGGCACTCGTTTAATGGTCAAGAAAAATTACAGTTGAAAAGGCCCCTGGAATCTTCAGTTATGTATATCTATATATAGGCCGTCTGTGTTATGCAAATAGTTGCAATTAGGAGGCTTGTATGAATGAAACATGATTGCACATTATTTAATCTGCAGTGACAGACGGGCCATCAATATAGAATTTTGGAAACCGCCCATTTTTGGGTTGACCTCACTACACAGTTTTTTTCGGCGTCATTACTGATATTCGCGTAAAGTACTTTATTTCTTACAAGGAGGGTTGGAACACACTTTTAGGCAACGGTAACGTAAAGATGCTTTGCTTTCTAGAGCCAGCTAATGCTTCTCATTTTTAGACAGTAAATTTTAAAATACAGTGGAATATGGTAGAGGAACGCCCACCAATTAGGTTACGCAAGGTGCAGACATTTGCAGAGTGACTAGTAACACTAGGTGGATGAGTTTGCAGCGACGAAGACAGGCGAAATTGGAATGGCCACTTCTGGTTTGTTAGCCAGTATCAACTAGTCATGCTCGAGCCTAGATAAGGAGCACCAGAGACACGAACCCTTGTTCTTTGGCCATTGCGTCTAATAATCCGCCGTTGTCCTGTTGGTTGTGATGTTGGCTAACAATCCAGAAATAGCCATTCCGGTTTTCCTTGTCCTTTCCGCATCATCCTATCTATCTATAAAGGAGTATATAGGAATATGACCCGACCCGAAAGAGCGGGGAATTTTCACAAACCTTAAATCGCTCACTGTATTTCAGGAGTTTCCGCTGTTTCAGTATGAACCTACCTGTAAATGCGCTTCACGGCAAAGTTCGTTTCAAGTAGTTCATGAGTTCCGAAACCGTACATTAAAATAAACTAATTTTCGAAACAGGATAAAGTTATGGGATTCCTTTGCAATTTGGCATGCCCTGTTTTTCAGACATCTCCCTTCGGGCAAACGCAGTCCTTGATTCGACCACTGTGAGAAGAGGTTGCTTGCATGTAAGGAGCATTTTACTAGCCTAAGAAGGTAGCGAAAATCAGGCAATTAGTCGACCAAAAGAAAGTTTCACTGCCATGATTGAACAGACCATTACCGAAGATCTGACACGCTCCGACTGTTTAAAATAGGGAACAGTGCGTGCCAAGTCATGATTTGGTAAAGGACGAGAGGGGAGAATTTCGTAAATGTTGGTCGTTACGGTGACCCGCAAGTGAAGTAACGAGGGTGATTCGACAGTGACACCGGCATTCGTCTCGGCGAATTTCGAATGGAGACACCGTCAACGAACAAGAAAAAACGTTCGTATTCGCAGCTCAGAATGTCCAGGTAAAGGATGTGTTGAATTTCAACTTTATGCGGCGAAAATCTCGATTAAAAAAGCTGTTACTTATGTGGCCGACGCTCAAGCGGTCACCGAGCAAATGAAAACAGTCACCTCGAACTTGAACAGAACGACGCTATTTGGGGCAGGGCTCGGGATTCTGCTAAATGCCATCGATGACGGCTGAATGATGGCTTCATTTGCTTGCTGGACTTACAACGCGAACGACTTGGGGAAGGCCTATGACTCACTGATGAACCGCACCTGCGTCACACAGTCGCAACAAATCGGCGAACCTCATATCGTCACTCCATCCTGTACCTTTGCTGGAGCCAAGGTGAAGCCTTTTGGCCTGCTGTCGGGCTCCAGCTTAGCTGAACAGCGCCTAGAATTTGCTCAGGAATACGGACGCTCAACAAAGACAGAGAGGTCCGATGACGAAAGATGATGCTTCAGAGAAACCCTCTTCGCCACAACCGTTGGCTGAAGTTCGCGTAGCTCTTGATAGCCTTGACCATACGAGTTTCTGTGACATTTCTATGGCCGGATGCTTGCGAAACAGAGGCATATGAGCACTGACTTTCCGCCCCTAAGCCAACTATATAAAACAACAAGCCCACGCAATCTGCTGCTTAGAATAGGCAGTTTCGGGTAAAGCGACCATTTTCTAGTTGTAATGTGCTTGTTCACTCAGTGAGCACAGATTTCCCATACAACGAAAATAGGCAATACTGAGCCGCCTGCATTTTCTGGAACTATCCCATCTTTGTCTATTTAATTTTTCCATGGTCTTATGCTGATTTTGCTATTTGCAACTTTTTTTAAAAAATGCCTAATAACGGAAGTTTTAAAATATTTCGTTCTTATCTGAGCAAAAATATCTGAAAACTTTTTAAACCCTGGCTGTCAGTCAAAGAGTTAGTTGTAGCAGAAAGCTGGCGAGGTAGTTTAGTACGGTTGCATAAAAAATAATTCAAGTAGCATTGACTTGGAAGCCAAGGCCTGGTAAGTCGACTCATTTATTGTACATTTTTCCATTTCCTTTAACCAATGGGAATCATCCTCCTCGTAAATTTAATAATGCCACTTGTGTACATCCGGGAAAAAGTGAAGTACTCCACTTAAACTTAAAATTTGGAAAAGCTGAGGATCGGCTTCTTCAGAATTGTTTTTCGAATTTCACAGCGCTGTGGTGTTTGACTGGAGTCGTTGAACACAACCGAGATACCTCATCCTAGGTGTCAGAATAAATATTTCGTAACCATACTCCTCCCTTGCACGCGTAACCTGTCATTGAGCCTCGGCGAAATGAAATTATCTTTTTTATATTCGCATGAACGCGAGTTTATTACTAAATTATTTGATGTCCCTTACGCCTATGGCCTCCGTGGCACTCCCAACTCAGTTGGGATTCCAGCGACACCTTTCGTGTTTCTGTGAAAACCTGGTCCGTCGTCCGAGGATCAGGCGTTGGTCGCACACGTAGACGAAGTGTTTAGCCACTGCACCCGATCCCGTCTCCGATCTTTCTGATTCTGTCATGACGCCGGGAGGAGGGGGTGAGATAGTTGCACCGCAAGTCCGCTATTACTATAATCTAACTGACATGCAGAGAGAGAGAGGGAGATTAACGCATGAACTTTTGGCAAATTAGGACTTGACAGTAACTTATGAGAAATGTTTAAGGTGTTATGCGTCTCCCAAAGTAGTCAGTCAAAATTTACGCACGGTCATCAAGAGATGTCACGACATCCGTTGTTTGCTTGCATCCTAATCCCTTTTTTGATTCTTTCTTGCAAGTCCCAAATTTCCATCGAAATTTTTCGGTAAATCCAATCAAACATGCGCAAGCATTTGTTACACCATTTCACCTTTACTCTGGCGATTACGAGAAAGATTTGGTGGTTGGTCTTTAGTCCTTTAGGTATGCATTAGAAGCCACAAAATTACGATGGGTCCATTCCGCCTTTTGACTGGAATAAGGTCAGTGTCTTTTTTGAAGAATGCTGTAATTGTTTAAGTTGTTACAAGTCGCGACATCGCAATACATTCCACAGACCACTATGCCATAACCAACCGATGACTGCAACAAGGCATTCATTGTAAAACTGTGACGCAGTCAAAAATGTCCTGACCGTTTTGGGCAAGAAGTTCCAAACAATGGAGATCTGCCACATACTTCAAAAATTAGTGCTGAGTGTCTGCGTGCAGTAGCTTTCGGGGATAATTTGGAACCGCACTTTTTCTGCTTAAAAAAGTTATTTCATTAAGCTTGGCGCCAAAAACGGTTAATTATCTAGGTCTGTTGGAAGAATGGCCACAAAGTTCTAAGCTGTTTCTTGTCGGCATTTTCAATGGGTTCCAATACAGTCATTTGTCTGTTAGGAGTTATTGATTTTCTCTTACATCGCAGTCGGGTGGAGGAGGGGAACTGAGAATCCGGGGAGGGAGAAGAGCGACGTACTTGAGTTAGAGAGACAACTTTTGGGAGACTCGTTAGGCTCGCACTGCCGGATGACTTTTTTTCCGGTCATCGCTGTGCTCACAGTAGCCGACTGTAGCGACCAACTGGTCAAGGTGTCTGAAGATGGATGAGATTAATCACCGACTGATTACACCGCTCACACCATAACCAAATAACGCTAAAAAGGCTTAAAAGCATCTTGCAACATGCTGGGAGCTTACACATTGGTAGGCGTCTGCAATTCCATCCTATATACTGCGTGTTTTGCGTGCCGCAACACAAATGTGTAGATGTTCGCTATGATTTTAAAGGGTGAATACTGCTTTAGTATGGCTACAGATGGAGTTACCAGGGAGGCCTAGCCGCGTCCAATGCGGGGACAGTAGGGCTGCGGGAAACGGTGAAGAATGTGGAAGGGGGCGCTCACTGATTGTGTTCATGGAACTCACTTGTTTATTGTGCCTAAGGGCTCTTTCTCGAGCCCAACCAGCAGACGCACAGGGGCGCGTAATATAAACAGAGTAATATTACCGACAAAGACAAGGGAGTTATGAATGGCAATATCTAGCTTATTAGACGTCGTCTGCCGGTCATACCCAACCCCGAGGTGTGAGACACCCGAGGCTCGAACTCGCGACCTGTTTGTTAGAAGGCCAACGCCTCTAACCACTGAGCCACGGACCCGTTGTCCTGTCCGTTTCCATGGGGAATATACAATGGTGGAGGGGCGTTCACCGATCGTTCTTACGGCACAGTATATACCGCTGCTGACGGTCGCGCTGGTTCATCGTTGATCTGGGGTTATCCGTTTGCAGTCGCGGAGTGGGGCGGGGAATGTTACCACTGCGACTGCTATTCCGCGACCTGACGTGACAGGCCTACACATCCGACTGCCTTCTTCTGTTTTTTTTGCTCTCTGAGATTATGGATTAAACTACGAGTTTGGGAAGTCAGGGGAATAAACTCTTTGTTTCCACTGTCGGTCCGGTTCAACTCCCTAATGGCGCGGTGTCAGTCTATGATGACGATCCATTGTCGATCAATTATTTCCTTCGGGATGCCAGCTTTTGAATGAACTTCTTTCCGGCCGTCTACATAGAGTACACTCTGTACAAAATGACTACTTAAGTGGTATTCATTGTTCTCGTTGATTTTCGGTGCCGTTATAAATTCAACTATATTTCATGGAAGACATGCATACAAATATTCAGAATTTTTACTCATTTGGAAGAAAATTACATCTTCTTCAAATTGTATACTTTAGGGAAGTGTGTAACTCGGTTTTAAAGAAGTTTCGAGTTATGGATTTTTAGACCGTTGCATGTCCGTTCATAACGTATCGTGTCTCTTCATTTACTAGTTTTGCTTGTAAAGTTTACGATATGGCTCCTATCCACTGCTGAACTTTACGAGCTCCATATGGTCTCCTCTTAATAGTCTATAGAAATGTATGATTTCCCGTACATAGGAAACACACCGCCTGTAGTTCAAAAATATCGAATTCAAGTGTAACGGCACGTTGGGTTCAAAAGTGTTCAGGAATTTCCTTACACCACTCTCCAATAGCCACCGCCAAGAAAGTCAGATCATTCGACTGACTGTGAAACAACATCGTTTTGCTTCCTACTACTTTTTTCTCGTGAGTATCTGAGTTAAGACTTGTCAGCGCCTATGAATCGTGTCAGTCGGATAGGGCCACCTTCAGAGACGATTACCTGAACTGTCAGTATGTCCGAGTCATCGACAGTCTTCACGTCTGAAAGTGTGCGCCATGCCAATAACAGCAAACCAAGGCCCACGCAGCCTGGTATGCGCTGGCAGTTCCCTGACACCTGCTTCCCTGCCGGTAGATGCGCTTGCGTTTCCGCTAGGTACACAGGTGGTGGGCATGGCGGTCCAGTCATCATCCCCCGTCCTTCTGACTCCTGTTGGGGTGATGTTGTTGTTGTTGTTGGGGAAAAATTCTGGTCAAGTATATGCTGTGAATTAGGGGGTGTGGTGGCACGCCTAGGTGCGGGTTCGGTCGCGCCAGCCACTTGCGTCCTCCCCCGTCTCCGGTCTTCTTGACTCTGTCTTGACACCGGGCTCAGGCGGGGATGAGGAGAGAGTGTGGTAGATTCATCGCAAGTCTACTGGCACTATAAACCCCCCGCGCACGTCACCGTCCCTACTTCCACCACCTGCTGTGGGGCATAGGGTGGACATCATCACAATCGATGGTCGAACTATCGTGTTTGTATTGGTTTATTGTAATGGTGGTTTTTTGGTACAAACTTCTCTCCTCGCAAGGAAGATGAACGTGCGATCACTGATTTATTAGCCTGAGCTTCTGTACTTGTTCAGGAGAGGCCAAATGGCGTGGCACAGTTCACAGTCAAGGCAGCGCTCTGTCGCCACGATGGAGTCAGCACGGTCGTGGGCACAATCCTCCTCCCCTTGCCCGCGTTTGTTCTTTGACCACAAAGCTGTTCGCTTGTTGTTTCTCTCTCTCTCACCTAGTCCCAGATGATAAGCTCCTGTAGGCGTCCGAAATGACAGGCTAGTACGCCTACTGTTCCAGTTGTCACGCGTACTTGTGCGGTTGAAGGGCATGCACCGTTGTTGACATTCCGATTTCAACCAACAGTACTCGCGTGCTCGTCCTCCTTGCAACAGGAACGGAGGACGTGTACACCCACCTCCATCCTCTCTCTCCTCCTCTTCCATAGTGGCGAGAAAATGCCAAACCGACTGACGTGGCTAACCCCACGTCCATGAATGTCACGTCCGTGCGTAGTGGTCTCTGTGTACGCATGATACAGAGCTTATGCAGGCTTGGATTTACCTACTGGAGAGATCACGAAAGAAAGAGTTGACGCGTCTGGTCAGATGTGTTTATGTAGCCGCACTTGAAGTAAACAAACTCCAGCCACCTGTAATACGGGAGCGGTGGTAATAGGAGGCTTTGCAGGTGGGGCCGTGGAACGCACAGGCGATGAGGCAAAGTAATTGTATGTAAAGGGAAAGCTTTTGGAACTGGTAGAGTGGTGTTCACTGATCGTTTTTACGGAACTCACTCGCCCCGGTTGTGCCCTGCGGGCTCTCTCTCTCGAGCCTAACCAGCAGCCGCAGAGCGGCGCGTGATACAGGCAGAATGATATTACCGACAAAGGCAAGGGAGACTGGAATGGCCATTTCTGGCCTATTATCCGTCGTCAGCCATACATACCCAACCTCGAAGTGCGGAACACCTGGGGCTCGAACTCGCAGCCTATTATTTAGACGTCCAACGTCTCTAACCACTGAGCCACGGACTCGTTGTCCTGTCGGTTTCGATCGGGAATGCACAGTGGTAGAGGGGCACTCACCGATCGTTTTTACGGAACTCACTCGTCCCGGTTGTTCCGTTGTTCGAGCCCCGGATGTCCCACACATCGGGGTTGAATATGACTGGCTGACCATGGCTAATAAGCCAGAACAGGCAATTCCAAACTTCCATGCCTTTGTCGACTGTATGTTGCGTGGTTGATAAATAGTTGACTTAACCACTAAACTTAGTCTTAACCCCTAAGTCTAACCCCTAACTCTGACCTCTAACCCAAAGCCCTAACACCTAACTTTAAATCCTAACCCCTAACCCTTTAATCCTAACCCCGAAACATCCAACGCGAAAGTTAGAAGGTGACGACAGGCCGAAATTCAAGAAGGACCACTGGCAGTGGGCCGAAAAAGGTAGACACGGCAACAAACAAACAAGGTCGCCAACAGAACACACACTGCAACGCACAGCGACACCATTCCAACGTGATCAAACCACCTCAAAATAACTAATTAGGTCAACAATATTGTGTCTATCAGATGCGACTATATAACCACATCTTACTCATGAAAATCCTAGTCATCGGTCTTGTCCAACACCAGCAACACAAGGCTAGGAATGAACAATCGAAAACGACCGCCGATTTAACTTTTTTCATTTTTCCTATTGGTATCAACAGAGAACCTAAACTGCCAAATGATTTGGGCGTGTTTGAGACACCCGCCTTAACCTTATGAACGACTTTATCGCTGTAAATAATGAGTACCGCCATGTGTATTGAAGGTTGTTTAGTAAGATTCGGAAGTAAATTATGGGTTCACCTTGTTTAGTTTCCGAGGAAATTAAACAAGGCAAATTGAAACTGGAGTTCATATACCAGAAAACGCACGGGGAAAGCTGGGGGGCCCACTGACGAGCCTAACCCCTCGCAGCTGCGTCAGGCAGCGGCATAAGATCGGCGAAACACGCGTGTCTGGGCTTTTAGCTAATACCTGTGTTGTTAGTACGGTAGATCATTGCATGGGTTAACCATTAAAGAGCCGATTTGAAAGTGTTAGGACGACGATCAGCTAGCTGCATCGTAGTTTATATCAATTCCTGGTGTTAATAAACGAATCTACAGATTGAGAACCACGGCAATCTAGGAGCTGTTATGAAACCGTTACCAAGAGACGGACCGAAGTAAAATAGATAAAGCTTCGACGTTCGAAATTCAAGAAGGACCCCGGCATTGGGCCGAACAAGGTAGACACGGCAACGAACAAACAAGGTCGCCAACAGAACACCCACCGCACCGCACAGCAACGCCATGCCAACGTAAGAGCACTAACTTATCGGGTGCGACTACATAACCATATTTTACCACGCGGTCTGTTTGCAGCATTTCAACTTCTAATTTCTAGCATGCTGTGATATTTCAGAAGCGTATGAGAATTACTAGAATAGTTCTGCCGTTGCAAGCAGCGACCAGCGATGACTTGCGCAGCGCTGCCGCACTCTCGCACGGAGGACAAAACAATATCAACCGACTGGAGGTGGGCTCCAGTGCGGTGACTAGCAAATCTTACCAGCCCATCTACGCGTGCCTCACACGATCCGGTCCCACAGATAGGGACGGTATGAATCGCGCATAGTAGAGAATGTCACGAATGATGCGACAAGGGAAGACTACTGCAGCCTGACTGTCGGTCCCGAGAAGAATCAACTTATCACGTCATTTGGTAATCCTCTAAGCCACAGCTGTTAGTGTGTCGTGATAGGCTCAAACACATCAGATTTGTAATAATGAGAGATCCGTTGACGTGCTGTGAGAATGCATTCCCCCCTTCCCCTTTTCCCTTCCCTGCGCGCACGCGACTGTTAGAGCCCCTCAAACAACGAATAATTATATGGAAAATAATTCAAGACATGCGAGCCAAGCACAGAAGAATTAGTATAAGGAGGAAAGTACAGTGCCTTAACTAACTCAGGAAAGGCGTCTACGAATGATTGCCAATCACTCGCAAACTGACATCATTTCATGTTAATTAAGTAAAGTTTAAAAGAATTCAGAACATAAAAGGAATATTAGAGGTAGTGTTATGTTGTTTAGAAATGGCGATTTTTTTTCAAAAAAGCACAATATCCCGAAAACGTCAGAAAGGGCTCTTATTTAGTAAACTTCGTTTTTAGATGTATAGAATGTATTCTCACACCAAAAACATAGTAAATATGAAAGCAGACATAAAGTAGCGTCTAGTAATAGTGTCTCAGTGAAGTTTACATCTAAATTTCGTTTAATAATTAATGTGATTTCATATATGATGGTTTGTCAACTGCCTACATTCTGAGTGTAAATTCCAAAATGGTTTTCCAGGGAGTTCGTAATATTCTTGTCTCATTGGAGTTAAATCAAATAGGGTTCAACAAGAGAAACTGGATTTTGCTTAATTTCACCGATGGGGACGTCGTAGGATTAAAAGTTTTCATAAGTTGACATGCTGTCAGGCCGATCGGTGCCTAATAAATTTAAATAGAACTGACAGGCGTGATCGTAAACATGCCATTTTGTGATGAAATGAGGAAGTCCGTCGGAAATAGAGTTTTACTCGTAAATTTTCGAGCTGGTTGCACCAACCCGTCGTCAGAGGTGGCATTGTCACACTGCTGGTTGAGGACGCAGACAGAGAGGTAAGCAGACGACCTTGCGAGGGGGAGGTGTGCATCGTGCTGTGATGGGTGCGGGAGGTGAGGATAGGTGTTGTGGGTCCCAAATGTGTTTCACCGTGTTGGGGGGAGGGGAGTAGGGCAGGGAGGGAGGAATGGCGTGTCGGCGAGATCATGTACATCCGGGCATGCATTAGCTGTTGTTGTTCTCAAAGTGGGCGCCAGTCAGTCCACGGCGATCGGAGACCCTCGTAGTGGACATCTAGGTTAACATGGCGATTAATGCAATCTGCACCGGAGTGCCAAGCTTCGAGGAATTCCCGTGTATGTTTGGTGTTAGCCATGGCGACCACTTCATTATCGTCCCGATGGAAACGATGGTCACAATCAAGAGCGTGTGCAAACACGAGATAGAAGGGGTCGCGTCGACGGATAGCTAACTTGTGTTCATTAATGCGAGTCCCAAGTTCTCGACCCGTGTGAGCAATATAAATGCAACGGCAGTTAGCGCACGGGATACGGTAAATGACGTTACTTTGTTGTTCTTTGGGTATGGGATCCTTTTCCCGGGATAAAGCTGTGGGTAGGGTGGACGCCGAACTAGTCTTACAAAGACTAGAAGAAGTTGTTATTCAAGCCATCAGACCAAAGATTAGCTCCGCTACGTAGATAATACCTCCGTTGTCATAAAACCTGCGAAGTTAAACGACTGCACCAGAGTCTTAACGGTGTCCTCCCCGCCATACAATTCACTCGCGAAGAAGCAACAGGGGACATCTTCCCTTTTCTCGACATCAGTGTACAAAGACTGAGTGATGGCAATCTCGCAACCAGCGTCCACAGAAAAGACTCCAGTACCGAAATCATCCTCAACTACGGGAGCAACCATCCTGCGGCCCACAAAAACCTGCGTCCGAACTCTTTTTCCACAGCGCCTTTCGGTACTGTAGCAGCGAGAATCTACTCAAGAGAGAACAAGCCTACTTATACCAATTATTCTGATCTAACGGATATCCGATGAGCTTCGTGAAAAACTGTCTCAGACGTCAGAGGCAACCAAAAGCTCAGAGTTCAAATGGAGAAGTGTCACAGAGGAAAATATTATTCCTTGCCCTACATGCGAGGACTTTCCGAAGCGACTGCCCGACAATTAAACTGGTTTGGCATCTGCATTGCCCACATTATGAATCGTATTGCAGCAGAATACGGCATTTGTTACCCTAATTGATCTACACAGTGTTTTTACGATGCTCATAAGATCATCGAAATTCCCCTTCTACTTGCATCAAACGTGCCGATGATAATAATAATAAGATAATAATTTGGGAAGTTGATTTCATACTAACAGCACAGGTAATAGCCAAAAGCCCATACACTCCTGTTTCGCCATTATTCTTCCACTGGATGACAATCAAGAGCGTGGGCAAACACGAGGGATAAGGGGTCGCGTCGGCGGATAGCTGACTTGTGTTCATTAATGCGAGTCCCAAGTTGTCGACCCGTGTGACCAATTTAAACTCAAAAACAGTTAGCGCACTGGATACGGTAAATGACGTTACTTTGTTGTTCTTTGGGTATGGGATCCTTTGCCCGGGATAGTGCTGCGCGTAAGGAGGACTCCGGCTTGTGGGCAATGCAGATGCCAAACCGGTTTGTTTGTCGGGCAATCGCTTTGGAAATTCCTTGCATGTAGGACAAGGAATAATATTTCCTCTGTGCCACTTCTCCACTTGAACTCTGATCTTGTGGTTGTCTCTGACGTCTGAGACAGCTTTTCATGGAGCTAATCGGATATCCGTTAGATCGGAATAATTGGTATAAGTAGGCTAGTTCTCTCTTGAGTAGATACTCGATGCTACAGTACCGAAAGGCGCGGTGAAAAAGAGTTCGGACGCAGCTTTTTCTGTTTATAGAGAGAAATTTTCTTCCGTTAAATTAATTTACACTTCTCGTTCGTTTTGGATTACGTCAAGTTCAAGATCGGCCTCGAAATGTTGCTGAATACTCCATGATTTTCAGTGTTTTCACCCGATCGCCCATAAAGACAGATTCTGAAATACCTGTCTGTTGATAACTTTAAATTAAGATTATTCTTGAAGGCATTTATCGGATTAGTGAGTGTTCGTGAGCTCCTTTTCACGAAGATGGGCATTTGGGTCACATATGAAGACTCATTCAGACATGAAATTTCATTTTCGAGAAAAATGGCTGTCCACAACGAAAGTCAGTGACGAATATACCTTCGATCAATGAAAAAATTTCCCTTATAAGTTACCTCTTTAAGAAGTGCTTTATTAATGCACCCCGTTTACGGATCTCTGTGTAATTTGCATTTTTGCACGGTGAGGCCAAGTAAAAATTTTACACTTTTGGCCGTTGCCTTCACGTTTCCAAACAATACTAATATTTTTCTACCGTAAACGTAAGAACATGCCTTTCTCTATACATTGAAACCATTTCCATTGTTTTTGCTCGCTTTTAGACTCCGTTCTTCGATTATGAATACACGGCAGAGCGCCCACATAAATACCGATATTTTGCTGAAACTATTAATGTTTTGCTCGTTCTATTTCTGAATAAGATACGCACAGAAGCTAAACTACATGGCACGTAGTGTTTCATATGTTCAAGACTGTTAAAATTTGGTCATTTATGTGACATCAGGTAGAATTTTCCAAACGGCAAAACAAATTCAGCCCATTTAAACGAATAAATCCCTATCTGCGTTATTACCGCACTTTAGGGCACTAGATCGCACAGCTATGATAATTTTACATTTAGGAATTTATAAAACCTCTGGTTTTCTTAAAATAACCTTTGTGATTGCAAGTTGATTACCACGGTTAGCGTCGGGCATAAAATAAATTTTCAAGTCCGGCTAAATCTGTTTATTAAAACTCTCGCGGGCGAATTACTATCCTTTCACTGAAAAAGTCACTTAGATGCGTAGCTGGGGTCTAGGACATGTGTTAGCATAGTAATTTGCACGAATATATTCCAACGTCCATTTTCGCTAAAACTTACTGATATTTTACTTTATATAATTACGTAAACACAATTTCTGTAGAAGAAAAGCACATTTCCCTGCAGGAAGTGGATGAGCGAACAAACTGCGCAACGTTAAAGACGTCCAGAAATTCTCGTATCAGTTTCAGCTATCAGATTTCATGAGATAGGTCACGTAATCTACCCCTAGGGTTTGTTCCTCTCTATCTTTCGCCTAGACCAAGTACAACTGAAGCCAACTGCAGATGGGGTCTACTGATGCGGCATAGCTTGCGCAAAACGTCCGTTTTGGGAGACCCAGTGTATTTAACGGGGTTTTCGTACTTTGGACACTGCGTCGAGATGGTCGCCACTCACAGCCACACTGCTATCCTGAACCAAAGGCCTAACCGGTGTGGTTGACAGGACAACATTTCCCATGAGGTAATTTTGGCCGGCGCAGTTTATCGGTATCCCCGGCAGGTCACTAACATTGAGGAGGGTGAGGAGGGGAGGAGGAGGGAGGAGGGAGGAGGGAGGAGGAGTCTTGACCGCCGGAAAAAAGAACTTTAGCTGCTTGATCTTACGGAGAGATGGCAAACGCGTGGGCCACATAATGCCTGAACCGTAGTTATCCAGTCCCCGATCTTGTTACGGGTGTACTGTCAGCTGAAATCAAATTTTTGAGAATTCCGCCCACCTCTGCGGTTCATTCTCGTCCGAACACGAAGTTTCCACCTGCTTATCGAAGTACCCTGACTGCGAACTCGAGTAAGAGTCCGACAAGGACTATCTGAATCAAGGTCCTCGTTTAAGATAAACCCGAAAGCTGTGTCGTCGCAAGACGCGATGTCATTTTGGTCCCGCAGAGGATGACCACTTTCAGCGGAGGGGTTTGGCTTACCATTATCATCAGGGTCGGATTAGTCGCGTCTAGCTCACCCTGGTAATTTGGATTTCGTAGGTTGCAACAACGTCAAAGAGAAAATACTGTGGGCTTACTACACCCATGGAATCGAAAAACGAAGTATTCTCTCAGTATATCAGCCATCAAAGGTTCCCAAAAGTTTAGAGGCAATCGACCCACAACACCAGTTCACCGGCAGTCGCTTAAACGGGTACATAATCGATTGGGGGCCACCATCGTCCTTTAGACGAGCTTACCCGACTATCTTCGTTAAACACTGCCCAGGCGAATTGACGCTCCGTGCATAGGCGCAGCTTTTGAACACTAGCAAAGTCCTATGGCAAGGAAAACGCAATAAAGCTGCGAAACGATGCGGTGGTGCCTCCAGGGCGGACAGCAGAACTGCTCCCGGCAAATGCTTGCAGCCAACTCAGCATGCTCTCTAGTTGAACTAATAAGCGGTCAAGTACTATATAGTAGTCATAGGTGAGTCCTTCGTTGAACACCGAGTTAACTTTAACCCAACTGTGAAAAACACGGCGCCTCGGTGGGATTCGAACCCACGACAGCAGAGGCAAGGCTTTGGTACAGCCAACGCTCTGGCCACCTGAGCTACGAGGCTCCAACGGGAAACGTGAGTTTAACCACATTTGGGTCAAGTTAACCGCCCAACTTACTGCAACGTCTGGAATCCACCAAATCCGGCACAGTAGGCTGACCGTCCAAGCAGGATTTCCCAAGCAATGCATCTAGAATTACGTGAGTCTGGTAGTCATCTGGTGGATTCCAGGTGTATTACTTGGGGAATCCTATTTGGGCAGTCAACTCACTGTATCAGATTTGGTGGATCCAGACGTCACAGTAGGTTGGGTGGGTAAACTCGACTCAAATATGATTAAACTCGCGTCGTCCGGCGGGACTTCGTAGTTAACATGCCTAGTGTTGGCTGTACTAAAGCCTCCCCCCCCTGCTGTCCTGGGTTCGAATCCCACCGAGGCCATAACACTCATAGAGCACCGAGTTGGCAAACCGACTGCTTGCAAGGGTCACGAATTTTGTGGACCAACCCGTAGGGCCCCACCAGTTGTTGCCCAACACAATCCTGGACGAGATACTTGTGCTGTAGTGGTGGATGGCGATCTCAACCATCGAATTCAGAAACCAGACGGAACTACCCTTGGCAATTCCATAATGGGCTCAAGGACTCATGGCTACCCTTACCTTGATGAACTGGACTAACCAGCCCCGTGCGACCACTGCCCGACGGCACAAACAGGCCCTTGGACGACCGGGAAGTGATGGTTCTCCCGCCTAGCTTGTACTTGCCGAGAACCAATGATGTCAGAGGGAGCAATCCCCTCCCCTGACAACACGCGCAGAATCACGCTCCATGTTAACCGGAGATCGAGACATGCGCAGCAACGCAGCTACCACACTGCCCAGAAGTCCGTTATTGAGCACGAAATCGGTTCGTCTGCCTGGCGGAACACGACAGCCTTAAGACAGAATGAATACGCCTGGTACCGCACAGACACTCGACCCAGTACCTAAGGGTAGACAGGGGAAGCCATGCCCACGAATTTGAACTCCATTGTGGGAATTTTGGTAGCTAGAACGACGAGTACCTACAGGCCCCCAGCCGCCACGCAGGACAAAGAAGAAAAGGTCGCATCCGAAGACAGTCAACTTTAATGAACCTGTTCCGCTAGTACCTTTTTCGTCCAACTACGACATTGGATAGAGTTCCGGCTCTCGAAGGTCTCCACAGTAAACTCTCCTGGCCCAACTAGATATCTCGTCGTAGACATTCCATTCGGGGTGTCAATATTCCAACACAACTCCGCACGCTCAGCCCCTCAGACGCTCTCAAGGGCACTTTCAAACGAATTGTGCAGCTTGTGGTAAACGGTGATTACTCTCCGGTCGGGGGAGTCTGACAATAAGGCTTTTCAGGATTGCCACTAAATGAGTAGGAAAGAATCCCAGCGGTGCGCCAACGACATACCATTTTTGTATTAAAAGTTGATGTTGCAAAGCGTACAAGTATGGGGTTATGTACAGAGAGAGAAAGAGGGGGACGGGCAGACGGCCTCTATCATAAAGAGTGTAAAAGAAAACGTGAATTAAAAGGCGCAACGCGTTCGCATGTCTTCAAGGCGTTTGGCGATGTCGTTCGGTACCTTGTCCATCTCGGTGGCGATACTGCGCTGCTTGGACATGTCGAGTGAACTGAACATCTCGCACAGGTCCCCGTCGATCACGTTCTAGGCGGGATATGGAGTTAGATGGGAAAGTGTTGTGAATAAACTCGCGTACTGCGATCAAGTGTAGTGAAATTCACAACGCAATCAACCACGGAGTTCAGTAAAAGGGCAGTTTAGGACTTCTTTATCTCAAGATGCGCACTGACCGAGCTCTTTTTGTCATGTGCAAACAAAAAAAACAAACGTATAACTTGCAGTTAAGTGGTTGAATTGCACTACTTTCAACTGTTCAGTAATATTCCACGATGCGCAAATTTTACAAGCGTGCAGATCCGGTCAGCTGATGGCCGACAAGGGATAAGTCAGTAAAGTAATTCCTACAACTTCAGACCTCAAGCTACCGTCCCGAGGTCGAAATCACGGCTAATAGGGAGCAAGTTGCAATATCGTTCACTTTAACCTTTAAGCCTAGCAGTCTGTAGCAAGTAAAAATGATCGCTGAGGACGAGAGAAAACGGAAACTGGGCTTGGTAGCTTAAATTACCTTGCATGGGTAATAGAGTGATCGGTAGTGGAGGTGGTCACGGCCGACCAAAGAGAGCGATTCAGCCCGAAGATGCAGCTCCAAGTGCTGGAAGAAGTCGTAGGCGTCGCGGGAAGTGAAGGGTACCAGAATGCCAAGCCCGCCTGAGAGGGTGGAGTAGACGAGGCCCTCGGAGCCACCGGGTATAAGGGTGGCCTTTTGTAGACAGCTTACTACCTCGCCGACGTAGAAATGCGCCAGCACCTGCAAGATGGACAAACAGAGGGGACTGTGTTTGGTCACAGAAAAGGCGCTGTTCCGCGCAAAGTAATCGGGATGATGGGTGGCAGTTGGACCGCCGCGAACGACGATGTTCACCGCGTGTCCCCGAGAACATGGTGGGCGCAGCCGGGCGATAGGGTGCGTGTGAGAGCAGACTTGCATAGCATGTGCCGCACTATCTCCTCCCTCACCCACTCGAATCCGATGGCAAGACTAGACCAGGACGACCGAAGGCAGGATTGACAAATTTAAACAGTCCGTCTACGCGTGCCACGCACGCTCTGCCAACGTACGCTGGACCAAGTCTTCACGGAAACAAGGGGCGACCCGTAAGTCACCTGAATGGGAGGGCCATGGGGGCCACGTTCAGAAGGGGCCACCGCAGCCTGACACTCCGTCCGGAGAGGACCGAGTTATCGTGTCAGTTAGTAGGCCCCTAAGCCACAACTTGTAGCGTGTCGTGATGGTTTCAGGGTTTATCAAATTTTTTTTCTCCCTCCCATACACCAGTCCGCTTTCCGAACCGGTGAGCCATCTGATGCTGAAATTGGGCGTAAATGGCTGGCGCGGCGCGATTCTGCACCTAGGTGTGCCACCACATCTCTCATGGAGGGCATTTGTTATGGGGTGTGCAAACACTGCGCAGCCCAAAAAATGTCTGTCGTGCCCGGCTGTGGCCTCCGTTTTGGTCTGGCGCATCTCTCGAGCGGCCCGTTGTGGGGGGGAAGGCAAGGCATAGCCGGTAGACAAGGAGAACAACCGTGTCGGAGGAGAGCCTGGGCACCTGCGTATAACCATCCAATAATACTTTGTCCGGACCACACATGTGCCGGTCCCTAGCTCCACACGTATCGGGCTTCAAGGTGGGGGGGGGGGGGGTTCTGAGTCCGCGTGCGTGAAAGTGCCACAAGTACCGCATCAAGAAGTCACTGCGGCCTGATTCTAGTTTAATTTGCCAGTTTGCAATTCTTCAAACCACAACTACTGGCGGCTCGGATGGTTTAAAGGGATTAGAACTGAGACCTTGGAGTCTACCTCGTTCTACTTTTCGTCTCATATTCGTCAGTGGAATCTTCTGATTGAGTTTCCTGGGGTTGACCACAGTGGGTGATGTGATATGATTACTAAATACGATCGCTTGGTCGTCGTAACCGAAGAGGTGCATCACTGTTGCTACTGCACTGCGGTGACTTGCGCACGAATTTATTCCTAACAAAGCAGACTTGAGCAGCATTTACCTCCTTCGCAGAGTGTAGTGTTAACTAACGTGTTGATAAGATTGAAACGCAGAAGTTCTCTCACTCCCTTTTTGCCTTCTGAGGCGTACAGATGACTAAGATGTGTGTTAATTGCGCTACCTTAAACGTTTGCCAAAAATCGGCTTTAATCTCGTGTTCATCGTCCAAAAATGTTCCACAGAACGGATCAGCTCACGGACAATGACTGACAAAACATCCCTCTCCTGTCTTACGAGTGCCACAAATGTTCTGGCTGCATTATAGAATGAGCTCGCCCTTATTCTCACACGGCAGGCAAGCTACGCTTAGGTTTTACGTCTAGGTGCACGTACTTGCACCTGACGGGTTGAGATTCTCGGCGGAAGTTGTCGATTTGATGGACTGACAGTAGCATCAAATGTCTGATTGCGGGAGGCGAACACTAAACTCTAGCCCCACCTGACGCGTGCATCTCAGTTGTTGCCCCACGAGGCTGTCACAACCCACTAACCGCCTCGACTGGCAGGCGAAAGCAGATAAAGATTGCTAATGTGAATCTCAGATGCAGTGAATTTTGTGTGTGGTCTGGTTAAGTTGTGGGAGAAGGATTAACCGTGTGCAGACGCGAATCATACACTGAGTCAGTCACTGAACCTTATCTTAAGCACCGGTGTCTAGACCTACTGTAGTCACGGGGTCATCCAACTATAGCTGACGCACAAACCACATTTGTTCGGTGGCAATGGTGATCGTCATCGTCGTTTTCGACGAAAGTACTATCAAGTCTGGCATCACACCGCACAGGCAAACTTGCAAACACACACAGAGAAATCCAGGTGTAAAAAGTGAACAGAAGCGTATTAGCCCCACCTCTAGCTTTTGGCTAGAACCGCCGAGAGCAGTTCTGTCCCAGAGAGACCGATTGCCGCTCGGGTCCTCCTCAATCTCATCATTGGCGTTTGCTGGTAGACGCAGGAGAACGATGTTGCCGAATTTGTCTGACACGGCCACAGTGCACTGGTCCAACACGGCGAGGTGGATGATCCATCGGGGGCTAGCATCGTCGGCGAAGATGACCAGCTGGTTATCCGACCGCGGACGATAGCGCACCCAGAAAACACCCTCCTGTACGTCAGTGACGATGACGCGGTTGCCAACGCTGTAAATGCCGTTTATGAGGTTGGGGAAATGCTGGAAAGAAGAAAACCACGCTAGTTAAACATATCCATAAAAAAGCTTAAAAACCGCCTACTTGCTAATTACAAGTAGCTGTGTTTGTGGTTACCTTATTCTCGCACTTCTTAAGCAGCTTTTTCTTGCCCATGTCGTACAGCCTCAGGCGATGACCAACAGCAGCCAGCAGGCGGCCCTTAAAGGAGCACAGAGCGGTAGGGAAGTCGTCGACCAGTGTGTCGTGGACAAACTCCATCTGATCGCCAGTCGGAGACACCCGATAAGTCTTGAGCACGCCTGCAGAGCAGCTCCGTGGGTTAAGAACAAGATCCTTTGCGAGGGCAACAACGACATAGTACTCCTCTGGCCTAGTAACAGAAATCGAAGAGCAGAAGTGAAAACAAGGCCACCTAGGAAGCCGACAAGACTTTGACAGACTAAAAAGAGATCACAGGTGCCCCGGGAAGACGCAGTCTGTAAGTTAGCCTGCCTACAGGCTCTCTGGCGCATACATGGGTTGTGGATAGTGTAGTGGCCTTCAATGAATGCTTGTTGTCGAATACGAAGACTCGGGCCTCGGGGATAGCCATTAGCGTGTCATGCAGCAGTAATACCTAGGGGAAACGAACTAAGTAGGCGGTTTCGTGCGAAATTCTTATTTGAGCGCTATTTAACTTCAGCCAGGGCTACACCAGTGGGGTAATCTAGAAGATGTCGACTTGATTATGATGCATTATAATGGAGTGTTTTTGTGGTACGACGCAACTGGTGAGTAAAACTCCCAATGGAATCGACGATGACGATGAAACTACGTGCATGTACCCACTAAAAAGCGGATGGATGTGCTATTGTGGTCAGCCTATGGTAGTTGGAAAGCCCAAGGGGTTTAGGGATGTAGTCTACCGAGGGACTTAGTGTAATCAAAGACAGCTGGCAAAGTACTCTACGCCTGCGCTTCCTTCGCTCCAGACATTCCGCGTCGTAATGGTGTTAATCAGTCGGCAAGTTGCCAACCAATACCGTCGGAAGTGCTGTTGGCTGTCGAAAGCCGTACTAACAAGGAGACTGATAAAAGGTTCGATTGTTATTGTGGAAATTTGTAAATGTGCTAGCAGAAAAAAATTCCACTACGAAAGTGGAAGAGAATGGGTTTTCGGAATGTATGACATGCAGTATTAAACTAACAGTTAATGGTAACCCGCTAAGGACTTAGTTACTGTTCACAAGACGGCAGGTGGGACCGGGAAGGATTATAGTCATGGACGACTGACGACCACCTCACGCCCTCCCACGTGCTGGCTTCCAACACTGCAGTAGGAAGCCGTTGCCAGTCCTACGACTGGCACCACAATCAACCATACTGGAGTAAGCTTGAGCACAAACTCCGAGGACTTATTGAGTCCCAAAGGCAAGGGCTTGTGAACTAGTTGGAGGTCCTGTGTGAATTGTGGTCAAACATTCCACAGAACAGCTTTTTTCCCGATAATCAGAATGTTCCTTTGATGCACATACACCAAGCACGGTGACTTGCAATAAATTGCAAACCGGTTTCATAATACCCAGTAGCGCAGTTGGTTTTCACATCAGTCTCATAGTCAGAATGGTATTACCGACAAAGACAAGGGAGACTGCAATGGCCATTTCTGACTTATTGGCCGTCATCTGCCAGCTATACCTAACACCGAAGTGTGGAACACCTGGAGTTCGATCCCGCGACCGGTTAGTTAGAAGTCCAACGCCTCTAACCACTGAGGCACGGCTCGCTGTCTTGTCGGTTGCGATCGGGAATATACAATGGTAGAGGGGCGCTCACCGATCGTTCTTACGGAACTCACTCGTCCCGTTGTGCCCTAAGGGCTCTCTCTCTCTCGAGCCCAACCAGCAGCCGCACAGCGGCGTATGATATAGACAGAATGGTACTATCGACAATGACAAGGGAGACTGGAATGGCCATTTCTGGCTTAATAGCCGTCGTCAGCCAGTCATACCCAAACCCGAACCACTGCAACCCAGACAGCGGTCCCAAGTAGGATAGTTATTCCGTTAGCTAGCAACCTTTTAAACCATTACTATTAGCATGCCTCCATCGTTAAAAATCGCGCTGGGTTGTTCATGGTGCAGAAATTACGCGCTGGATCAACCTCTCTCCTCCCTCGCAAGTCCGAGTCAAGCTAACTGGTGGTTAGATTGGGTGCAAAGGCCGCCGTCGTCTGAAGTTTCCACACAGCACGTAACACGCGCAAACTCCACACACGATGTGTCACTCATCATCAACAAAGAAAGCAAGTTTTGAGGATTGACTGTTCCATACGTGACGGGTATTACTTAGGTGATGGGTTTTTCGTTGCTGATTTGAGTTCCGCTGGCTGTCGCCACCGCTTTGTTTTGCAGAAGAGATTTTTTACATTTTGAAAAAGGTTTTCTGATGTCGGATACAAATCATTACGACGCTGCCGCCAATATCGCGGATGTCATTGAGTTAATTACTACTGATGCTATTGTTGCATAATCATCGACGTGGCAGAAGCGGGGATCTTACCGATTGAAGAAGGTGGCAAGTGCGATTGCGTGTGCTGCCTCATTCTGTGCGAACCGGCAAACCTGCAGCGTTTCGCCAGTCAGTGGGTTCAGACAACGCAGCAGACTGGCCCACATACCCGGGCCCGCCTTCGGCGCACCAAAAATGGCCTCGGGTAGATTAGAATTCAGCAGAGAGGCTGCCGCCTCCTTAGCCTGTTCCCGTTCAGACTCATTCGTCGCGGAGGCGAGAATCCGCTGGATTGCAAAAAAATCAAAGATAGATGTCGGCTGGTGAAGAAATGTGAGCCAAATATTTCAGAAAAGTTTAGTTAATGTATGCGACCCACTTGAAATAATAGGTGGGCACGTTTGCACAATTCAAACAAGACATCTTTTCTGCCCCGTGGCAGGTATGGCCGTTAGAGGTGCTCGTTGGAAGGAGCGTGTACAAAACCAAGCGCACACACACCGCCCCAGTGGCGAACAAGGCATATGCGGATCTTCAACTAAATTCATGACCACTTTAATTACGAGGACAAATGTGAGTAAGCGGTCACACGCGAAGCTCTGGCTGTTTTCGAGCTTCATGGGCCGACTTCTCGGGCACTAATGCATATACAAAGTATCAGTATCAGTTTATTAAGGGAAATATAGGCTAGCGCCTTTGAACTCCCTATTGGTTACATGTCGTCGGAGAAAAACATTGATAAGTCGGAAGGTGAAAAAGGGATTTTGTACATACTCGCGGACAACTGACAGCTAGTCCAAAAAGAGTAATCTTTAACTGTTACTTACTAATTACAAGTAGTATAAACACTATAATTTGTGCCAGGTTACGCGAGCGGATGTAAGGATGGTAATTGGGAAGCCTGATGCGCCTCAAGTCTACACTTGAAGGGATTCACACAGGAAGAGATTACAACATCGGTAGGCAGGGCATTCCATGCTACAACCCCTCCGTTACTGAAAAAGAACTTTCGTCCACTGATTCTTGATTTCCCTGCGCGTAGTTTTAGGGGGTGACCGCGCAAAGTGGGCGTGTTAGCCTGGGTGAAATACTCAGTGGGATCTAAACAACAGTCTAGGCCGTGTGCAGTTAAACATCATTGACAAAAGACTGGGCACTCGGCGTAGGCGGTCGCCAAGTCACTTTCTTGGGTCTAACCAGACCAAGCCCTAAATTGTTTGCTTTAAAAAAATATTCCCATCTCAGTGTGCTAAACGTAAGTAAAGGAGACCAGCCCTGGCAGGATCCGCCATCAAGGGACCCACAGTCACGCAGATGACACTCCCCTTAGTCTACGTTATGTCGAAGAGTTTGTACTAACAAGCCGTTTCCAGACGAATGTAAACTTGCCAACCGTGCCATCAGCAACTTATGGCTGACCTATTGCCTATACGCAAAATGTGCCATGAGTGTTAAGGGTTCAAGGCCCAGAGAATTCGTGGCAAGCATAAGTGTCAAGTTGTTGGAGGGAGTAAAGGAGTAAGACTGCAAAGGATATGGTCTTTCCCCTTACAAGTGTAAATGAAAGCATATCCTGTAGAATTGACGTAGGGGGCTGGAATACGCAGTGTTACGTTGAAGGAAGATTGATTTTTTAAAATAGCACCTCAACCGAGGATTGATGGCACACAAAACATTGGTGCTGACAGACGTAAAAAAAGATATGAAAGTTGATGCAGCGATGACGATCTGAAAATTACAAATTAAAATGAAACGCATTTCTCCTTACCAAGTACGGTACTAGTCTGCCAGTCCGAATCAACTAGGGGTAACTCTGTAGGTAAAGCTGTGACAGAATCACTAACTGGCTGTCGTATAGTGGCGCAGCGACTCAAGAGAAGTCAGTCAGTCGTGCGACGGTTAAACACAGTTGGTCTGTAACGCATTACAAATTCGACGGAGTTGCCTGAACGAAGTAGGGTCATTTTGGTACGGATGCCGGATGGGTCTGGTGTGATCGTCTACCAGTGAAGATGACCGGTGTTCCCTACTGCTGACGTCGTGTCCCCTCTCCCCGGCTCTCGCTGTCCGTTCATCGCTCGTGTTCTCCTTATCGTCCGCCCACTTTCCGGCCCTTACCCGCAGCTGTCGACAGCACTGCGATCCCCACTGGTGTCTAACTGATATGACCTGACCGCCTCCAAATGGATCATATGTACAGTACCTCGCTATCCCCCTGTAATCGTTATTTTCCACTTTTGTTATTCAACCCGTGTGTCTACCGTAACATAGACTTCATACGCTATAAACCCCTTTCCTTACTATATACCTATATGCCTGTCGGATGTGGCGTTTAGCGACTCTGTACAGTGTGTATGCTATCCTCGACGTCTTCGACCGCTACAGGTCTAAAAAGTCTAGGATCGGGAGTTGTCCATGCAACTGATGAGGTTTTAGGCCGTTTAATTTCAAACAGTATGGCAGGAAGATTCAAAAACAATCAGGGGGATGTTTGACAGTTTCGTACGTCAAAATAAATATGTGGGCCATTTTTCTTCGTTTATTTATCTTGTTGCAAGTGATATAACGCGGAACACATATGCATCACCTTCAGACGTATCCGATACATTGTTAAATATCACAGTTTTGTGTTGACATCCACTGGTAAAATTCGTACCACATAGCTTCACACTTTCCATACATCTTACGATCGCGTTACAAAGTACTTGTGTTCCGCGTTATGAATAAGTCGTCGTTAGCCGTTTGAGGTAGCTTAAACCCATAGGAAATTCGGCACGGCGAGGAAGATTCCTGAAGAAACAGCCTGAAAACCGCTGCTCAAAGGCCCGCGATAGAGAGGGAGTCTAATGAGTAAACCTGCGAACGGGCTAAAGCTGTCACAATTCCCGGCAAGTGTTACGTCTACAAGAGTTTGGGGAGCTATCACAACTAAATGCCTGCCCCTGTTATTCTCAAATACCGTTTCCTTCAAAGGCTGAGATGTCATCAAGGTCGCCAGCATGTTATCAGAAAGATAAATTAGAAGCCGGGGGGGGGGGGTTCATATGCATGCGGAAGCATTTCTGAGACTGAGGAAAATCAGTCTGTCAGTAAAGTATTCATCTAAACAGTTGTACTGCTTGACTTCTGGTGAAAGCGATGACACCGGTATGAGCGTTTCATCATTCTCACCCGCCTACATGAGCGTTCTCTCCACGTCACCGTCCGAGTGAAGAAAAATGGAAGTGGAATGAGGACCGAAAGAACAAAGATCTATGCGGCAGTTGGAGTCGCTACTCGAGCCGACGTCACTTGTTGTTATTCATATCAACCCAACTGTGAAAAACTCGGCGCCTCGGTGGGATTCGAACCCAGGACAGAAAGGGGAAGGCTTTAGTACAGCCAACGCTCTAACCGCCCGAGCTACGAGGCCCCGCCGGACGACGCGAGTTTAATCACATTTGGGTCAAGTTGCCCGCCCAACCTACTGCAACGTCTGGAATCCACCAAATCCCATACAGTAAGTTGACTGCCCAAGCAGGATTCCTTAAGTAATTCACCTAGAATCAACCAGATGACTACCGTGCTAACGCAGATTTTGAATAATTCATATTCATATTGACCCCGGCGGGGTCTCGTAGGTCAAGTGGTTAGAGCGTTGGTTGTACAAAAGCCTTCCCCTTACTGCGTGGGTTCGAATCCCACCGAGGGACCGTTTTTCACAGTTGAGTCAATATGAATTATTCAAAATCTGCCAAAACATCTATGGACTTGTTGTTATGTTAACAAGAGGCTACGTATGAGTCCAGGCAAATTGCCATCTTAAAAAATCTAGCACCGACAGATTTACCTCCCACCAAAACGAAATCTGGCGCCCAGAGCACATTCATTGGGCTCCGATGTGTCCAACGAAAATGCATGAACTCCTCCCCAGAAAATATGCTACGCACGCTGTGTAATGATTGGAGTAATGATTGGAAGGTGAGTTGATTAACACTGTCGAGATGTCTAATGTACATTCACGAATTTCAAAGTGAATCTGTGCGTTAAAGTCAAGATACGACACTATAATGCTCTAGTAAAAACATCAACATATGTGAATGGATTTAGGCCCTATTTCTTAGTTTAACAATCTGGGGTTTGGTATAAGTTAGTGAATAAAGAAGACTAACGCCTTACAAGTGAGCACAGTCGTGGAGCACTTCATAACCTTTTCTATAAAATTCGATGGTCTGGATCAGGCTGATATAAAAAAAACTAGAAGACCTGATTTGTTCTATTAGGAATAGACAGTTTGCATCTTTGTCCAGGATTCGGGGAAGACATGTGTGCACCTTCATTGTACACCTAACGTGGTGATTTCCCTGTAATTAAAATGGGAATTTGCTTCCTAAAAAACTGGCAGCCGGTATTTATGCAACTACCTGGATTCCATTTGAAATTTTGTTGATTTCTAAAAGATTGCTTTCACGGTAGCGCCTTGTTATACGCATATAACTGGGTCACTGTGCTACCAGTTCCGACACCAGATCGTCGCGCTGACCAATCCCGGCCAACAAAGCCGAACAGCAGTAGTGGAGCACCACTCCCCCTCCCCCACCCTCTCCGATTCCGAAAACGTGCTGTAGTGTACTCACCTCCGCCATGTCTTTTCGTCGCTCGGCCTTCAGGTCGTCCGTGTAGGCGTTGTGGTCGGTCTCAATAATGAAGGCATTATTAGACTCCGGATGGAAGACAAACTTGCGCGGAGTGTACTGTAGGGCTGCACTGGTCTGATTGAAGACGGCACCCAACTTCTCCAACGCCAAGATACTACAAGGCGAGAACAGTAAATGAGTGCCAGGTGTAAGAGGGTCATCAGCATATGCTAGTGAGCGTCAACTTTTACTTCTGCTGATTTATCATTAGGTGAGAGGGTGGCACGTGGACACAACGGCTCAAGCTACTGTTCACCAAGAAACACGCGATAAGTAACTAGCTGAGAAGATTGTGAATGCTGGGCTTTGCGCGTGGAGGACGAGCGAAAACTGGAGGTATTTGACCACCACTGCTTGAGGACCATCCTTTGAGTGAAGTCCACCAACTTCGTGTCAAATAAGACAGTCCGCGCTCGCTGCGACAACATCGGAAGGATAACTTAGGCCATCCAAGAAAGACGACTGAAGTGGTTCGGGCATGTTCTTCGTCGTCCACCTCAGGAGCTGTGTTATTGCCCTCGACCCGGCACTGTTGCCCCATTGGAGGCGTCGAAGAGTGGGTCAGTTTAAAACCTGACTCGACAGAGTTCATCAAGACATGGAGGTGGTTTTTGGACCTTCGGTATTCGGTCTCCGTCGTTGGCGAAGGGGTGGGTTGAGCTGTCCAGATCTGCTGCCGCGGATCGTCACGCGTAGAGAGGTACAGTTCGGGACATCATCGAGGCCGTCTAGATCAGGCATGATCGCAGCCGTATCACGTACAAGTACTGAGAAGATTCTATTACTGTTGGAGTCGCACAAAGAAACTATGCATTGGTCAAGTATAAGCAAACAAGACTGTGAGGAACGGTGACTTTAGGACCGCGTAATCAGCCTAGCGATAATGTGAGGTTTCATACGGCTAGTTCAAATTGTGGTCTGAGCACCTACATCTGCCTAAGAAAACAGACCTCAACATGACAGGGGGTTTTCTTAGGCTCCTGTTCGTTGAATTGACTCAATTTTGTGTACAGCGGTTATAGCAAGCAGTTCGGCGCGACTGGGGCATAGTAAATTATATACTACTGAGAAAATCAAGATGGAATTCAGCAAACGACGAAATGAAGATGTGCATCTAGCGTGGTCGGGCAAGGAGAGTCCGGAATTGGCAAAGGACCTAGCATGCTTGGCCGCCTGGAAAACTTTATTTGAAGTAATTAATGCGCATAATCAGTGAATATGTTTATGTAGATACAAGAGTTCGGCATAAAGTTCGACTGCGTAGAACCCTTGAAAACGATAACACAAAAGGGACTTGAACAGTGTGTCTGTTCCAAGAGGCCCATGTGCTTAGAGCATCAAATGATTCGACCATACTAACCTTAAAAGAGGGGAAAATTATATTGAACCACGCACAGTAGATCCTACCCTCTATGTTTTTTCGGCAGACGGTCTGCATATACGAGACATTCTAAGACACGTAATATCCCAAAACAGTAAACAATAGTGTTTAATTCCATTGTCGTTTTATGATCTAACTTAACTCAAAATAACTTGACCCTAGGTGTTGATCATAAGCGACCTGCTACAACGGGACTGCTTAGACAAGTGTTTTAAATCATAAGAAATTATCTCCGAGGCGATTAAACACGTACAGCAGGGGAAAAAAACGAAATTGTGCTCGGAGCCACGGCCCTGACGACACGAGTGACGAGGCAGTTAAGTGCGTGATACACGGTCGCTATAATTTAATCTTTGATATAACTAAACGCATTGATTTTTTCTTGACGCGGAAGTACTACTCATTCTACGTACGTGTGCAGTGCATAATTAGCCCACCTGCAGGAAATGTACTGTAAGACTGCAAACTCTAGTAATTTTACTCCCAACTGTCCTCGAGCGCCAATCTGAAGATTGAGGTTTTGTTGTTACAATAGTCCGAGAAATTGAATGGATAACCACCTTGTGGCACACTAAGGATTGACAGTAACTGCGAAACGGCTGTCGGTACCTTCCTTCGTTGAATCCCAAAACATTTAAATCAAAGGGTACCTAGACTGTATGCTTCATGGGGGAAACCGGCTCAAAGGTTAGAAAACAATCACACTAACCGTAGAGAATTCTCACAGATCGCAACCACGCCCTCAGGGCATTGTTCGGATGAGAAACCTGAAGCATACTCAAGGGTCTCGTAAGAAAGTGGGATTAGATGGAACCGGCTCTGGTAGGTGTAGCTGAGCCAAGAACGACTGGAAACGGCCAACACCGCCTCGCCACCTTGCATGGAGATACGGAAGAGCTTGACAGGACTGGTGCCGAGATATCGAGTGCGAGTGTCAGAGAGCTCGCCAGTTACTGGGTCCAGAACAACACGCAGAAGGACACCATTGTTGAGGCCAATGTTGAGGTAGAGGATGCCTCCAGTTTGGACTGTTTTGTCTCCATCTGTCTCGCTAGCACCCATCTCCGCGATGCAAAGTGACTCGGCCGAAGTGGGCAAGCCTTGCATTGTCAGAGGGGAAAGGCAATCCTAAAGTGGGGGAAATAAGATAAAAATCAACTACATACGCTTGTGCCGCGCGCTTAGTGACGATGACTGGGACGCGCGACAGGGAATACACCAAGGAATTCTGCAACGTCAGTCCTACCCTTGCTTTTACACCCATCATCTTCCAGTGTTACGACGAAGCTCAGATGAGTGAAGATTACATATACTCAGTAACTGACCCAGCAACAGCCTCTGCTAATAAGCGCTCCACATGTCCTGGTTCTTATCCTTAACGGAATCAGAGTCTAGTACTCGGGGGTACATCTGAGTCGCCATAGCAGTCATCGTAGGGCTGCTATCAGTCCTAAGAAGGGAAACGGTTACACAGTCGGAAACCTTCCAAGTCGCGGCTGTAGTTGTTGAAATGCACACCATACGCAATATGATTAGGAAAGGATGAGCAGGATCAGCGTCACTCTACCCTCGCTCACATGGTCATTCGATGACATGACTAAGTCATGAAGACCGGAGATTATTCGAGTAAAGTGCTGGGGAAATACTCTACCCCAGTTACGTGCACCACAACGCAATGCTGCTTCCACTTCGAAGAAAGACTTCAGCCGAACATTCTAATCCTCGTGGAATAAACGGTCCCTCTTGGGCTTGACGACCGAACACCATCCACATGTAAACGTATACTTGTTTAGCCATGAATTCTCTGCTACGCCCGATTACAGCTATTACGGTTAGTTTGCGTCGGATCCATGAACTACCAGTTCTTACCTCGAGGTTTCGTTAGCATTTGTCCAGTATCTTCACAAGGGCCTACGGGTCTGTCCCACTGAAAAGCATGGGCCGCAGCAGATGAATACGGCCTCCCCAAAGGTACACTTATTAGAATTACAATACGACTCGTCTAAACACCTATATGCGACTTTGTCAAGCGCTTTGGTAGATGCCTAGAACGCCTTGCAGCCGGTTCCCACTATATCACCACCAACACTCATGCAAAGCTCCCAAGAACACAAGGTTTAGGCACGTTCTGATAAAGGTACTCTTTCGTTTGACGCCTTGTTTCTGCCATACTACATGAGTTGGCCGCTAAAAACGTGATGAACCCCTACACGACGACCCCACTACGAGCAGATTAAGGGAACACCAATGGGTTCGATGATATCAGACCTCAAATGAATTATCCCAAACCTCACTTCGTAATTTTAGCTTTGTAACATCACCATAAAGAGCGACAACATGGGGCAATGCCAAGTGTTAAATAACATCTTTTAATAGACATAACTTAGCCTAGAGGTGACACTAGGCAGATACGGGCTACATTTGAAATGATGACCATTCCAGGGGGTCCATCGATTGGACATTGATTCTTAAAAGTGCAGGATGTTTCTTCTAGACCGTATCAGTCCCAACAGCACGGATATAAGTTATTGTCATGTGCGTGCTAGACATATTGGCGAGTGAAAAGGCGACCGCCGTGATTAGAAAGGCCTGTCAATCATAAGTCTAGCTGAGTAATCCCTGTTAACGGTTCGATCAGCCGTCCATCAGAATTCCACCGGCTCAAAATACCTCTGGACTACCCCAACGCCCAGGTGCGACTTCTTGTGAGACGAGGGGAGCAGCGCCAATTCAATGTTCGTTGGCGGTTAGAGACAGAATGCATAGGCTACGACTAATACGTTCAGCTGTATGGATCCAAAACCTCGTCTCTCAGAGTTGCTGAATAAGATGGGCCGTCTGTCTTAAAGTAACACCGACTAATTCCTGTGAAAATTACCCACGATGGATTGTAAGCGGTTATATTCATACCTAATCATTTAAGCACTTCGTTACCAGAACTGTTTCTGTCAGATCAGATGCTCTGGATGTCCGGATCTATTTCCGCGTGGTCGCTTGCTTAAGTAGGTGTGAGGCGGATGACGTTAAGATCTCAGGCAATAACACAGGTGGTACATGTGAAAACGCAGTGTTGTCGAACAAATTATGCCACCTGGTTGTACTAGCGACGACCAACCTCATGTTAGATAAAAAATCCTGTCGAACATGACAATAAACAGATATCAGTGATGGCGTTGTACCGCTTATCTTCTCTGACTTTCTAATGACTCTGCCTACTCATTCTACTCAACTCTGGCGCATAACATGTGGTTGTCTGAGTCCTTAAGAGACCGTCAAGATCTCATGTGATAATCATGACATAAAAGGAGGCATTTTTACGTACCGAGGGATCCAGTGATAGGATGCGCACAGTGTTGTCAGCTAGTCCAACAGCTAGAAACCGTGAGCGTTGTTCATTGGCATTTATACGACCCAAGGCCATACATATGACATCAGCAGGCATTTCCTTGCGCTCGGTATACTCGTTCAACTGCCCAGTCACGTCCATTTCAAAGTAGACAAGTTCGCCGCCGGTAAGTGCTATCACCACTTGACGCGAATTTACAGCGCACTTTTGAATTGCCTTTTTCCCGGGGGTTCTCCACACGTTTATTCGCCTGTCCGCCCGAATGTGCCGAATGCCTTCTGGGTAGACTTGCACCAGAGCATCATCACCGAGCTGTGAGCAGGTAAGGGTAGGCGTAGTGCCTAGAAAACCGGAATCTGTAACTTCTTCGACTGTCTCGCCGATGGACAGGACGAGCGTAGCGTTCACGAAAGAGACAATAATGTAGGCATCATACTCCTCTACAAGTGACGAAGAAGTTAGAAAATTATGTAGTCTACCTTCTGAGTTGCGCTTTACAGTCCAAACTGCGTTCGGACTACCAGGGAGATCAGATTTGGCCATTTCAGTAACCTCAAGGCCGTGACGAAGCAAACGAAAAGTTGAGCGCGGACCTCTGCCACAAACGACTGCAAGCTGCGGTGTGTCTTCATTCGCGAGGTCAGCGATCTAAAAGTCAAAACTATAAACAAAACCGATTTCATTACATGTAAGCTGGTTATTGGCGATAAACCCTCCAGCACATCGACCTCAATCAAATTTTTAAGTCCACGAGGAGAAAAGTAAAAGGTATCCCCCTCTTCAAGTGGCATGGCCGAGGAAAATTCTGGCTCATCGTCATTGTCCCCAAGGTGTGCAATTTGGTAAAGATAGCTACAAGGGGAGGTGACCGTGGGAAATAAGGACCTACTGGTTGCCAAATTCTGAGGCTGTGAACAAGAAACCTGTTTTTAGGACACACATCGCCGTGGCCACAGGGACAGTGTCAAAATATTTTACTTTAATTTCCGTAATTGTTTCCTTATCTTTCTCGAGATTGATCTTGAATATATCACCCTGTTCTGTTTGGGCCAGGAAAAAGAAAAGGTTCTAAAACAGAGTGTAAGACGTCAAGAAGACTACCTTAGTCCTGTGAGTTGCGCTACACACGAATAACAATCCCCTGTCGGGATCATCTAAGTCATTGCGGCGTTGTGGAATTGGACAACGGATATCCGGCTCATCACCGAAATTCTTGTACGTTATATAGTTCTCCGAACAAATGAGGAGACCCGAGTGGACCTCACTGCCGCCTGGTACTGTAATCAGGAAGTTTGCGTGTTCTTCCAATGGTTCGGAGTACTTGCGTACGACGTGGTTCAGTCCCAAATCTAATTCATAGTAGGTTAGTAGCTGGTGGGCCGACCGTGCTGCTTCGCCAGTAGGGTCTTGATCGGCCTCTTCATAGTCCATTTCTATGCAAGCAAATGTGGGATTGTCAAAGCCTACGTCAACTCCGACCATGTGGTAAACAAGCGTATTGGACTTATGGGCTTCTAAGGGGGATGATATTGTGAGGCGGGCCTGGGAGTCTCGATTCATGACGTACACCAACTTTTGCTTCTCGACGGCACCAATCATGATAGCTCGACCCTTGGGGTCGACTGCCAGATACTGACCAGGTACTATCCGACGACAGCCGCTTTTCCCAAAAGTCTCCTGCTGTACACGCTCGAATACATTTTTAGACGCAATGTACTCAAGTATGACGATGCGACCGGAGTCTGAGCCAATAACTATGTAATCTGAAACAATGATTTTAGATGAAATCAGAATGCAAAACCTTTATTGCCACCAGTTAGGCGAAAAGGCATCATTGACCGGATGATGCCGAAAACCTCAGTTGTTATGAGAGTATACAGCTTTCCAGAACTTGGATCGACACGCATAAGCTCCAAAATCTTTCCTCTGGAAATGGCAATTTCTTGTTGTTTTGAGCCTGAAAAACTTCCATGGATGGCGTGGGTAATCCCGGTGGCCCTCTGGAGACTTAAATTGTACAAATACATGAGGACACAAAAACGCCGACGCGCGCGAATAACCGTAAATCGAGCTACTAATAGTACCGTTTAAAACAAAGTTTCATCGAAGTTGCTCTAGTTGCATAAGATAATCTTCCATCTCAACGTTTTCAAGTACAAGTCACTAACGAGAAAGAGTAACAATTAAAACTTAGGTATACTATGCCCAGTTAATTGTTCGTACGGGAAAACGGAGTGGACAGTAGAATGTAGGAGAATGTAAGAGAAAACCAGGTAATTCCCATTACTAACACCGACGACATGGGATTTTCGAAACTTTCAACTTTCCTGATTTCTCTGTCGCGGCTGGTCTCTATGAGTTTATGTGGAAGTTTCCCGTTCCTTAGGCATGATGGCATGAGCGAGTGTTCAGAATTCAGAGATAACGAAATTTTGATGTCAAAGCTTTAGCTTGCGCCCAGGAATTGTTAGGTGATAGAATTACTTTTTGTAGATATTTCTGGCAGCATTCAATTTTATATCTTTAACAGGACGTTCACCAGAACAATAACAGTAAATACGCGGTGCGTCAGAACTAGCTAATCACAGAGGACTTGATGAACGCTCAGTACTCAGTCCAGCCGAATTAATTTGGTGTACCTGAATGATGAGGGGTACGTGCATCTGAACTTCCTAACGGTAATTTTCGTCCTAGACAAATAGGTGACAACTGGAGATGTTCCACTGACCGCTAGGTTCATGCATGGTTCACGTAGAAAAGATGTTTGTTATCACAGAAGATGCCCGGCAAGGCTGAATTCGACAGTTTTCACAGGTCGGTGCATCACGGTCTTCGCACGCAAATCAAACTACAGTTCCGTAACCGAGAAGGAATAAAAAATATCTTTTCGAAACCATTATTTCTTCAGGTGCGCGTGCGTTGGGCGTGTGCCCTCAGGGGTTTGTTGTTGCGCTGAGTTCATAGGGGGCGCTACACAAATCAAACACTCTGAGGAGCGTTCAAAATTAAACACGATTTTATTTTTTAACTCTGGAGGAGTTCAGTCAACCATTAAATCGGTTCCTCCATAGTGATGTTTAACATTTGACCATCGGGACATTCCCACTCGCAGTGATAGCGCGGGTATGAGAAGCACTAGTATCTCTGGATAAATCGTAAGGAGGGAATTGTTCTCACTTGTCAAATCCAAGCCTCCCCGTCCCTACCACAAGTTCAATGATGCCAATCCTGCCTGGAAAGATTGAAATGTCTGAGTCTATTTCTTCTGTTCACTTCAGTTTATTGAGGCAACAAAGGCTTAAGTTTGTCTTTGTTTATAAGATAGTACTTGACATTAAAAAAGAACATGTTCCAAAATTGACTTAGCCCAAAATGGTGGCACTTCATGAGGCTACGCACAAATATTTGCAAGCTAAATCTTCAGTCTGGATTTTTCATACAACGGGCAATGAACGGTGGAATGATCTTAAGTTAGTTCTATGATCTACCAAACTTCATCCTCTCAAGAAACACTTAGACGATTATGTATCTCTCGTGCGCATCGACCCTGAACTACAGATCATACAAAATTTACGTATTACTATGCCCTAAAACAATGCTACTTAGGAAGTGTGCGTGTGTGTGTTCATGTGGAGTGTAGGGGCGTCCCTGGACTGCTCGCAAAGCTGAAGAGATCCAACGCTACGTGGACCGCAACGAATGGAAGAACTTCTTCTCCGCGATCAATGCTGTCTACGGTCCTCCGACGAAGGGCACTGCTCCTCTCCTCAGCGCCGACGGCAGCACTCTCCTGACTGAGAAGACGCAAATCCTACAGCGATGGGCCGAGCATTTCTGGGGCGTCCTCAACCGCCCTTCCGTAATCTCCGACGCCGCAATCGCCCGCTTGCCGCAAGTGGAGACCAACGTGGACCTCGACCTCCCGCCATCTCTCCAGGAAACCATCAGGGCCGTGCAGCAGCTCTCCAGCGGGAAAGCAACCGGATCAGACGCAATCCCTGCTGAGGTCTACAAGCACGGAGGTCCCCAACTAATAGATCACCTGACTGCGCTCTTCCAGGAGATGTGGCGTCAAGGTAAAGTCCCGCAAGATTTCAAAGACGAAACCATTGTGCATCTCTACAAGCGAAAAGGGAACCGCCAAGTCTGCGACAATCACCGCGGCATCTCCCTACTGAACATCGCCGGGAAGATCTTCGCTCGCATCCTCCTCAACCGCCTCAACAACCATCTGGAACAGGGCCTTCTGCCGGAAAGCCAATGCGGCTCCCGTCGTCATCGTGGGACCACGGATATGATCTTCGCCGCCCGCAAACTTCAGGAGAGGGGCCAGGAGATGCGGACCCACCTGTACTCTACCTTCGTGGACCTGACGAAAGCCTTCGACACGGTGGATCATGAAGGACTGTGGAAGATCATGCAGGAATTCGGCTGTCCGGAGCGACTCATTCAGATGGTGCGTCAGCTGCACGACGGTATGATGGCGCGAGTCACGGACAACGGAGCTGTCTCAGAGGCATTCGCAGTGACCAACGGAGTGAAGCAGGGATGAGTGCTGGCACCAACCCTCTTCAGTCTTATGTTCTCTGCCATGCTGATGGACGCCTACCGCGACGAACGCCCTGGAATCCGCATCGCCTATAGAACGGACGGTAGCTCCTGAATCACCGGCGCATGAACTTCCAATCGCGCGTATCCACAGCCACCGTGCACGAACTCCTCTTCGCCGACGACTGCGCCCTGAACACCACCTCGGAAGAGGAAATGCAACGCAGCATGGACCTATTGGCCGCTGCCTGCGAGAACTTTGGTCTGGTCATTAACACGCAGAAGACGGTGGTGATGCATCAACCGCCACCCAACTCAGTCACAGCCCCCAACGCGCCGCCGCAAATCAACGTGAATGGGACTCAACTGCAAGTGGTAGACAACTTCCCGTACCTGGGAAGTACCCTCTCACGCAACACCAAGATTGATGACGAAGTCGCCAACAGGATCTCGAAAGCCAGTCGAGCCTTCGGTCGCCTCCAAAGCACAGTTTGGAATCGCCACGGTCTCCAACTGAGCACGAAGCTGAAGATGTACAAGGCCGTCATCCTGCCGACGCTACTGTATGGAGCGGAGACTTGGACGGTGTACACGAGGCAGGCACGCCGACTGAACCACTTCCATCTCAGTTGTCTTCGTCGCATCCTGAGGCTGAACTGGCAGGATCGAATCCCTGACACGGAAGTACTGGAACGAACGGGAATCCTCAGCATCTACGCCATACTGAGACAAATGCAGCTGCGCTGGAGCGGCCACCTAGTACGCATGGACGACGAGCGACTACCCAAACGACTCTTCTACGGAGACGTCGCGAAGGGTTCTCGTCGTCAAGGGGGCCAAATTCGCCGTTACAAGGATACCTTGAAGTCCTCCCTAAAGCGCCTGCAAATCAACCCGACCAACTGGGAAGAGCTCGCCCGCGATCGTCCGACATGGAGGAGAACAGTGAAGACGGGCGCTGCTATCTACGAAGCCAACCGCATCGCTGCCGCCAAAGCGAAATGCGAAGCTCGCAAATCACAATCTCGCCCAGTACGCAACGCCGCCGCACAACCGCTCCCTACGTGTCCTCGATGTCAACGGACATTCCGGGCACGAATCGGACTTGTTGGACATCTTCGGATCAACTGCACTTCTCGAACTGCTCCAGCCATCGTCCCCCCGCCCGCCTCTTCCTCGTCCTCTCTACCACCAACTAACTCTGATAACTCTTCTGAACCACCACTTCCATCCTCCTCGCCGTCCTCCTCCTCCTCCCTCTCCACTGCCCCAGCGGCGGCCGTTCAAACTGCCGTCTCACACATCACCAACCCCAACACAACAACCGCCACCACCCCCACCTCTCCCGATCCTAGTGATGAGGATCAGGACTGCACCTGCCCTCACTGCGACCGCACCTTCACCTCTCGCATCGGCCTGGTCGGTCACTTTCGAATCCATCGCACAGAGACTGGCGAACCAGTGCCTGGAGCACCAACCTACACCCACCGCACTCGCCTCCACTGCCCACAATGCCCTCGCACCTTCAGGCATCGCATGGGCCTTTTCGGCCACATGCGCATCCACGAGAGCGGAATTGACCGCAGCCTTGACACACCCACCCCGCCGAGCCCCACTCCCAATCCACCACCTTGTGCACCCACTAACCACTCCCCAGCCGACATCGAGGCCACCGACCTTACCACCCCTCACTCCTCCCCTTCCTACTCCTCTTCTTCCTTCACTGCCACTACGACGGCCGCTTCGGCGTCTGTCGCCCACGACTTCATCACAGCCGAACCTGGCACAACAACAGGCACAAGCCCCGCAACCTCCTTCATCAGACGTGAGGGCCAGGGCTACATCTGCCCTCACTGCGATCGCGCCTTCAATTCACACATCGGCCTGGTCGGTCACTTGCGAATCCATCGCACAGAGACCGGCGAACCAGTGCCTGGAGCACCAACCTACACCCACCGCACTCGCCTCCACTGCCCACACTGCCCTCGCACCTTCACGCATCGCATGGGTCTATTCGGTCACATGCGCATCCACGAGAGCGGAATTGACCACAATTCCGATACAGCCACGACATCCAACACATCCACCACGCCCAGACCCATCCTCGCTCCACCGTCACACGCGCCGACCACCAACACCACTGCTTCCTCTACAGCTGACACCGACACCGCCGACCTCTCATGCCCACATCGTCCACGCACCTTCAACTCACGCATCGGCCTGGTCGGTCACTTGCGAATCCATCGCACAGAGACCGGCGAACCAGTGCCTGGAGCACCAACCTACACCCACCGCACTCGCCTCCACTGCCCACACTGCCCCCGCACCTTCACGCATCGCATGGGTCTATTCGGTCACATGCGCATCCACGACGACCTGCGGTAGACAACTGCCGGTCACACCACACATTCCCTCACTCCCTACCTCCTAAAACCATCACCCCACCAGACATCAACACTCACACACCTCATGCACTCAACTGCCGCCTCCCACGCAAGTGGGAAGTGTGCATCTCGACTCGGTCCCCATGCGGCTTCGGCTGCACGGGTGACTTGTGTCCGAGTCTATCCCGACACGTCAAGCGTCGTGGATAGGAAGGTTGCTGATTGAGGCCTGCTCTCGGTTCACGCAGTTCGTCACGTTGTGTGTGTGCTGTGTGTAGTGGCGGACTGGTGGGCTGGGGATGGGCTGAAGCAGCACCTTCCACGGCCCTCTCACGCAAGTGGGAGACACGCCGTTCAACCCCCGTTGTATGAAATCCTGGTGTTTGTAAGTATGGGGGGCCAAGTCGTGCCGTGGCGCGCGCAGTCATGGTCAGTCGACCATGTCAGCCACCGCGCCCATTCCCCACTCCAGTCTGCTGACCGGCTCGGACAGCGGCTGGGGTGTGGGAGTGGGCAGGGAGAGTGAGGCCGACGACTCAGCGCACTTTCTCCTCACTATAAACAATCTGACGCGCTTGAAGCTATCACGGTGTGCTAAAAGCCTGGCTTGGAAGGTTGCCAACTGACGGGGTACCTTGGACCTCCTCTTTCACGGGAGGCGGTCTGAGAGTCAGGCTGCAATGGCTCCTTTTTAATGTGGCCTTTATGGCACTCATATCACGGTGTGGGATCCGAGCCAGGCGTTGACGGCACGCCCAGGTGCGGCTTCGGCCGTGCCAGCCTCCAAATCTCTCTTGTTGTTGGTTGAAATCCTGGTTGTTTGTTGTGTGGACCAGGGGTGTGCGGAGTGGAGCGCCAAGGCGAGGATCCGTCCGAGCCATCCACCTGCGGCCTCTCTCGTCTCCGGTCTTCTTGACTCTGTCTTGACACCGGGCTCGGGCGAGGGAGGAGGAGAGAGTGTAGGTAGATGCTACGCAAGTCTACCGGCACTATAAACCCCTGCGTAAGTCACCGTCCCTGCTCCACAATACAGCCTGTGGGGCACACGGTGGACATCGTCGAAATCGACGGTCGAACTGTCGTAGGGGCGTCCAGCGGTGGGTTCACGTGATGGTCGTAGTAGGTCGCCCACTTGCTTGCAGGTGCAGACTGCGCCTAGCGTCTATTTGCCGGCACCCAATCCTCACCTGTGGCTCCCCGAAGTTGGGCTCTGCCCAGCGGCCACACCCCGGTAACCGCCTCCACCGGCGGACTTAACCAGGTGAGGGCATCCGTGAGCGCACTGCCCCGCTCACATGGTAGAGCGGACTCCGCTTGACACTTGGTCGGATGGAACTCCGCATCGGCACCGTCGTGACAAGGCTCCGTCTGGCATGTCGCATGTCAGCCGGTCGGTTGGAACTTCACATCGGCATCGTCGAGAAGAGACTCCGTCTGGTGCACCGCAGGATGCCGCGAGCTTAGGGCGATGTCGTAAGCTTTTGGCAAATTCGAGTCGTTCTTCCGCTGCCAATAAAATCTCGTGGCCCGCAGTGGAGTTAGGTCGCGCCGGCACAACCAAGCAGCCCTATTTGGCGTGGCACTGCTTGCCCGCAAGGGGAGGGACTAGAAAAAGTGCCTCAAATACTGCTGAGGGGCCACTTCGTCTGCAGGCTGACCGTGCTCGCAGACGTAAAACTCACGGTCTAAGCGACCAAAATCGAAACAGAGACAACAGCAACAACAACAACAATGCTCTCTCTCTCTTCCTCATCCTGCCTCTCCTTCCCCTTCCTATTCTACTTCTTCTCCTTCGCCATCTTATTCTCCCCTTCCTTTGCGCCGCCCCACTCGCCGCCAGACTGGCAGGGTGAGTCCGCTCACTCTGGAAGCCTGGAATGTTTGTTCTCTTCTAGACAATCCGAGGAGCAACAGACCGGAACGGGGGACGGCGCTAGTGGCTCGGGAACTGACACGGTACGATGTGGACATCGCCGCAATCAGCGAGACCCGATTCTCTGAACACGGTGAACTGGAGTAGGAAATTGCCTTCAACACCTTGTTCTGGAGCGGTCGCCCCAGGGCAGAGCGACGAGACGCGAGTGTCGCCTTCGCCATCCGGAACGACATCGTGGGACGACTGCCCTGTTTGCTGCAGGGCATCTATGATCGCCTGTTGAGCCTTTGCCTGCCTCTCCGGGAGACAGATTCGCCACCATCATCAGTGCCTACGCTCCGCCGATGACCAGCCCTGACGCCGCCAGAGACAAATTCTACGAGGACCTGCACACCCTTCTGGCGACTGTGTCGAAGGCGGACAAGTTGATTGTTCTTGGTGACTTCAACGTCCGCGTCGGCACAGACCATGCTGCCTGGAGAGGAGTGCTGGGTCCCCATCGTCTCCGCGGCTCCGACGACAAGGGCCTGCTCCTTCTCCGCACCTTCGCAGAACACCGACTCGTCCTGATGAGCACATTCTTCTGCCTGCCGGAGCGAGAGAAGGCCACCTGGATGCATCCTCGGTCGCAGCAGGGGCACCTGCTGGACCATGTCCTCGTCTGGAGGCGAGATCAGCGGGACATGCTGGTGACAAAGGTAAGCGACCCCCAGGTAAGCTGAATGTTGCCTTGTTGTCTTTGCCCGCTCATCGTCTTCATTTCAGCAATGAGCTAGCTCAACGGCTAGACAACCTCCCCATCGCTGCCGCCGCCGAAAAGAACGCCGCCGCGGTGAACCGATGGTGTCAACTGCGAGACACAGCCCTGTCGACAGTCCTGACCGTCCTCGATCGGGTACGCCGCCAACACCAGGAATGGTTTGAGGAGAACGACGCTACCATCAGCAACCTGCCCACCGAAATGAATCGCCTACACAAAGCCTACGTGGACCACCCCACCGCCGACAGCAAGGCTGCTTTCTACCTCTGTCGTCGCCTCGTTCAACAGCGACTGCATGAGATATAGGACGCCTTGACGTCTCGTAAGGCTGAGGAGATTCAAGGGTACGCGGACCGCAACGAATGGAAGAACTTCTCCTCCGCGATCACAGCTATCTACGGACCGCCAACAAAAGGCACTGCTCCCCTCCTCAGAGCCGACGGCAGCACTCTCCTGACTGAGAAGACGCAAATCCTACAGCGATGGGCCGAGCATTTCTGGGGCGTCCTCAACCGCCCTTCCGTAATCTCCGACGCCGCAATCGCCCGCTTGCCGCAAGTGGAGACCAACGTGGACCTCGACCTCCCGCCATCTCTCCAGGAAACCATCAGGGCCGTGCAGCAGCTCTCCAGCGGGAAAGCAACCGGATCAGACGCAATCCCTGCTGAGGTCTACAAGCACGGAGGTCCCCAACTAATAGATCACCTGACTGCGCTCTTCCAGGAGATGTGGCGTCAAGGTAAAGTCCCGCAAGATTTCAAAGACGAAACCATTGTGCATCTCTACAAGCGAAAAGGGAACCGCCAAGTCTGCGACAATCACCGCGGCATCTCCCTACTGAACATCGCCGGGAAGATCTTCGCTCGCATCCTCCTCAACCGCCTCAACAACCATCTGGAACAGGGCCTTCTGCCGGAAAGCCAATGCGGCTCCCGTCGTCATCGTGGGACCACGGATATGATCTTCGCCGCCCGCAAACTTCAGGAGAGGGGCCAGGAGATGCGGACCCGCCTGTACTCTACCTTCGTGGACCTGACGAAAGCCTTCGACACGGTGAATCATGAAGGACTGTGGAAGATCATGCAGAACTTCGGCTGTCCGGAGCGACTCATCCAGATGGTGCGTCAACTGCACGACGGTATGATGGCGCGAGTCACGGACAACGGAGCTGTCTCAGAGGCATTCGCAGTGACCAACGGAGTGAAACAGGGATGAGTGCTGGCACCAACCCTCTTCAGTCTTATGTTCTCTGCCATGCTGATGGACGCCTACCGTGATGAACGTCCCGGGATCCGCATGGCCTACAGGACGGACGGTCACCTTCTGAATCAACGGCGGATGCACTTCCAATCGCGCGTATCCAAAACCACTGCTCACGAACTTCTCTTCGCCTACGACTGCGCCCTCAACACCACCTCAGAAGAGGACATGCAACGGAACGAGGACCTCTTCTCCGCCGCCTGCGAGAACTGCGGTCTGGTCATCAGCACGCAGAAGACGGTGGTCATGCATCAACCGCCGCCACCCAACACAACCACTCCTTTCAATGCGCCGCAAATCAGTGTAAACAGAACCCAACTTCAAGTGGTGGAGAACTTCCCGTACCTGGGTAGCACCCTCACCCGTAACACCAAAATCGATGACGAAGTCGCTCGCAGGATCTCAAAAGGCAGTCAAGCCATCGGCCGCCTCCAAAGCACTGTTTGGAATCGTTACGGTCTCCAGCTCAACAAGAAACTGAAGATGTAGAAGGCCATCATACTCCCGATGCTGCTGTACGGAGCGGAGACTTGGACAGTGTGCAAATAGCAGGCACGCCGACTGAATCACTTCCACCTCAGCTCTCTTCGTCGCATCCTGAAGCTGAAGAGGCAGGAGCGAATCTCCGACATTGATGTACTGGAACGGACGGGAATCCTCAGCATCTGCACCATGCTGAGACAACTACAACTGCGTTGGAGCGGCCATCTCGTGCGGATGGACGACGCGCAGCTACCCAAACGACTCTTCTACGGTGACGCCGCCACGGGTTCTCGCCGTCAAGGAGGCCAAATCGGCCGATACATGGATACTCTGAAATCCTCCCTGAAACGCCTGCAAATCAATCAGACCAACTGGGAAAACTTCGCCCGAGACCGACCGACCTGGAGGAGGACAGTGAAGACAGGCGCTGTGATCTATGGAGCCAACCGCATAGCCGCCGCCAAAGTCGAACGCGAAGCACGCTAATCACAACAACGTCCACCCCACAATGCCGACGCACAATCGCTTCCAACGCGTCCTCGATGTCAACGGACATTCCGGCATGAATGGGGCTTGTTGGACACCTTCGAATCAACTGCGCAACTCGAACCGCGCCAACCGTCGTCCCTCCGTTCGCCTCTTCCTTGTCCTCTACGCCGCCAGCTAAATCTGACCGCACTCCTGAACCACCACTTCCATCCTCCTCCTCTTCCTCCTCCTCCTGTTCCTCTTCCACCACCCCATCCTCCTACTCCTATTCCTCCTCCTCATCCTCCGCATCCTCCTCCTCTTACTCCGGCTCCTCCTCCCCATGCTGCACTGCCCCAACGACGGCCGCTCTGGCGGCTGTCACCTACACCAACACCACACCCATCCCTGACACAACAGCAGACACCCCCCATCCAACCTCCGACTTCAGAAGGGAAGACCAGGACTACACCTGCCCTCACTGCGACCGCACCTTCACCTCACACATCGGCCTGGTCGGTCACTTTCGAATCCATCGCACAGAGACTGGCGAACCAAAGCCTGGAGCTCCAACCTACACCCACCGCACTCGCCTTCACTTCCCACACTCCCCTCGCACCTTCACGCATCGCATGGGCCTATTCGGCCACATGCGCATCCACGAGAGCGGAATTGACCGCCCTCCCGACTCACCACCACGCCACACCCCACCCCCACTTCATCACCCTCTGCGTCCATCGCCGTTATCGCAGCTGACACCGACGCTACCGACTTCACCTGCCCACACTGTCCACGCACATTCACCTCTCGCATGGGCCTGGTCGGTCACTTGCGAATCCATCGCACTGAGACTGGCGAACCAGTGCATGGAGCACCAACCTATACCCACCACGATTGACTCAACTGCCCGAACTGCCATCGCAGTTTCAGGCATCGCATGGGCCTATTCGGCCACATGCAAATCCACGACGACCTGCGGTAGACAACCGCCGGCTACACCACCCCATAACACCCTCCCGCCCTGCCTCCACCACCAGCACCACTCTACCACATATCAACACTCACTCACCGCATGCACCAACTGCCACCTTCCACGCAAGTGGGAAGTGTGCATCTCGACTCGGTCCCCATGAGGCTTTGGCTACACGGACGACTCGAGTCCGAGACCATCCCGACACTTCAAGCGTCGTGGATAGGAAGGTTGTTGATTGACCCCCCCCCCGCTCGGTCCACGCAGTTCGTCGCGTTGTGTGCGTGTTGTGTGGAGTGGCGGACTGGTGGGCTGGGCGACGGGCTGAAACAGCACCTTCCACGGCCTTCTCACGCAAGTGATAGACACGCCGTTCAACCCCCTTGTGTGAAATCTTGGTGTGTGTATGGGGGGGCAGGTCGTGCTCGTGGCGCGCACAGTCATGTTCCGTCGACCATGGCAGCCACCGCGCCTACTTCCCACTCCAGTCTGCTGACCGGCTCGGACAGCGGCTGGGGTGTGGGAATGGGAAGGGAGAGTGAGGTTGAAGACTCAGCGCATTCTCCTCACTATAAACAATCTGACGCGCTTGAAGCTGCCACGTTGCGCTAAAATCCGTGGCTTGGAAGGTTGCCAACTGACGGGATAACTTGGACCTCGCAGTAAGCCCAGTGTTGTGCGTGTGTATGTGGAGTGGCCGGCTGGTGGTCTGAGAGTCAGGCTGCAATGGCTCCTTCTTAATGTGGCCTCAATGGCACTCCCACTGTGTGGGATCCGAACCAGGTGTGGGCGGCACGCCTAGGTGCGGCTTCGGCCGTGCCAGCCTCCAATCTCTCTTGTTGCTCGTCAGAAACCTGGTTATTTGTTGGGTGGACCAGGAGGTGTGTAGTGGAACGCTAAGGTGCAGGGTCGGCCATGCCATCCACCTGTGTCCTCCCCCGTCTCCGGTCTTAACTCTGTTTTGACGCCGGGTCCAGGTGGGGGAGAGGAGAGAGCGTGCTAGATGCAGCGCAAGTCTACTCTCACTATAAACCCCGCGAAAGTCGCCGTCCCTGCTCTCACCCTGCTGTGGAGCACACGGTGGGCATCGTGGAAACCGACTGTCGAACTCTCGTGTGTGCGTGTCTGTGTGCGTATAATATATTTGCACTCTAAAATACACGTCGAGCTGTCCATAACATGCGGACATGTATGAAGGCCTTGCCTATTACTCTGAAAAGGAAACTGGACGACTTTCGGCAACGTAATGAAAAGGCTCGTTGCCGAACCCACTGGACTACCTTCGTTTATTTTCCAGTTCTCCATTGTGCGAGACATTCTCTCTGATTGAAAAGTAGCGAAGAGGTACCCAATTCGCAAGGGTGAGTCCCGAACAAGGGCTGACGACTGTAGGCCTGCAAGTCTAACGTACACTTGTTTAAACGCCCTGAAAAAACATCGAAGAAGCTACCACGCGGTTATTTGGAAAAAAGAGGAATGTCTCAACATTGTGAGACGGAGTTTTCAGCAAAACGTCTTTTGTTTCTTCAGTATGCTTCAACCAAAAGAGAAGTGATAGGGTGCACTAGAGGGAAACACCAGAGTCGTTGTCATTTACAGTAAATTCTGTAATGTCATTGGTTATATTCTTTACTGTGGACTAGTTATAATATCAAGGATTTTAATACGAAAATCCTGTTGCCTCGGTTAGAGGACTACTTGACAATCCGGTCGGAGTCTGTTTGCACAAGCAGGGCGATTTCAATGCCGATACTGATTTTGATCGAGTACTTCAGGATGCGGTTGTTGAACCAGATAGTTTCCCGCGGAATGTCAACGATCACATAACAGAACTGAGGTAAATGTTAGTTGTGTCTGCAGATGGCATCTGGGTTTGGCATATAGTCAAATGCAGTAACGATGAAGGGCCCCTACAGAACTACAGGATGACCCAGGTGACCCGAAGTCGCTCTCGTAGATAGTTTTTTTCAGAATGGCATTACCGACAAGCACAGAGGAGACTGAAATGGCCATTTCTGGCTTATTAGCCGTCGTCAGCCAGTCATACCCAACCCCGAAGTGAGTTCCGTAAGAACGATCGGTGAGCGTCCCCTACTATTGTATATTCCCGATCGAAAACCGAGAGGGCAACGGGCTCGTGGCTCAGTGGTTAGAGGCGGGGACTTCTAACTAACAGGTCGCGACTTCGAGCCTCGGGTGTTCCACACTTCGGGGTTGGGTATGACTGGCTGACGGCTAATAAACCAAAAATGGCCATTCCAGTCTCCAGTCGGTAATAACATTCTGCCTATATCATGCGTCGCTGTGCGGCTGTTGGTTGAGCTCGAAAGAGAGCCCGCAAGGCACAACGAATCGAGTGAGTTCCGTAAGAACGATCGGTGAGCGCCCCAACCTTATTTTTTTTCAGTTTAATGTTTAAAAGCGTATCCTACTCTAGTGCAAAGGAGAGAGGGCGAAAGAAGTCGGTGACCCTCGCTAGTCATTTTCTTATTAAGCGTCCCTGGAGAATAACATTGACTGAGTGGATCTCGCAGTCACTTCTGTGATTTGCTTAAGACCCACTTCAAAATGTATCAACGTGGTCAAAGAGGCCACTGATTTTCTCCTCGAAGCTCATAGCGCCTTTGTAGTTATAATATAAATAATATGATAATGTAATGTATTATTATTGAAATCAAAACGTTCTTTGGGAAAGGGAGAAAACTTTATTGAGTAAATTTTCAACGTCAGTTCCCCGTGTCGTCGTCAGACTAGAGTAAATGTGCTGAAAACAATTAAAATTTCAAACGTGCTACAAAATCAATACTCATTTGGTGCCTCAGCTAGTAAGCTGCCGTCGTGTGTGTCAGTCCGTATTGATCGGCTTTCGTCTCTTCCACTTTTCTCTGAGATTCTTGTACGTGGCATCTAATTCGATATGCCTGTTGATGCATGACTCATCGGAGTGCATGGCTTCAAGAAACTCTCGGCCTTTTTTAGATGGGCAAACTCCGACGATGCGAGTTTTGTCCCATGCGAAATTGTGCCCAGTATCAAGAGTGTGCATGGCCATTTGAGACAAGTGGTCTCGCCTCTTAACTGCAAGTTGATGTTCGTGGATGCGTGTAGGATAGGGTTGGCTATCTCAATAAAAAAAGAAGTCGTCTATAAGATCCCATGCGAAGCCTGTGATGCCGTATATTGTGGCCAAACGGGAAAATGTGCCTCTACACTCATCCACGAACATCAACTTGCAGTTAAGAGGCGAGACCACTTGTCTCAAATGGCCATGCACACTCTTGATACTGGGCACAATTTCGCATGGGACAAAACTCGCATCGTCGGAGTTTGCCCATCTAAAAAAGGCCGAGAGTTTCTTGAAGCCATGCACTCCGATGAGTCATGCATCAACAGGCATATCGAATTAGATGCCACGTACAAGAATCTCAGAGAAAAGTGGAAGAGACGAAAGCCGATCAATACGGACTGACACACACGACGGCAGCTTACTAGCTGAGGCACCAAATGAGTATTGATTTTGTAGCACGTTTGAAATTTTAATTGTTTTCAGCACATTTACTCTAGTCTGACGACGACACGGGGAACCGACGTCGAAAATTTACTCAATAAAGTTTCCTCCCTTTCCCAAAGAACGTTTTGATTCCAATTTATATTTCTTGGGATGCCTGCGTTCCAATGTATTATTATATATTATGCATTATATTATTATATCTTATATATTATATATAATATATTATATGTATAATTATATACTATATAATAATATAATATTAATAATAACATATATCAAATAATAATATAGTGATACAATACAATAGCATAATAATATAATATATAAATATAATATATTATAAAAAGTTGGATGATACTCCTTCGTTCTCACGTAAACTACCGGGCGCAGACGTAGCCCCCTCGACTGAAAAAAGCTTGCAAGATAGTAGTAAGAATTTCGAGATTACGCAGAAAAATTCGAGAGGTACTAGGTATTTATTGTTCCAACTCTGACCTTCTGAGACTAACCCATGCTTATTTGAATGTGACCAGGTCTGAGGGAATTTCACACAGGTCTTCCGGATTGTGCGGGATTGGAGCACCTCTCTGTAGTTCGCTTGCCTTCTCATACTGACTGCATCAAACGGTCGGCGTGTAAATTCTCCAAACTTTGAAGACACTTGTCGCACTTTGGAATTCGCCTGAACAACCTCACGAGGATGGTTGTGTGTATTTAAAAGAAACTCTTCGGGGGTGTGGGGGTCAATTGACGAGCACGTCAGAAACACTAGAAAACAAATCTGACTTCGGCCTGGTAACTGGTTGTCTGTTCGTGACCTTTGCCACCCATACGGAGCTTGTTTGCTTCGTGAAGCCAATAGATAGGTGTGCGTGAAGAAGGAGACACGATCGCTGAGACAAGAGCTTTATCCGCCTGACGTTTCGAACCCCTGCTCGATCCCATCATCAGGATCAAAATCAGATACGGGTGGTTCATGCACAAAGGGCTGCAGTATTTATAGGATGCAGTCGCCATGCCACCGTGGCTTCTGTTGGGAGCGCCTACACTCCCAAAAACAAGAGCCAGCCAATCACGGGAGGCCACGTGCGTTTTCTCCACTGCGCTGTCATCTTACTCGTGGCGCCTCTCCATTGGCTTTTCCTCTCGGGCCTGATCGATCAGCATATTCGAATTATCGACCGGCTCGTCTCGAATGTTCTTCCCGAAGGGCATTGGGCCGAACGCCGGCGAAGCACCGTAAGGCGTTATAAATACGCGTTACTTTCAGTTCATTTTGGACTTGCATTTTCCTAATACGCAGTTTCGTGGCCGGTCGCGTTCTCCTTCTCTGCCGCGTTGGTATTGGTGACAAGGGTTGAGTGCGCATACGCTCCACAGGATTTCACGTACCAGGCGGGTCATAACAAATTGGCGACGCAGGTTTTTCAACTACAATGGCTGACGAGTACGCAGACTTGAAGCTGATGTTGCAGCAGCAGCTGAAGCTGATGGAGGCTCTGACCGTCGAGCTATCCAATTCATCCATGGGCCAATCAAGCGCGGCTGGTGGTTCACAATCTGTTGATCACATTGCTGACAGCATCACTGAATTCCTGTATGACCCGCAGGCCCATATCACCTTTGAGTCCTGGTACAAACGATACGAGGACTTGTTCTCTGTCGATCTGGCTGCCCAGGACGATGCATGGAAGGTTCGACTCCTTCTTCGCAAACTGGGTGCGGCTGAACACGAGCGTTATGCAAACTTCATCCTCCCCAAGAATCCCCGAGAGGTCGCTTTCAAGGACACGGTTGAGACGTTGTCGCAGATTTTTGGTGAGCAATCATCCCTCTTCAACACTCGATTTCAGTGTCTGCAACTGTGCAAACGAGATTCCGATGATTTCATCACATATATGCGGGCATTGTTAATCGTGAGTGTGGGCGTTTCCAACTCGGTTCTCTCACTGAAGACCAGTTTAAATGCCTTATATTTATCTGCGGCCTCCAGCCCCCCAAGGATGCTGATATCCGGACACGTCTCCTGTCCAAAGTGCAGCAGAACAACTCTACCACACTCCAAGAGCTGGCAGCAGAGTGCCAAACGCTGATCAATCTCAAGCACGACTCTGCAATGATTCAGAACCCGGCCTCATCTTTCTCAGTCCATACGGTCACATCGACCAAATCGCATCCTGTTACACGGCCCAAGCAAGTGTCCAAGTCGAGATCTCCTCCATCTCCTTGTCGGCACTGTGGCGCGTGGCATTTCCACCGGGATTGCACATTCCGCCAGCATCGCTGCCAAAGCTGTAATCAGGTGGGACACCGCGATGGGTTCTGCAAATCAGTACCAGCTTCTGGAGGCAAGCCAGCCCCCGCCACTCCTAATTCCAGGCACCGTTTCCGGCCAAAACGCAAGCCCAAACCCCAGTCCGTTGGTAATTCTCTGAGTCTCTTGGCCGCTTTCCAGCTCAATGCGTCTGGTCGTAGAAAATTTGTTGATGTCTTGCTCAATGGCCATGCAGTTCGTCTACAGTTGGACACTGCCTCAGATATCACCATCATCTCTGAGAGACTCTGGCAGTCCCTTGGCAGTCCCACGATGCAGCCGACTTCCCAGTCCGCCACAAGCGCGTGCGGTGGTCTCGTACAGCTAGTTGGGCAGCTGCAATGCTGTGTGTCGTTCCGCGGTACCAGCATCACTGCGATCTGCTACATCACCAAGTCTGATCTAAACCTACTTGGCCTCGACTGGATTGAACAACTTGGGTTGGCCGATATGCCGCTTCGCGTTGTTTGCAGTCAGGTGCAGATTCCCGCTGTGCTTGCAGACCAAGCCAAGGACATTCTCCAACGCTTTGCTCCAGTGTTCCAAGACGGCCTGGGTCGTTGCACATACACTCAAGCCGTGCTACATCTGTCTCCTGGAAGTCAACCAGTCTTCAGTCCAAAGCGACCAGTCCCATATGCAGCCCTACCACTTGTCGAGGCTGAACTGAAGCGTCTAGAGGAATTGGGAGTTCTGGTTCCTGTATCCTACTCCGCCTGGGCCGCTCCAATCGTTGTGGTTAAGAAGCCCAATGGCTCGGTCCGCATTTGTGCTGACTTCTCCACCGGTCTCAATGCCGCGCTGATGCCGAACTGCTATCTATTACCGGTTCCGGCTGATCTTTTCACCCTGCTGAATGGTGACACTTGCTTTGCCAAGTTGGATCTTGCTGACGCGTATCTGCAGATCGAGGTCGCCCCAGAGTCGCGCGAATTGTTGACCATCAATACCCACCGCGGTCTGTTCCAATACACCAGGCTGCCCTTTGGTGTCAAGACCGCCCCGGCCCTATTTCAACAAACGATGAACGTAATGCTCTCCGGCATCCCTGGCACAGCTGGGTACCTGGACGACATCATCATCGTGGGTCGCTCCCCTGCCGAGCTGCAAGACCGAGTGTGCGCAGTACTCGAACGCATGCAGGAGTATGGCTTTCGCCTACGGGCCGAGAAGTGCCAATTCTTCCTCGACTCCATCAAGTACCTTGGATTCGTTTTTGACGCCAATGGTCGCCAGCCAGATCCTGACAACATTCGGGCCATCCAACGGATGCCTGCCCCCAAGAATGTATCGCAACTTCGTTCGTTCCTTGGCCTGATCAGCTACTATAGCGCCTTCCTACCATCGCTGCATGACGTACGGGTCCCGCTCAACCGTCTGTTGCAGAAGGATGCTCCTTGGTGCTGGTCCCCCGACTGTGAAAAGGCCTTCGCCCAGCTAAAGTCGATGCTGAGTTCAGATCTGTTGCTCACGCACTACGACCCGACGCTGCCGATCGTTGTTGCTGCAGATGCTTCCAACCACGGAGTTGGTGCCGTCATCTCACATACTTTTCCTGATGGGTCTGAAAAGGCGATCATGCATGCATTTCGCACGCTAACCCCTGCGGAGAAGAACTATGGGCAAATAGAGAAAGAAGCTCTAGCCCTCGTGTTTGCCGTCAAGAAATTTCACAAACTGTTGTACGGTCGCCACTTCACGTTGTTGACGGATCACAAACCATTGCTGTCAATCTTCGGTTCGAAGAAGGGCATTCCCGTCTACTCAGCCAGCCGACTTCAGCGATGGGCAACCATCCTTCTTGGCTACGATTTCGACATTCGCTACTGTCGTACTACAGACTTTGGTCAGGCTGACGCCCTTTCTCGCCTCATCAGCAATCAGCAGGAACCGGAGGAAGATACCGTGATTGCAGCTATTTCGATTGAGGACGGTGTGCACCGTCAGCTATCAGACGCCATATGAGGTATCCCTGTCACTGCCGCGGACATCCGACGTGCTACTGAACAGGATCCTGTCCTCCGCCAGGCCATCACCTACGTGCAGACCTGCTGGCCAACCACTGCTCTCGCTGGCGATCTTCGCCAGCTCTTCCTCCGCCGAGCATCGCTATCTGTGGTTGACTCCTGCCTCATGTTTGCAGACCGTGTGGTGATCCCATCTTCCCTCCGACCCACTGTACTACGCCAGTTCCATGCGGCTCATCCTGGTGCCAGCCGAATGAAGTCTATGGCTCGCAGTTTTGCCTACTGGCCGGGTATCGACGGCGACATCGACGACCTGGTTCGACGCTGTTCTCGATGTCAGCAAGCTGCCAAGATGCCGCCTCGTCAACCTCCAATACCCTGGCAACCACCGGAGAGGCCTTGGTCACGTGTGCATATCGATTTCGCTGGCCCACTTAACGGAGTCTCCTACCTAATCTTGGTTGACGCCAACTCGAAATGGCCCAAGATTGCTCCGCTGAATCCAGCAACCGCATCTGCCACTATCGCCTTCCTACGACGCATCTTTAGCCAGCATGGCTTACCAGAAGTCCTGGTTTCAGATAATGGTTCTCAGTTTATCTCGTCGACGTTTGAAGATTTCTGCCGCCAGCACAACATCCAGCATCTTCGCTCCCCGCCCTACCATCCTCAGTCTAACGGTCAGCCGGAGCGTTTTGTCGACACGTTTAAGAGAGCCCTTTTGAAAGCTCGTGGGGAGGGGACCACGGAAGAGATAGTCCAGGCGTTCCTGTTTTCCTACAGGACAACACCGAACCCGGCGTCCCCTGGTGGCGTTTCTCCTGCCGAAGCGTTGATGGGCCGAAAACTGCGGACAACATTTCATGCACTCGTCCCTACCGGTGCGCAGCCCGCGCAGACTTCTTCAGTTTCTCGCAGTAAGCTCTCCATCGGAACACCTGTCTTCGTTCGTGATTATCGAGCGGGGTTCCCAGACTGGATTGAAGCAACCGTAGTATCGCACAGAGGCAGTATGTTGTTTGACGTCGACGTTGGTGATGACATCTGGGTTCGCCACCACAACCAGATCCGACGGCGACATTGCAGTAACATAACTGGGCTCGATTCGGCGCCGTCACTCTCTCTCGACATCCTACTGGATACCTTCGCCATTGCGGCAGATCAGTCGGTTCCCGAACCCACTTCTGCGCCCCCTTCGGATATACCATCTTCGGTATCAGTTACCGCTCCCGTATCTCCGGGCATTAAACCACGACTAAGACGCCGGACCAACCGCGTGCGCCGATCAACACGTCTGATGCAGGTAAACCCACGCCAGAAGCGGTACTGACCTACTTGGAGGGGAGGTGTTGGGAGCGCCTACACTCCCAAAAACAAGAGCCAGCCAATCACGGGAGGCCACGTGCGTTTTCTCCACTGCGCTGTCATCTTACTCGTGGCGCCTCTCCATTGGCTTTTCCTCTCGGGCCTGATCGATCAGCATTTTCGAATTATCGACCGGCTCGTCTCGAATGTTCTTCCCGAAGGGCATTGGGCCGAACGCCGGCGAAGCACCGTAAGGCGTTATAAATACGCGTTACTTCCAGTTCATTTTGGACTTGCATTTTCCTAATACGCAGTTTCGTGGCCGGTCGCGTTCTCCTTCTCTGCCGCGTTGGTATTGGGGACAAGAGTCGAGTGCCCATACGCTCCACAGGATTTCACGTACCAGGCGGGTCATAACAGCTTCCCCCCCCCTTTTCTAGGGATCGTTGCATGTGGTGTGATGACTGTTTAATGGTCAATATTCGCGTCGTTAATTGCTGCAATCTCATCAGGTGCGTCGGATGTTGGCGTGCTGACTACTCGACCATCTGACGCACCGACCCTGGCGTTGGAAACAGTGCTCACCTGTACGCTCCCCGCGTGGCTAAGTACTCCGCCCAGGCGAAGTCTTAGCACGGAATAGGGAATAGGAAGGTCGTTGCACTTGTTGATGGACTGGGGGTCAGTAAACCATGACTCAGGCAGCTCCCGGCTCACGCGGTTGTCACCTCTTGCGAGAATTTCGGCCTCGTGGAATTTGAATGTGTGGTCGGATCTCGTCGAATGAGCCGCAACTTGAGAGCTGGCGTCATTTCTCCGCGCCGCTGCAGCGCGTTCGACCATTCTCGTTCGGAGCTGTCTTCCGGTTTCTCCGACGTAGTTGCTTTGTCCGCAACTGCACCAGATCCGATAAATGACTCCAGTCGTTTTTTGTCGTGGCAGTGGGTCTTTCGGTTTCATTACTTGACGCCAGATGGTTGCCTCCGGTCTGTGTGCCACTCCAACCCCAAGTGGTGCGAGAAGGCGGTCGACAGCTTCCGAAACGTTCATGAAATACGGAAGTGCTCGCCAAAATTTTGCGTCTATGCGGTTAGGCCTTTCGTCCCTTTTGTGTATGAATCGGTTGACGAAGTTGCGCTGATATTCATTGGCTTTGAAGACTCGTCGTAGGTATTGTAGTTCGACAATCTTGCCTACCGTCACACTGCAGTGCGTTTCCACACGCCGATAGAACGTCCTTACGCAACTGCGTTTGTGGCTGATTGGGTGGTTGCTTTTGAAGTTCAGTACTTGCATCGTATTCGTCGCTATCTTGAACACTTCGGTCTTTATTCCACCACTAATCTTTGCAGCATAGGAGGTCATCCAGGAAGGCCAATTGGTTGTTCTCTTCCTCCTCAATCGTAAACTGTTTGTCCGGGAAGACCACATTCAGACGTTCCTTGAATGTCAGGAGTTGATCCCGGTCGATAACGGCGAAGGTATCATCCACATACCGTACCCAGAGTTTCGGTCTGTTGGGTTGGAAGACCAGCGACTCCAACCGTTTTAGGACCGCCTCGGCGATGAATCCCGAATTCGGCGAACCTATTGGTGCGCCCTTCACCTGTTCGTAGATAGTCCCCTCGAACGTGAAGTACGTCCTGAGACAGAACTTCAGGAGCTGAAGGGTTTGGGCGCGTCCAAGACGATTCTCCGTTTCATCCTGTTTGCTTTGTAGAAGCAACTCGATTGTCTCGATCGCCAGGTCCTGTCACGAGTTTCTCGAGAAAATCGTTCCTCAAGTCTTACCGTAGTATATAAACGACCGTTTTTGAAAAGAAGGCATAGTTGGTTTTCTTACTTAATATTTGCGCACATGAAAATAATTACTCTTAAATGGAAACTAGTTACAGAAACTGGCTACACTGTAAATTACTTAAATAAGGTTAACTATAGGGGTACACAAGGAAGGGGGCGCATGAAAATGGGAAAGTAGTTTGAAATTATGACAGATACAACATATCAGTACCCTGTTGATCGTCTATCAGCATTTAACACAGCAAAAAGACTCTCAGACATGGGGACAGTCGGGTTGTCTATGGTGGATCGTTCAATATGATTATGTAGCACAAAACCAAGTTTTTCTTGCACTGAAAGGTTCTTTTTTGCCTTGTGTGACTTCCTTTTGTTAGATGCGAAAAGATTTCCGACGGGATTAAGATGCGGACTGTTGGCAGGGCCAAAAATCAATTGTTGGCCGCATGCGGAGAGGCTGACTTCTGTCTAAAAATGACAGTTGCAGGCGTTGTCGGATTCCTACTTCTTTAGAGCGATGGAAGAGGACTTCATCGTTTAGAACTAAGTTGTCAACTCGGCGTCGGTGGATGTCGCTGTAACGGAAGACATGGACGAACACCTTGTTGTTGACCATGTCCGTAGTCGACCGTCAGGGGTGCCGGGGTTTCCAGTTAGGGGCCCCCCCGCATGAACGGTAGGTCGCACCATGCAAATGGCGACTGCTCCCCACAGTCCTTAAATGACACCCAACTCTCATCTGTGGCCCACCGGAGATGTGCTCTTCCTATCATCCACACCCAGCTAACCGCCTCGACCGGCGGGCCAAATTAGACAAGGAGACCAGGTGATGTGCGTGTTTACCTGCTAGTTCAGTCCCCATCTCACCTCCCCCCTCCCACTTCAAAAGTCCTACTGGGAGGACGATGTGCAATCCCGCGGGCGGTCCAGGTTGAGTGGGGTCGCTCCCCAATAAACAAAGCGGCCGCCGTCTCAGCGTTTTAGGGACAACACTACTTAGAAGGGGCTAGAAAAAGTGCTCAAAGGGAACGTTGGGAAACCCCGCTATCTGCTAGTATACCGTGACTTCTGGAGGCAAAACTCGCGGTCGAAAACAAAGAACAACAGCAATCCTCTTTCCCCTCCCCTCCGTTTCATTCCATAGACTGCTAGGGTGAGTCCAACCTTCTGGCAGCTAGAGATGTCTGTACCCGGTAAGATGTGGTTTGGTAGCCCGACCTGATGGGCACTACTGTTGGGGTTGTGGTTAAGGGTTAGGGTTAGGGGTAAAGGTTAGGTGTTATGGTTAGTGGTTATGGTAAGTGGTTATGCTTATAGGTTGAGGTTAAAGGTTGGGGTTAGCGGTTGAGGTTTAGGATAAGGGACTACAGTCATGGGTCAGGGTCATGGTCAGGGGTTAGTGCAACTATTTCTCAACCATTGAAAGTACAACCACGCACTCCCAGTAGCTTTTCTTTTGCATACAACTATTTGACCCCGTCGCCCGTGCGTTCCCCGGCTCCACCTATAAAAATCCCTATTACCGCCAGTCCCGTATTAGAGGTGACTGGGTTTTGTTTACTTCAGGTGGGGCTACCAAACCACATCCGACCCTGTTCCCTTTTAGACAACCCAATGAGCATCCGGCCGGTAGGGAGGAAGGCACCAGTCGTTCGGAAACTGGTGCGTTGCAAGGCCACATAGATGAGGTGGATGCCGGCTACACCTTCTTATGAAGTTGCCGTTCAAAGGCAGAACGACATGACGCAGGCGTCGCCTTTTCCATTCGGAACGATATCGCGGGGTGACTGTTTTGTCTGCCACAGGGCGCCAACGTCCGGTCTGCGTCTGGCTGCTCGGAGAATCAAGTTTGCCACCATCGTCATTGTCTACGCCCCCCAATAACCAGTTCCGGTGAGGCGAAGAACTAATTCTATGAAGACCTGCGATTGTGCTGAAGGTGGACAAGCCCATTCTCGTGCCTCCTTCTTCAAGCCCATTGTCCTTCGTGACTTCAGCGTCCGCGTCGGGACAGAGTAAGCTGTCTAGAAGAGAGTGCTAGGTCCCCATGGAATCAACGGCTGTAAGGACAACGGCCCTCTTCTTCAGTTCAGTTCAATTCAGTTTTATTGAAGGAAATGTAGGTCTTCACCTTTAAACGCCCTATTTGTTTACGAGCAACTGCAAAATCTCAAAAACTGGAAAAGGTATCATAAAGGTAGCAAATAATCGGAAAAGCGTCAGCTCTGTACAGACAAAAAAACTGTCTCGAATGTTAGTGGTACGAACAGTTGTGCAGCGGTCGTTTCGAGTGCAGGGAAATAAATAATATACCCGGTGACAAAAGTTGCATAGGTGCATGTCAGTAGGCGTAAGCGATGGATTGAGGACAATAAGAAAATGAATTTAAAACGTTACTGAAATATAGCAAGTAGTATTATGCCAACGGATTTGTCAGGGTTACAGAGGTCAGGTGGTAATTTAGTGGACACTGCTATACAAATCCAGCTTCCGCTTAAAGACCTCGACGGAAGCAGACATAACGACATCCACAGGCCGGGCGTTCCAAGCTTCTAGCACTCTGTTAGAGAAGAAGAACTTTTGTGTGTCCAGCCTGGCCCCTGTCACACGTAGTTTGAATGGATGGCCTCGTAGGTTCGTGGTGGTTGCTAACTCGAAGAAGTCCTCCGGTACGAGGCTGCAGTCCTGACCGCGTATGATACGTAGGGCTTGTATCAGGTCACCCCGTAACTGCCTGTAACTCAAGGGAGCCTTTACAAAACATCACCTCCTAACCCGTACCTTCATCCGCCTTCCTGAGTAAGGCTTTCCTAGGCGGATGTATTGGTTTGGATGTGTTTGTTGAAGAATCTCAGACTGCGCATGTTACGTCGTTTTGTTGGCGTACTCCCGTGGGGGCGTCGTCATGGAAGAGTCGTTTGGCTAGGCTCCCGTCATCTATCCTCATGACGTAGCCGTTCCGTCGCAAGTGCATTTGCCTCAGCATGAAGCGGCCGCAGTGAATTCCAGTTCACTTCTATGTCTGGCATTGTCCTATCATCCCAGCTTCAGAATTATGCGAAAGCACCCAGGTCGAAAGCTGCTGAGTTCCTTGCGTGGTCAAGACTACAACCCTGTGCATTCTGAGTTTTGGACTAAAGTGAATTCCGCGACCATTTCAAACTGAGCTCTGCAGCCGTTCGAAGGCCTAGCTGACTTTGAAAATCCGGCGGGCAATTTCATCATCGATCGTAACACTCCTTGATATCATACTTCCATGGCACGCGAATTCCTCCAGTGTTATGAGGTGAGTGCGATTTACATTGAGTGGCTTTTCATTCTATACAACATTTGGCCTTGGCCGATGCATGGCCACCTTCTTCTCTGTGTTTAAGGTCAGTTCGAGACTCGCGCAATCTGAGACGAAGAGGTCGATGTTCTTAAGAATTTCTCCTACCGTCACGATGTTGAGCGCGCAGTCATCGAAGAACGGCGGGTCGTGGATGCCGGTCTTGGATACCTGGAGACTTTTTCTGTAACTTAGAATATTTCTTGTGCACCTCTGCATCTCGGGCGGCAATTAAAGGTTCTTCATGCAGCACAGGCTGAAAAGAACTAATCTATGCTGACTGCCCTGAGCCGTTTAGAGCGTTTTTTGCCTGTACAATCTTCTGCGACTTGTTGAGCCGTGTAGGTAAACATTCCTCTAAACAAAGGCCTGTCGTCTGACGAAAGTTCGGTTGAGCGCGTCCGTAAGCCTTATACAAACATTATATACGTATGCTACTTGCTTATAGGTAGTAGCAGTTATATCTATGTATAATTCGTCAGGGGTTATTTCATTGACGTCCCTTGAGGCATAAGACTCCGGTCGTAACTACTGTTGACGTGATAGCCGTTTTTTTCGAATATCTGAGTGTGCAGTTGATAAGCTCGGGAGCCATAGACAAACTGTTTAAAAGATCTGAAATCACCCCCTGTTTCTAGCGCGAAATCATCATGGTTCAGACGGCGAACTGTCAATGAACTTGTGACAACTTCTTCGAAAGGGAGTTCAGTCGTAAACGTGATCGTGTTGTGCTTATCGACAACCATTTTGGTTCATACGCCACCCTCACCCGAACCCATATCACAGATAGTCGCAGATTAGGGTAATGGCGGCACAAGGAGTGCAGTATTGATAGCACGTGCTGCCGTGGGACCATATGCGCGCTGTAATTAACAGCTCTCGAGATCACCGCTGGGGTCGTAATTGATGCGGTGGTGGCTTGTCAGTCCGAGTCAGAGTCGGTAATTACCGTGATTTCGTCATCCGACTCTGACTCGGACTGACAAGCCACCACCGCATCAATTACGACCCCAGCGGTGATCTTGAGAGCTGTTAATTACAGCGCGCATATGGTCCCACGGCAGCCACGTGCTATAAATACTGCATTCCTTGTGCCACCATCACCTTTATATGCGAATATCTCTGATGATGGATTCGAGTGAGAATCCGAAACGTCAGGTCAATACATTTCTTGTTCCAGTGATCGCATCTCCGTCCTCGGAACTGCAACCTGAAACTGGCCTCTTCGATTCCATCAGTACTTTCTTCTGTTTTTTGAAAGTGCGCAAGATGAAAGTTCAAAGAGGCAGAAATGTTTCTTTCGGTTAATTCGCCCTTTATTTGAAGTTAATCAGAGCATGCCCAGTTTCCTCCTAAAGCAGGAAGGAGACCGGCTAGACGAAAAACGAAAAAGTGGAACAAGTTAATTCATTTCTTGTGGTCCTCGTTGAATAGAAGAGGGCATTTAACTTCATCCACTAAGTTTTCTAGAATCCTATCTAATTTGAATCCACGATCCAGATCTAAAATTTTTATTGAAATTTAACAAAAACTTACTCCACCTCGTGACAGAGGTCTGTGTATCTGTAATTCATTCCTAACTATACTGTCTCCCCTCTCCCCCAACGGCCAATGTGATAACTTCACCTCTCGTTCTTATTTCGTCTGACGCAGTCTGTTGTTGACAAGTGCGAAACTATCTTTACTAACGGACTATTCCCTTTTGTAAATGTATATATGTTAACAAAAGCGAAATAAGTCCTTAAAAAGCAAAAAAACGTTATATCCTAAGTTCTTAACGGCGTTTCCCAAACGTTTAAAGTCTTTAAAACCATGACCAAGATGATTATTCAGTTCGCATGGTAAATATCCCGCAAAATGAGGAGAGGGGCCAGGTGGCAGTGAAATATAAATAACTTCACGGAAATGGTGCAGAATTAAAAACCAGAAATAAAAGCAATTCGTTTAAAGAGAGCAGTCGGCTGCCCCCAACAACTTGCTACAGATTACTGAACTGTTTAAGGAAGCATTCTGTGAAACGAGGGTCTGCAATCTGTCGGACGCTCGGACGAATGTATTTGGAGACCCCAAGAGAGTCACATTTAATATATTACTGGCTAATATTTAGCAACGGTTGTATTAAAGATTTATTATTTACTGTCATCTCACGGCAGTGTGTGACTGATGTGGGTTTCAAGTACATGAAGTTCTCAGTCTGGTAATATGTCTTAAAGCTCCGGAACAAACTCATAAGACCTCATGTGAGCTTCCTGCATTATCGAAAACCATGTTGACACTTATGGATACGTCTGAGAAACTCGGGTGCAGTGGGGAAGTTGTTAAAAAATCTGACAAAAATAATGACGCTTTATGCTTTTTATCGCAAACCTTGCGGACATCGGACTGCCAAGGAACTAGCGACAGCTTCTCCAAACGGGAGTTCAGTCACAAACCGAGTTTGTAGAATATCCGTGGATCCTTTTTTGTCTTCAATGTCCTGAGGATGGAGACCGCCAACCTGACGCATGCCCGCCTCGGTTATGGCAAATTAAAAATGAAAAACATTAGGCGAAATTGCATGTCAAAGTGAGCGTCCAGCGAACAAACCTGTTTCATTTTTTGAGCAAATCCCCGGCAGGGTGTCATAATGTAATTATTTAACTTCTTCCCTCTCGGGATCCGAGCATCCTCTCGGCAATGTGGTCCCATTTCCCAGCTCTTGAACTTAGTAGCGCTTAGATCGCCTCGTGGCCGCAAGATGTAAATAGACCGAAAAATGATGGTCTTTTCTGTTCTTCGAACGCGTCGAAGATGAGAGAGAGAGAGAGAGAGAGAGAGAGAGAGAGAGAGAACGCCTCCCGCACTCGTTTGCTCGTAGAGCTGGCAGAAAAGAAGCTAAAGGCGATCTGCCAAAAGGAAGGCTCATGGAATTAGAGCAAATCAACTCGTTTTATTGAATAGAAATTTAATTTCTTGTCCTCCATGCAACCTACAGGAAACCGCGCCACTTCAAATTGCCCTATGACAGAACTGTTTTGGCTTAGTCCACGCCAGCATTTCAGAGAAAAATCGGCTCCTATCCATGCGTCTGTTTTAAATAGTCTACTAAAATAAAACGTAAAACTAACTCACGCTGGAGACGGCGATCCTTATCTCTCTAATTTTTCTCTACTTTCTGTGTTCACCCTCTCGCAATCAACAGGTTCGACGGCCGTTTTTGGCAGACGTGAAATTATCGGACACTTATGTTTCTTCACTAATAAAATTTTCTTATTCCTAAGCAGGTAAGTGTAATTCAAAAGCAAATATGTTTCTTGCGAAAGCAAAACAATTATCTCCGATCTTGTCGAAAGTGCCCCTCTACGAAGTCTTTAGACGTACTGCGATGTGTAAAACAGTTCAATTTTCAGAAGCATTTGAAAGAATCCGTGATTTTTAGTGAGCAAGGAGCACGTTCAAAAAGCCTGCAACAAATCTGCCCCATCTCGACTTATTTTTAGGGTTGTGCTTAGAATTAGATTAAGGAGTAGTGTTATCATTCAGGGATAGATTTAACACACCTGTCTGTGAACACCGTTGGCGTTAGGATGGAGGCAAAGTTTATCATATGACTCGATTAGTCATTATTAGGGCGTACTAGATCCGCCTTTTCCAAATGGTCCCTAAAGGTCATCCCAGTCGTTTGGCACGTGCGCCAAAGTACATTCTCTGTATACCCCCGTTCCGTTTGATTTGGCTGCTACCTCCATCTACGTGTGCGTGACATTCTTATATGCGGTATCCTGTTGATGCATGCGTCCTCCTAACGCCTGACTTCGAGGAATGCGTAGTTGATCGGGCGCCAACCAATCTGGTTCTTTTCCAGACAAAGTTACTCTCTGTCTGTAGAGCATTTATACCTGTCTGGGACAACCGGTATCGTCTTTTCGCTGTCAGGTTTTATTTATATCCGCGCAAAGGGGCGGTTTTTCCAGTTTTGCCACAATATACTACGTCGCAGACTTCGCATGACATCTTTCCAGGCAGTCCATTTCCCACCGAATTGGCCAACCGTATTCGTAGGATAAAAAAGCTGCAATCCTCTGTTTGTGTTTCTATTGTCTTTTGTGTTCATATGTTTACGATACCGGACGCATTCTTCAGGTGGGAAGGGGTTCGTCGGGTAGTTGGTTTGGGAGCCTGGTTGGAATTATCTATATCTTCTCCCCCTCCTCTTCCTCCTCATAAAAATGCATTTTGAGAAATTAATTTAAAAGGGTTCCTTTTTTCTGCTTCATACATTTCCTTCTAAATCGAGAGTTCTTGTTCAGTTGATTCATCTTTCGAGAGAACTTCCTATGTGCGGAGAGTGGATGATTGCTGTCAGAATTCGGCATGACTTCTGGAGAAGAGGGCAAGAACTAAATTTTCTTCGGAGATCCAACACTCCGTTGGTTCCACATTTTCCGCACCAACTCAGCTTCTTATGCCTTCCTCTGAGGGCACGACTAGAGGTCGGTGGGTTAACGACCCCTTTCGAAGGTGACTCATCCGGTAGGTCAAAGTGATGGAAGTCTGGGTGCATATGTAAGGCAACACCGACCTTTGGGATTAGTTAGAGACTCAATTATCCTACAGAAGGATGTCAACTCTGAAAAATTAACGTGCATATGGTGGGAGGATGCGTTGCCGATGAGGATCTGTTGTCGTTGTGCAAGAAACCGTCCTCCAGTCTACCTGTATGATGTCCGGTTGCCGCTGGTTGCAGGTGCTTAGTTTCCTCTAGGTCCTCAGTCAAACGGCAAAAGCCTCCGTCTACCAAGACACATTCAATGCGCTTTCCAGGAGTCGTTCTCCCGACGCGATTGGGGAAAATGTGCACGTAGTTGAGTGAGATGACGATGGGCTACGGACCAAGGCTTACTTCAGCTTCTCTTGGAGTCACGTCCTGCTCTCATTTCAGTTCAAGGACAGTTACTCTTCTGTGGGTGAGGATTCAGTGAAATTACGTCTAAGTGAATTAGGCTATGAATAACTGTTGAGCACGGTTCGCAATCTGACCTTGACCAGGCGTGTTTACTATCATGCCTCTTTTTCGTTGCGTCGATCGTGGTCCACTGTGAGCACAGTCATTCGGTGGGTCGTGCTGGAGACCTGCTTAAATCAGCTTTGATGACTTTTTTTCTAACAGGGCCGCTCATCCTCCTGCGACCCCGCTTTCCGTTCCCTTAGACGCCCTCGTCATTACCTGGCAGTTGCCATGGCGAGTGTTGGCGCCGTTAGTGGTGCAGGCAGTCATGCCGACAGCTGTGTCAACTAAACGACTTGTTGAGGCGATGACCACACTGTTTGGCCAGTTGACTTCTCGAGTGCCTGAAGTGACGGGGGGACGAGGTTGGAGATTCGACTGTTTGCTCTGCGAAGCCATACTCTGCCCCACTACCTAGCCCTCTCACATAAGCGCTTCCGTCCCCCACCCCCGTGGTTAGGGCAGCCAATTACCATCAAGTGCCAGTTCGCGCCGGCTCCGGAGGGTCCGGCAACACCGCTTCAATAAACACTTCAGATGTGCACATATTTGAGCATCTTTCCGACCGTCTAAGCACCCATTGCAACTTCCTCGGGCGTGAGAGTCAGCGGCGACAGACAGGGCTCATTAACTGGGACTGATTGGGTAGGCGGAGGAGGAGGAGGAGGAGGAGGAGGTTACTGCTTTAGGGTCACTATGCCTTGGCTGCCCACGACGATGCAACGCCCTCGCGGTCACCACGAACATTGGAGACTGTCATTGTGCCTAGATGCTTATTTTGAGGGCGTTATTTATCTTGTGACTATACACAAACGAGGCAGAAAGTATGACTTGAAAATATATTGTCGTATTGTATGCGGGCACGAACTGTGACATGTCGTCCTGATTGTTTAATGATACATCACGACAATATTTCTAGATGTTTTTATTTTCCCCACGACCCTCCAACAGCTCCGTTCATAGGTTTCAGGTGTCTGCTGTTGAAACCGTTTGTCTGTTTCAAACTTCTGTCCACCGGCCCTGATTTGTGAGGTTCGTGTTATCCGCAGTTGGCAGTCAGGTACATTTAAGTAGCTCATTTTTTCTTATATGCTTTCGAAGTCAATCATGAGTGTAAGAATGCATATGTGCATGTCACTGGACACAGTCTCGCTGCGGAAGAACGAAGGAGGTTGACGCTGAGCGACCCAGATCATACGCGAGTCATCTTCACCGCAGCAGTCGCCGGCCTCATCTCCAACATCACTCCTCAAGTCGCATAATGATTGATTTGCTGGAATTCCTGGTCGTAGTTCTGCATAAAAGCGATCCCGGCTAGTTCGCCTTGATTTCTCACTAAGGAGAAGCAGTTGATTCCGGCGACTCCCTATTTCGCGTATCCTCGTCTACGAGACGCAGTCTATGTGACCTCAAATGACGGTCGTCATGTTTATAGTTGAGCCATCAAACCCCACTTCTGTTACAATGTTCAAAGTTGCTCTATCAGTTTGTAATGTTCATTGTCCGTTAGACAACCCAACTGCCAGCCAACCGGAGAGAAGAATAGCGCTCATCAACCCCCAAACTCGTCTGCTGCAAAATGAACACAATCTCCTCCAGTGAAACCACTGCTGCGGAAGAGTAACATTCAACCAAAGTCGGGAACAGATACAATTTAGTCTGAAAGGGCTAATAACGAGACGAAAAAAATGGGTTTCGTCATCAGAACGGGAAGTGTCAGGATCCAAGTAGACTTCCGTGGAGGACTCGACGACGGACTCACCACTATGACTGTCGTCCTCTGATAAACCTTTTGCCACATTCTGTGATGAATAGCCGACTGCGACCACTTAAAGAAGAACGCGGAAACATACGTTCGCTCTCCGCTGATGGTGAATTCACTCAGCATTTTGGGGAGTTTAATGCGCGTTTGGGCCAAAACCACGTCACCAGCGTGAGAGCGACCGTTCCAACCCTCGTTCACATCGCCAGGCGGCTGTCCATTCTCAAAGCTTACACGGAACACTTAATCCTCGCGAATATCGCTCTTGTCTTCTCTGTGGCCGGAATACGGGACAGATACACCCACACCCCCCCCCCTTGCCGTCATCTTCCAGATCACGTGCTCCTGAGAAAAAGAAGAAGAAGAAACAACCTGGATGGGCTGTGGGGATTAGCACGTGAGTCCAGCCACGGAGACGTCCTCGGGGAAGGGATGTGCAAAAAAAGACGAAACACAAACGAAACTTTGACGGCGAACTTAAAACGACGGTTTACGGTAAGGCAACCAACACCACGCAGCTTCTCAGTCTTCTCAGAAACCAACCGGTGGCTCACAACCGAAGCTGTACGAAGACGCTCTGCAAACAAATCTAGATCTAAATTTCTTGTTCCAGTGCTTGCATCTTCGTCTCCATATCTAGATTTATTGCAGCAGTCTGGCAATGAAAGCGCGCGAAGCCCGAAATATCCACCACCAATTTGCGCGGAATGTCTATTCGAATGAGTTTCAATGCCAATGCTTATGCGATCACCCCCAGAGGACACAAACGGCAACACCATCAAGGACATGACATTCTTCGCCATACGTTAAGAACGTTTCAGAAGCGACCTAACGCGTTGGTACGGAACTAGGTATCAGAATTTCCCACCGGCCCAAAGCCATCATGCGCAGAGAGGTCAGGACAGTTAAAGTCCGGCTAAGTGTCAAGGAGCAATCTGAGGGTAGTGTACCGCATTCCGTGCAAAACCTGCCCTTGTAAATACACTGGTCAGGCCGGACGCATGCTCGGATCGCGCATACACGAATATAAGCTGGTTGTGCGACGAGGCGATAAATTATCACAACTGACTGCCCACACCTACGGAATGGGTCACTAATTTAATTTTACAGGCGCCAAGACAATCGCCCACGCGGGAAACAAAAGAGGCCGAGAATTGATTGAAGCCTGGGTCACGGATGAGGACTCAGTCAATCGATTTACCCATGTGGCGCCGACATATAGAGCTCCCCGTAGTCATCTGCAGTCTTGAACCATCGATCGATGACTGGTTAGCACGCCCCATAATTGCCGCTCGCTCTGTTGTTGCCACTATCTCTGACGGTAGGGTGAAGGGTCCTACTTAACTGCCGGTAGACTGTGAATCGTGTCATATGGGATTAATGGTAATGTGGGTTTTACGGGTGGGGCGGCACGCCAGACAGTAAGCTGACGCAATGCAAGAAAACACAGAGATCTTTCTATTTTTGCCGAAAGTCTTATCGTGCGCTTTCCTATGGCAATGGAAACGAGAACGTCAATTGGGAAAATAGACAAAAAAACAAATTCTCAAAAAATAACGGAGTTTGCTTAGTGGTTTGAGCTCATGGGAGGTAACCGTTGTTGACAGTGTGATGTCTGCAACGGCCAGCAAATGGATGCCAAGATAAAACCCAATGCGACATGATCCAAAGTCTGCCGACAGTTAAGTGGGGTCCTTCTCCCTACCGTTGCCGAGTTTGAGGGCTCGAACAATAAACGGACTAATGAAGGCGAAATTTCGAGTTCCAGGTGCATTCATAAGTGAAGAAGAAGAAGAAGAGGTTTCGAGCACCGGAACATTTTGTTTATTGTCCTGAGCTTTCGGGCTCATGCGGGAGTCCATAGTCAGAGATAGTAGCAGCAACAGAACAAGCAACAGTTATAGGGCATTTAGGCCAATCATCGACAGACGACGCAAGACTGGAGGTGACTGATTGAAGCCTGGGCCTCGAATGAGAACTCAGTCAATTGATTTATCGATCTGGCGCCGGCGCAGTCACCTCCAGTCTTGCGCCGTCGGTCGGTGATTGGCCTAAATGCCCTATAACTGTCGCTTGTTCTTTTGCTGCTACTATCTCTGACGATGGACTCCCGCACGAGCCCGAAAGCTCATGACAATAAATAAAGCGTTCCGGTGCTCGAAACCTCTTCTTCTTCACTTAATAAACGGACTGCTCCGGTGCTCGACCATCCTTCTTCCTCACTTATACATACACCTGAAGCTCTAAATTTTGCCTCCATCCACTCCTTCGTGGGTAGTCCCGCTCCGCACAACGACGTCTTGGTTCTAAACAAGCACAGAAATCTGTTCGATTGCCCTTCAGCGACCGTCTCGCACCCTTGTCCGCTCCCACCTTCCCTGTCACGCTACAGGTGGGCATAGCGTTCCCATCGCGGCCTCTGTCGCTCTTACCTGTGCGGCAGCCGGCCTGCCCCCCTCTGTGGGTTCACGTAAACGTCGCCTGGGGCCCCACGTGGGCAGTGGGGGGTCTCGGAGGTTGGGGGGGGAGGACTAATGGGTAGGGGGGAGGAGAAGCGGGTCGACGGATCACCGGGCCACAACGGCTCCACCGGACGTACACTACTGTGAAATAAGTGGCGTCCTCACTGCAAGCACGCACGCACGCGTGCCAGAGACGACGAGAACAAACCATTATCTTTGCCATCCCCTCCCCCCCCCTCCCCGCCGAAAGTTGCTCCCGGCACCACAAGCTGTCTGAACAACCTCTGCCATATGCTGTGGGTTTTAAATCTCGGTAGCTAACCCCATCTCAGCCGCCGCCCCTGAACTCGGTCTTGTGGATCCGGCAAAGAGAACAAAAGAATCGAAATGTGACTAATTATGGGCACTATACTATTATAGCCGTTGTCGCTGTTGTCTCTTGTCGTTAGACCATGACGGAAAGGTGGGGGAAGGGGGACGAAACAGCCAGCTTCCTGGCTCTCTTCACCAGTCGACAAGAATTGTGCACTTACGCCCGAGAAAGCGGAAGGGGAAGTACGCTGAATGAGTAGTGTTCACTGGTAAGCAGTCTATATGACCTACAGTGTCTTAGAGGTACGACTGGATGGGATAATCCTTCTGCCCCCGCCACCGGAACGCAAACTGTTGTGTTGGGACGTATTTCCTGAATCTGTTGAGCCAATAAAAAGCTAATGAGAAGGGGATATGGAGGGGGGGGGGTCGTTTTTTATAACCAAATTCCGTATAACTAGGGCGGCTGTCGAAACAGCTTAGTTGGTGGAGAATTGGCCACTGGAAGTAGACCTCTTAGTAGAAGCACAAGACTTACGCGGAAAATTTGTGGATTTGGTTACGTCACTGGTGGAAGAGGAGAGGGAAATGCAGTATAGTTTGTAAGAAGATGCTGGGATTAGGAGGAGGGGAGAAAGGCTAGGACGACGACTGCAAAAGAGACCTGCTGGGGTTCAGCTTGTCATCGTTGACGCTTCACGTAGGAAGCACGATAGTTCTGCATCCGTCCTCAGTAATCTGGCATCAGCTCTTCGACTGGTAGTCATAAGCCGGACGTTGGCTGCAAAGCGACATCATTAATGAAACAATATGACATGTTGCCAGGACCATGGGTTAGAAATTATTAAAACTTCGGACTACTACTTCGATGACAAAATAGAAACTGCAGAGACAACATCACCAAAAGTAGCCATTGGATTGGCATTGCACACACAAAGACCCCTGCCTGCCATTATCCTGAATTCCTCCAGCTTACTGTGAAGTTAGTTGTTTGCTTTCTGGTAGAAATCTCAATTTTTGAGTGGTTGATTAAATTCTACAAGAAATTTAATACAATACTAGCAATTACTACCGATTTAGCGAACTTTGATGCACCGGAAGTGGATGTTGCAAATGGGACAATACCATAAACAAACAGGCTATGGTCCGGTGTTCTATTAAGCAGTATTAGAGTGCGCACTAAAGTAACAAAGCACTGACCGAGATTCCTCGATGTATTTTTCATTGGAAAGGGTCGTTTAATTAAGATTGGGAAAGCTGTTTGGTGAGATGCAGCATCCGGCTTCAATCCCTGCATGGTAGCATGCTGTCTTCCAAATGGACATCTCTCCAGCTACCGGCGAGGGTGTAAATGGTATTATGGATGGAAGCGAATATGCGAATCCCAGGTTCTTGTTGTAAAGAAGATCGGTTGTGATCGTGAATATACAATGATAGAAGGGGTTCGCTGATCGTGTTACGGAATTCACTCGTCCCGTTGTGCCTTACGGGCTCTCTCTCTCTCTCGAACCTAACAAGCAGCTGCACAACGGCACATAATATATTATGTTATAATGATACTAATAGAGGTGGCATTGGTGGTGGTGGTGGTGGTGGTGGTGGCGGCGGCGGTGGTGGTGGTGGTGGTCGAGCGCCGTGGCTGGGAAGGCAGCTGCCTGACGGCCCAACTCAGTCCGCGCAGTCTGTCCAGTTGCGTGTGTATGTGTGTGCGCCCCGAACGGGCCACGTGCGAGATGCGCCGGACCAACACGGGGGCTATATCGGATTCCGGCAGGCGTTATCGGCTTTGCGCACCGTAACAAACGTCAACATTTTCGGGGTGCGGTGGCGGATCCGGTTGCCGGCATACGTCGCGCAGACTAAGACCCTGCTACCCCCATTGTTGCTGTGACTGAAAAACTTGGTTATTTGTTGTGTGAACCAGGGAGTGTGAAGTGGAACGCAAGGTGCGGGCTCGGCCGTGCCATCCACCCGCGCCCTCCCCCGCCTCCGGTCTATTTGACTCTGACTTGACACCGGGTCCAGGTGGGGAGTGGGGAAGAGAGAATGCGGTAGATGCTGCGCAAGTCTACTACCACCATAAACTAATTTACGCGCAAGTGACCGTGCCTGTTGTGCCAAACTGCGTAGCAGGCACGGTGGACATCGTCGGAATCGACGGTCGAACTGTTGGTGGGGTTGTTGGTGTTGGAGATGGCCGTGGCGGCGGCGGTGGTGGCGGCGGTGGCGTTGGTGATGGGATCGGGACGAAAACTGACAGTGTGCATGGAAGCGGCAGCAACCTTTCCGGTCGCGGTGTCCCGTCGCTCCGGGCGAGATTGCCACATTTCCGCCTACTCACTGACCCCATCAAACGGTGGTCGTGGCTGTCTCATGGCGTCCGTTGGAGTGTCAAAAACGCCGGATTTGAAAAAGGACAGATTTCTGACGCGCAGATGGCAACCTCCACCATTAAAGCAGGCAGTGTGAATGGCCGACGACAGTGGGATCCACCTAGTGCCAAGGCAGAACGCAAAGGCCACAAAAGCTGATTTTAAAAATTTGCTGTGGACATCTAAATCCGTCGTTTTCATCGAACAAAGGAGGAGGAGGAGGAGGAGGAGGAGGAGGAGGAGGAAATATTGTTGCTGATGATGATGGTGGTGGTGGTGGTAGTAGTAGTAGTAGTAGTAGTAGTAGTAGTAGTAGTAGTAGTAGTAGTAGTAGTAGTAGTAGTAGTAGTAGTAGTAGTAGTAGTAGTAGTAGTAGTAGGTATTATGACTGACGAAGGGAAAATGGCTTGGTAACAGGGACAAGGGGATGGGGGGAGACGAACTATGACCGACAAAGCTCCATCTGTTGCATGTAAATATAAGAATTCCTCCTTAAGAACTGGGACATTCCTTTAGATGTAATCTGTTTAATGACCTCCCTGTGTAGTACCCACGTGTGCGTACGAGACTAGTGAGGAGCGAGGGTATTATCCTGACTCATAAGTTTCGACCAAATTTAGAGCAGGCCGAACAATCTTAGGCTTGAGATTTCGTCTTCTTCCCCAATTTCTCTCCTTTCCCCTTCAACAGCGAACACTCACAGGCCAGACTCGTGAGAAGGCTTGTGATTGTTCCTTCTGCGCTCTGTGCTGGAAATAACTCCGCTGAGCGAACACACCCCCCACCACTTCTCCCCCGCCCCTCGGATGCAGAACCTGTCAGTCCACCCGCCCTGCCTCCGTCCTGAGTTAGCACTGGAGCGTGAGGGGAGGGAACCGGGGGGCGGGGGGGGAGGACCTCGAATTGGTGTTTTGTTTGCGTCGCAGGTTCTGCCGGCAAGGACGCGGCACAGGTTCTCTTATCGGGCAATGCAAATATTTACCCTCAGCAGTGGGGCGAGTGCGGAGACTGTCTCCGTGAGTATTACTCTCCTGCGGAGCGAGCTCGAGAAGGCGGCATGGCGGGGGTGGACGTGAAGGTAGTCATTAAGTAGCACAAGACGTTGCCACCGCGACCTCACGGCTCGACCAACAGGGAGGCTTAATAAGGCTAACATCTTGACAGTGTATGGACTCTGGACCGCCAGGGGTGGCATCCGCACGTCGCGGCGTCTCAGCCCTGCCGGTGGCAAACTCACGCAGATGGATGCTGACTCAGCCTATACACTACATGTGAGCTACTCAGAAACCGTAGGATAGATATGCAAATCTTCATATGTGGATATACGGAGAGGCACCCAGGAACACAAAGACCTACCACAGTAGGCAAGAGCTTTAATGGATTCTGGTATCTGTTCACCAGTGAGGCCGGGGTTTGGCCTTAATATTTTCATTTCAACCGTCGTGATCGTCGATGTCCGCCGTGTGCTCTACAGCATAGGGTGAGAACAGGAACGGTGACTTACGTATAGTAATATTAGACTTGCACAGCACCTATCGCACTCTTTCCTCCCTCACCCATCTAGATCCGGTGTCAAGACGCAGTCAAGAAGATCAGAGGCAGAAGAGGGTGCAGGTGGCTGGCGCGGTCGGACCCGCACATAGGCGTACAACTACACCCCTGGGTCCAAAGCAACAAACACTTGACCAGGATTTTAACCGATCACAAAATGGGGGGACGGCAGGGACCTCCAGGTGGCGCGACAAGAGCCGTCAACTGTGCCTGTTAGCGCACCCCGCATGTTGGCATTTGCTATGGGTGCGCATTCCCGGGAACGCCTGCCAGAATCCAATGCGGTTTCTGTGTTGGTCCAGCGCGTCTGCCGCGTGGCTCATTTTAGGGACACTATCGCTAGTTACGGGGTCCACCGCTATCGGGAAGAGAAGACGCAATGCTGACTGACGTATTAGTGAATTCATGATACGGCTCGCTTTCGCTGCGCCTACCTCGCACGGTCACCGCCTTCCATTGGTAGGAAAACTCGACGTGGATGGGGGCGCCGTGACTGACATTGCTAACCTACTCGTCTACGCGTGCAACACACGCGCTCGCATTGTTTGCGGGCAGGAAAGCGTATTCAAACGGGGCAGCTTTGGGGGGTCTACATCGCAGTCTGTTCACTGCTCGATTCTGCTCTCACTACAATCTTCATGCTAGAGGATAGGGAATCGCCTTAACCGTAAAAATAGTGGTGACGGTAGTAGTAGTAGTAGTAGTAGTAGTAGTAGTAGTAGTAGTAGTAGTAGTAGTAAGGGCTGTGATAATCCTGTCAATAATAGTAATATGTGCAGGAAGTTAGTAGTATCGATTAAAAGCAGCCAGCAGCAGTCACACTCCTCTCACCGGTCTAACTGTGAAGAATTCTGTAGCCTGAGTGCGATTCAAACAGGCGACAGAAAGGACAACGCTTGAGTACGGCCAGTGCTCTAACCAACTGAGCTACGAGGCTTCGTTTGCGAACCTGGCGTTTTTATAGCAACAAAGACTGTAGGTAGATATTGTGCAAATTTGAGGCTTTTCATATGAGGTCGTCAAGGCTCCTCATCTATAAAAATAAGCAGGAAACTAGTCTGACTGCGTCCTGTCTAACCTGTCAAAGAAAGAGCTGCAAGCTAATAAACGAATTAAGAAGAAGACGTCTGAAGTCAGCGATCACGAACGCTTTCCCCATGACGGATTTACGCGTACTTTTCGGTAGCACTCTTCTCCTACGCTTGGGAGGTAAAGCCAGATTACCGTTACAGGTCACATCGATGTATATTTACACTAGGTGGACTAACTCACGAAATGCGTTTTCGATTCAAAAAGATTAAGTAAGCAGGGTTGCACAATTTCTCATCTTGCAGCATAATTCTACAATAATTCAGTCACCCCAAGATGCTAGCTCTCGAATGAACATCTTTCCGACCGCATGTAAATACTGCACTTTGTAAAAAATGGCTACTTAAGTAGCATGCATTTTTTCATTGATTTTCGATGCCCTTAAAAATTCAATAATATTTCGTGGAAAATATGCATAAACATATTAATTCTTTTGCTCATTCGGTGGAAACATTACGTCTTCTGAAGATGAAGATGCGATCACTGGGACAAGAAGTTTATTTGCCTGACGTTTCGGATTCTCACTCGAATCCATCATCAGAGACATTCGCAGATAGAGGTCAATTTCATAGTTGAAGAAAGGGTATAATTCGGTTATAAAAAGTTTCTAATTGTGAGACTTTTTAATACCGTGAAATTGCCTTTCATATTTGAAGAAGAAGAAGAAGAGTCGACCACCGGAACACTTCGTTTATTATCCTGAGCTTTCAGACTCGTACAGGAGTCCATCGTCAGAACAAGCGGCAGTTATAAGGCACGTAGGTCCAATCATCGACCGACGTCGCACGACTGGAGGTGACTACGAAGGGCTCTGTACGCCGGCGCCAGATCGATAAATCGATTGACCGAGTTCTCATCCGAGGCCCAGGCTTCAATCAATTCTCGGCCCGTTTTGTTTTCGGCGTGGGCGACTATTTTGGTGGCTGCGAATTTAAACTCGTGACCCATTTCGTAGGTGTGGGCGGCCACTTGTGATAATGCGTCGCCTCGCCGCACAGCCAGCTTATGTTCGTGTATGCGCGATCCGAGCATGCGTCCAGTCTGTCCTGTGTAGTTACAAGGACAATTTTGACACGGGATGCGATACACTACTCCAGATTGCTCTTCAGGTTTTAACCGGTCTTTGATTTTCATGACTCTGTTGCGCGTGGTGGCTTTGGGGCGGTGTGCAATTCCAACACCTAGCTCCGCAGCAATGCGCTCGGTCGCTTCTGAAACACCCTTGATTTATGGCAGAGAATGCCATATCGCCGGTGGTGTTGATGTTCGAGTTCTCTGGTGGCGACCGCGTAGGCAGCGACTTATGAATGCCCTCGGATAGCTCAGGACAATAAACAAAGTGTTTCGATGCCCGAATCTTCTTCTGCACTTAGGCAATTTTCCGTCGAGATCAGATGATTAGGAGTGTTCTGCGTACGAAAGTAGCGAAACTATCGGCCACTGGGTGATGCTCTGCCAATTGCTTGCAATTGCCCTCCCCCATATCGTACTTCCAATGACTTCTTAATATAATTCGCAAACAATCGTCAGTTCATACCAGGTTTGGGAAAGATAATGTCAGATACGATGTCGTAAGCAGCAAAAGGAGGAATGTAGTGCGGAAATATGCTTTTAAACAAACGCATTGAAGACCGAATAGTACTGTACTGAACAGTGTCCATGTGCCAAGCAATATAAGGAATTAATATTATGGGGATCGGGCAGCTTGGGCGAGTAAATAAGGCGTTTGCTGACGTTGCACCATCCCACGCATCGCATTTACCAGTATGTCTGTGCGAGCCGATGCTTCGAGAATGAGTCAGTATTTACAGGCACACGCGAAATGTAACGAGGGACATAACGAACATGCGTCTTTATGCATATAAAGTCTCATCCACTATGGAAGTGTTAATAACAACAACATGGCTAATTGCCCAAAAGCGACTGCATTAAATGTTCTAGAAGGATCCGACAAACTGAGTATTTGTGTTTCAAAAGGTTGGAAAGAGTAGTAAGTGGCATTTTCGGGAAACCCTAACTATTAGAAAATTCGATTGTTTTAAATTCACGAGCAGGCTAGAGTACATGCTCGAAGGACATCATTTCT